TTTCTAAGGGAGGAAATTCTTTCTTCTCTGTAAGCTATTGGGTTGATCATCATGCATGGAATGAAAGGAACTACATGAACAAACTGAGGTGACATGACAAAGGTATTGCACCTTTTTTATTTGGAGAAGGAGAGACCTTTCTCTTCAAGGATCTCAGCGTATCGTTGATATTTCCACATGGGATTTGATCTTTCTTGGCGGTGAATTCCTATATATGAGCCTTTTCCTAGTTTAAATATCCTGGAGGGAGTGAATGGAGGTTTGCAGGATCCTCCTTTGAAGTCATCATCATCTGAGTCATCATCATCCTCATCACTAGTGTCTCCATTGTGGTCGCAATAACCACAGTCATAATCACACATGTTTGGGTCAACATCTCATATGAAGTGACCTCCTATTTTATCAGTGAAAATAAGTTTACCATCAGGGCACACGCTGACAATAGGGATTTTGACTTCCTTGGTGATGGGTGTTATCATCATTGACTGGAATATGAATGTGCTCGAACTTGGAACATCCTCTGGATTCTTGAAGATGGTTCTAATGATGCCATCTACAAATCTTTTAAATGTTGCTTCTGTAAAGTAGATGAATTTCTGGTTATTGTGGAGTTTCTCATAGTTAGTCACCCACTACATTAAAATAAGCTTGTGAAGCTCCTGTGAAGAGATATTTTTGGGGATTTGAACTATAGAGGGTGTCACATCTTGGGTATTAGCCAAGACGAATAGTGCTCCGTCCTTACAGGATGGTAACGCAAGATTTATTGTATGATCATGCAATTTATAGATAATCTGATGATGAAGAGTAACTGATAGTGCATCAGCCGCTTGTTCAACTCCGGTGATCTGGATCTGAGATCTCTCAGGCTAACATTAAAATTGGGAAAAATGGTGAAAACTACACTTCCAGAATGAAGAGTAGTAAGAAAAGTGTCAATAATGACATGCTCATAATGGGGGTAGTTGAAGTCTAAGAGAGAGACTCTGGCTGAGACAGGTAATCCCCGTCTTCGATGGAGGGAGATGACTATTCGGATAGACCCATAATGGAGATGAGTATAACCCTTAGTTTGTCAATGCCTGATGAGATGTTTAGGGATCTCAATGTTGACATATTGTTCTTCTATGGTAGATGCTAAGGCACACTGGTCCATCCTAGAGGATTGGACGTACTCCTTGACATGAAGTCTTCTGATGGAGATGGGTTTAGAGATAGACATGATGACAGATCTTTGTCTCTTGAATATATTATAAAGGCTAAGAAGAGGACTGTACGTTTCAGATATCTGAACATCTTCCGGGACATAGGAATACTCTATGAGATTTTTTTATCTTATAAGAAAGAGTTTTTAAAATATTTTTGGGAAGAGAAAGAGTTAAGTTTAACAAAACAAACAGAACCAGACTCTGATGGTGTTTGTGTATTCATATCTAAAGATTTCTTTTACTCACTTTCCTTTTGCATCTAACTTTTTTTTTTCAAATTTCAATTGCTTATTATAAAATTAAACTAGTGTTAAGTCAACAAATTCTTAAATTACTCACCAATTATTTTCTTTCAAACCAACCCTTTTCAAACACTTATTCTTTAATTATTTTTAATTGAACATTTGTTCAAAATATATGTTATAATAGTAATTACTTCACCAAAAAAATTTGTTGAGAACCTTTTATGCATAAATAAGATTTTGGTCGTACTATTCTATTTCTTCATTATGGGAGACCATTCTCATGTAAAGTGCAATATGTTGTGATATTATATTTAATATTATTTTTCTTTACAAAATTTAAAAACAATAAACACTACTTAATTTTAATACCATAAAATATGTTTTGACCTCGTGAAGTTACCTTTAATGATCTAGTTACATCAAAATTTGTGAAACATTTAATGATGTCAACATTTAAAATTAAGAGAGTTGACAAATTATTTTTATTATTGTCATATATTCACAAGTCTTTTAGACACATCACCTTACTCAATCCTATTACTGTTTTCTTAAATTGTAATTGATTTAGGTTTATATGCCAAAATGATACATCTTGGTTGTTATTAAACAGCTTGCATGTATAACATCAAGATTAACTTAAAATCATATTGCATAACAATAAAAAATCTATTTTCAATGAATTGTGTTATGCGTATGAAATTAAGTTGGATACCACACATAAATAACTCATTTTGTCATTCTTCCTTTTGATTATATAATGTTACCAATTCTCTTTATAGTTAAGGTTTTACTAAATTTCACTTGTTGATAAACTTGTATTTAACTTGTGTTTAAATAATATTCTACTTCATATATCCTCTCATATAGTTAGAATAATTAACGTCCAATAACAAATATTTTGATAATGAATTATTCTTTATAATAATAATTATTAAAAGTGTTGGATATAATCATATCATCTTTACTATTTTTGTTTTTCTTTAATCTTCTTTAAATCAATATTTAATATAAAAAATATACCACGTAAATTTTTTTATTATAAATCATAATTTTTAACTATTAAAAGAATAAAAAAGAAAACAAAATCGTGCATATATGTTCTATATGCTGTCATGAATAAAAACAAGGTAGATTTTTTATTTATTTTAAAATAAAAAATCAATTATAAAGAACTAAAACAAAAATATAAATATAAAAATTAATTAGTAACTAATATTATTATAAAAATATATTTTTAATTACAAAATCAGCATTAAATGATAAATTTATGGGTTTTACTTTTAAAAATAAAATATAAATCACATTTTTTTTATTTTTATGGTTATTTAATGTTATAAAATTTATTTATATTGTATTTTTAATATTTTATTCATGTTGAAAAAACAATCAATATCTTGAAAAAATATATATAACAATATATAATATTTTAAAAATTTTATAATATTGTTTTTAAATTATAAATACACTTTAAATAATTACTAATAATTATGATACAATTTTAGTTTTTTTTTTAAATTATTGTCAAATAATTTTCTCTACTTCTATACAGAGTAAACAGATGCTTTGCAGTAAAAATATTTTAATATTTTTATTTTAAATGTAAACATATAAGAAATTAATATTATAGTTATTTAAAAAAGTAGAATTTAAAAAAGTAATTAATAAACATTATTATACAATATAAATACTATAATAATATATAAAAGTAGAAATTGTGAAGTATTTTTTACAAACATTTTAATAAACTTTTACTCATTTTATTTTTATTTCTAAAAGTTAAAGTAATTTAATTTTAATTTTTAAGTTATTTTTTTTAACTTTTCAAAAATATAATTTTAATCACTAAATATTAATATTTGAAAGATTAAAATAAATTTTAATATTTCAAATATATCATTTATAAATTAAAATTATATTTTATTAAATTTAAATTTATTGAATTAAAAAATTATTATCATTTTAAGTTTGATTTTAGTTCTTATTTTTTTCTCTACATTATTTATTTTTCATTAAGTTTGATTTTATCTAAATATTTTTATTTATTTTATGTTTTATTTAAGTTCATGTTTCATTTCTACGTAAACATTAATATTTACTTAATGTCATTTTTTAAAAATTTTATTTATTTATTTATTATGTTTCATATTTATTTTTTCTTAAGCACTATATTTTCTTTTAGGTTTGTAGATATCTTGTTATTTGAACTTTTTTTAAAAGTCATTTTTATTTTTTCATTTAAATTTCCAATATTTAAAATCTTGTTTATTGAATTAAAATTTTTCTCATGTTGATAATTCTAGAATTTAAAATAATTTCAATTATTTTATGAAAAGAAATTTTAAATAAAGTTTAGTTAGTTACATAATGAACAAATACAGAGTTTCGAATTTAAAATGAAAATAAATTATTATCTATCTCTATATAAAGAGGATGATTTGAATATATATATATATATATATATATATATATATATATATATATATATATATATATATATATATATATATATTCACAGTAATAAAAGTTTATTTCATATATTTATAGTGTTATATTATTTTGACATATAAATAAATATAATTTTATTGGTTTCTTATATTTAAATTTTAATTAATATGATAATTATTATTATGCTCATAGAGTAATTAATTATATTTATAGTTATTTAATATGACAGTTATTATTGTTATTCTCACATAAATAAGTATATTTACACAATATACATTTCCTTTGTATAGTAATTAATTCTATATTATATTCTAACTCTCAGCTCACTAATAAATAAATAAATAAAAACCACACAAACTCAAAATTTCATATTTACAGTCAAGAATTTTGGTATAACAAGTTCTTAAACTGTCTATGCCAAAACAAGTAAACTATCAACAAATTCCCTCAAAAATCCAGATTTTTTTTAATTGTGTTTGAAAAGTTCAATGCTAAGGGGAAACAAACTTTATTTAGTGATTTTTATACTGAAAAAAAAAAGTCTCTAATTTTTGCTGACAATTATAGTAAAAGCAGAAAAAAAAATTGTATAAAACAACCATTTTCCTACAAAAATAAATCAACACCCTAAAAAGTAAATAATTAAAAAAAAAAGAAATTATGCGGATTTAGTTTAATTTAATTTAATTTAAACAGTGCCATGCGTGGTGAATAAGCCATGAAATTTCATAATCTTTCCTTTAACATTGGCACATAAACTTAACCCAACCCTAGATCTCCATTCTTCAACAACACCAAAGCTTTTCCTTCTTTTCAACTCAACAACATTACATCTCACACACTGCTTTCTCAGATCTCCCCCAGATTCCCTTACACTATTCCTCTGTCAAAAACATCCCACAATTCTTCCCCTGTAAGCCTTCTTCCTCAACAAATTTCCACCTTTGAGGCTCAATCCGCCTCAATTTTGCATTCCTTCTTGTGGGATCCACCTAAATTGCACTGGATTTGAAACCCCACTAAAAAAAAATTCACACTTTTTCAACTGGGTATGCTGTGTATGTGACAGTAGTGTATAGTGCATTGTGGGCATTGAGTTCTCATGGCAATGCCATCGGGAAACACGGTCATGCCGGACAAATTGCAGTTTTCTGTTGGCGGTGGTGCCGCAGGTGGCGGTAGTGAGATCCACTATCGCCACCAGCAGTGGTTTGTGGACGAGAGGGATAGTTTAATCGGTTGGCTTCGCAGCGAATTCGCGGCTGCGAATGCCATCATAGACTCCTTGTGCCACCATTTGCGTGTTGTTGGTGAGCCTGGGGAGTATGACATGGTTGTTGGGGCAATTCAGCAGAGGAGGTATAATTGGACGCAGGTGCTGCTTATGCAGCAGTACTTTTCTGTGTCTGAAGTTGTGTATGCACTGCAGCAGGTAGCCTGGAGGAGGCAGCAGAGGTTTGTGGATCCGGCGAAGGCCGGCTCCAAGGAGTTTAGGAAATTCGGTTCGGGGTTTAGGCAAGGGCAGCACAGGAATGAGGCTTCGAAGGAAGGTTATAATTCTAGGAATGAAGCTGCCAAGGAAGGTTATAATTCTAGTGTAGAGTCTTTTGGTCGCGAGGTGAACGCCGTGGTTGGTGCTGGAGGTGTGGAAAAAGGGACTCGTGTGATTGATAAGAATGGTGAACTTAACTCTGATGGCAAGGTTGGGACCATGGATAACAATAATATAGCATCTCCTGAGGAGAGGAAAGGTAAATAATGGGTCCTTTGGAACATGTATGTATCATGGTTTCAGATTATGATCTCATATTTTGGTTGCTTGAGCAGATACTATTACAAATCATCACTCTGATGTGATTTTGAATGACTCTGGGAACTCTCAAGGATCTCTGTCTAGCTCAGAATGTGAAGCTGTGGGTGTAAATGAAGAATGTCTATCAAATTCTAAAGGTTTTTGTTACTGCTGACTGTGACTAAATATAGAGGAATACAGGACTATACTTGTTTAATGCATTGATTTTTGAAATTAGTAAATAATGCTCAGAATCTGTCCTCCATCTTCCTTGTGTTTGCCTCTGGAATGCAATGCAATATGGCTGTATATTGACCTACCAAAAAAATACGCCCACCCTTACTTGAAATCATACCCATAGAATTACATTCAATCATAGGATCAGAGATGTAGACTTAATTTGCCTCGCCCATTGATTGATATTTGTGACTCTTGTGCAATGTGTTCCAGGGAATGATTCTCATTCTTCGCAAAATCAACATCCGAGTCAGAATGCTTCTACCATGGGAAAAACTTTTATTGGCAACGAGATGTTTGATGGGAAGATGGTAGGGTCCTTTAAATATAGTTTGCTTTTGTTCATTTCTTGTTATTTTTTCTTGATGTGTAATACCTCATAAATTTTCATCCGTTCCTTCTTTTAATATTCTATCTGTAAAGTGCACCTGTTTTTATTTGTTAGGTGAACGTGGTTGATGGACTGAAGTTGTATGAAGGTTTAGTTGATATTACTGAAGTTTCAAAACTTGTTTCCTTGGTCAATGATCTGAGGGTTGCTGGTAAAAGAGGACAATTTCAAGGTAAGTGTACTGTGTGTCTCATGCCAGCATGTTGGGATGATCGATCACTGCTTTTATTTTTAACTTCCATAGATTGATATTCAATACTCACTGACTTTGCCCATATTCTGGAAGTTGGTGGTTTCAGTGTGAAAATGACAGTGTACTGGTACATATTTTCTGTCTTTTATTCTAGTAGTTGAATAGTTGTCGACAAAGAATTATTTGGAATGACCATGATGTTAACTAACAACTGTAAAGTGGTAACATGGCCTTTGCTTATACTGAGCCAAATACTTATTGTACTATGCATTTTCAGATCCTTGTGCTTGTTGCGAACATATATAGTTCCATTTATGTAAAATTATGAATTATCATCAATTGGCACTAACACGTGAGAATCCAAGGTGTGATAGAAGACACTTTCTTAAGTAAAACTGATGCTATCTTTTTTTATATTTGGTTAAAAGAAATCTTTATCAATAGAGATGAGGTATGTGAACAGAAGAATAACAAATATTCCCAATGCAAATAAATAATTGGAGGATAAAATATTGAAAGAAAATTATATCAGCCTAAAAGGGTTATTAATGAAACTTCAACTATTCTCTTCTATGTTTGACCTAGAGAAGATGCATAATTGAGGGATCTCTTACCAAAGTTCTAGTAATATGTCAGTGTATAATTCTATTTTGTCTCGTATACACACTTATCCTGGCATCACTTTTATTATTTCAACATTGGCTCCTTACCATACAATATTCACTCCGTATGGTTAAATTTCCCTTTAGCTTGAGTGGTACTTTGTTTTTTTATCACAAAGTACATCCAAAGCATTCCTTCATTTCATTCACCTTGCATGAATCCGATGGCTTAGATCTCCCTCTTTTCCCCTGTCATTTTGTGTGATGGACCTGAGATACTTGAAACGTTCTCCTCATAAAAAACTTGCACTCCACATATGCTGTTCTGCTTCTACTTAAACAAAAACCATGTATTTGTTTCTAAACCTTATTTCTGCAATTCTAGCTTTCCATTTTGTTTATTCTGTTAACTCCCTTAAGATTTTCATTTGTAAAATACGTATGTTGTGGTGGCATCTGTTGGATGTGTTCAGTAAGCACATATAAAACCATGTTTAAGAAAGATAGGGGCTCAAAGTTAACCCTTGGTTCTGTCCTGAAAGTAGTGTGGAAGTCTTATTTGGCTCCACTTCATGTGTCGTACTTGAGAGTTCTATCAACAACCAATTATCCTCTTAAAATCTGTTTTTCGAGTAACATTAAAGTTTGGATGAGCAAAGAAACATTGAACATGATCTAATGTGGTTTAGTTTCACATTGTTTTTAACCTATTGTTCTCAAAGCAGGAAGCTTCAGGTCCATAAATAATGCTCTTGTATGCAGATAATTACAGTTTGTGATTTAAGTTTGACAATTGGCAATTTGTATTTGTGTGTAATGCAAGTTATCTTTCTTATGGATAGTAGGTTTCCACTTTCCATTTATGGAATGTGATCTGGGACTGCATTTCCAAATGAATGAAAGAAGAGGTCATTCATTTCATCTATACGAAGCAAAGAAAGGATGCTGTTTTGGGTGCATTGTTACAATTGTACAAGCCCCAGAGTTTTCCCCTGTATTAAGCCAAGTCCTTTTAAACAGTCAATCAAACTTTCTAAACTTGTCTCCTATGTTCAAGTAGTATTAATACTCATTCAGTAGTATTATGTTTTCCAATTTATTGGGACTTGGGACTAATCTTCCACATCTTATGAGTTCATCTCACTTTTATCTGTAGACCAGCATTTTCCCCATGGTTTCCAAAGATTTACAATATCGTTATACACATGTGTGTGTGTGTGTGTGTATATATTATAATTGAATAAATCAAGTTAATTTTACAACCTACATAACATGTGTTCTCTAATTCAAATAACCTTTTTTTAATATCTGCTAATTGCTTCTTAAATAGGAAGTCAAACATTTGTGGTATCAAAGAGGCCCATAAAAGGACGTGGGAGGGAAATGATTCAGTTGGGTGTTCCCATTGCTGATGCACCACCAGATGTGGACAATGTAACAGGAATCTCCAAAGGCATGTCATCTCATGCATATATATTTTATACAGATCATTCATTAGTATAGTTCACACATTTTCTCTTTGCAGCCATGATATTTGTCTTTCACTACCCCCTTCTAGTACAAGTAATGATTAAAGTTCTACCATTTGAATCTGACAGATAAGAAAGTAGAATCTATGCCTTCTTTGTTCCAAGGTATTATTGACCGCTTGGCTGCCTCGCAAGTTATGACTGTGAAGCCTGATGCTTGCATTGTGGATTTCTTTAATGAGGTTGCTTCTTCCTTTGTTTGGGGCTAAGAAATTTAATTTATATTGGGGTAATCTTTGCTTAAATAACAAGGTATTGCAATCATCTGCAGGGTGATCATTCACAGCCCAATAGTTGTCCACTTTGGTTTGGAAGGCCTGTTTATACTCTTTTCCTGACTGAGTGTGACATTACTTTTGGGAGGATAATTGTCTCAGACCATCCTGGGGATTATAGGGGTGCAGTCAAGCTTTCTCTTTCACCTGGGTAATATTTTTTTAACCCATCTATTTTTTTATACCAGTGTTTCTGATATTATTACTTGCGCATAGGATCATATTTGCATTATAGAAGTCAATGATATTGTTATAATTCAATACAGAAATGTCTATAGTCAACAATTTATTTGTATTACAAGTTACGGTTAGACTTAGTTTCAGTTGAGTCCGTAGTAGGTATTAGGTAAGAGTAAATTGCCTTCATTTGCTCTTCACTTATCTAAATTCACCGGAAAACAAAGCCTTCATTGCCTTCATTAGAGTTAGATCTTTAATTTTTTTAATCAGTCATATGTGAATAATATATTGGTTATTAATGTAAAAGTTTGTAGTTGATAAATATATCTCTTGATGTTGAGTTGATCCATGAATAAACATTTTAGTTAATCCATGAATTAGATGTTTCCAATTGAAATAAAGTCTGTGCATCAACAATTTTTAGTTTCTTTGATAAACTGTTCAAGATATGTTTTCTGATGAATTGTATTTCTTTCTTTCTAAAAGATGAATTCTGTTTCCTATATATTATTGTAATGTAGTTTGACTTTGGTTAGGAAAGGGTTTTTTCTGCTATGAGATATATGCCCTGACAATATTTGTCATGGCAATGAAGCTATTTCAACTGTTACTGTTACCATTCTTAACAGTTTCTTGATTTTTGGTTAAGGCTTTTGTTGAACATAAAAGTTTCTTTGCTTTTACATTTGCTGATGGTTATTGAGGTTTAATCCTCCCATAACCTCATAAGCAGTATAATGTTGCTTGTTATGCTCTTTTAATCTGATGATTCTATACATAATACCCATGAAGAGAAGCATGGATATTTTAAAATAGTGGTTGTGTCATGTGTTAACCATGTCAGATACGTATCCATGACAGATACTGGAGAGGCACTTCAAGTACTTTTCAATTGCATTTTTTTACATAGTTTTAAAACTTTTATACTAATACTATATTATAGTATGTCATGTCCTATGACTTTTAAATTTGTTGGATTTTCATGTCCTTCAGTCTATGTGGTATCTGTCCTTTCTCCTGATATGACCTATTTAACCTGGCAACTGTAGGTCCCTTCTGGTGATGCAAGGGAAATCAACTGATTTAGCCAAACATGCACTTCCTTCTATTCACAAACAACGCATACTTGTGACCTTCACAAAGTCCCAACCAAAAAGTTCTCTACCAAATGATTCTCAACGATTTAGTCCGCCGGTGGCATCTCATTGGGCACCACCACAGAGCCTATCTCCCAATCACATGCGCTTGGGCCCGAAGCATTATCCCACTGTTCCAGCAACCGGAGTACTGCCAGCTCCATCCATACGAGCACCTCCAAATGGTATGCAGCCATTATTTGTGCCAGCGCCAGTTGCACCTCCCATTTCATTTCCTACACCTGTGCCAATCCCACCTGGTTCAACTGGATGGGCCTCGGCTCCTCAGAGGCATCCACCTCCTCGAATGCCTGTTCCCGGCACAGGGGTCTTCCTCCCTCCACCTGGCTCAGGTACTACTTCATCTCAACACTTATCAGGTAGCATACCTGAAGTGAACCCTAGCATGGAAAGTTCGACCTTGTCGGGAAAGGAAAGTGTGAAATCAAATCATAACACCACAAATTCTTCCCCAAAAGGTAAAATGGAGGGAACTGTGCTAGGGGGGCAAGAATGCAATGGAAATGCACATGGAACTGAAGGTGAACAAGATGTAGTAGGGAAAGAGCACGAAAGCAATGACACGACGGATGCAAGCCATTGAGCTATTCTGGATAAGAAAGGGAGAGAGAAGGAAAGGTTATCAAAGAAAAGGGGAAAGGTACGAACTTTATCGAGTTTGAAGCAAATGTAAAGAGCGGCAACATTCAACACGAAATGATACAATACTGCAAAAGAGAGAACAAGGGAAGGAGTCAGAACTGTTTGGTTCACTTCTTAATCCTTTGTTTGCTCCATTCCTTTTTTGTTGACTTATTATATTAAATTTTACGGCAAGGGAAACCCCATTCTTAGTTCAGATTTTGAATTTTTCCTACCTTTGAATACATCTTTGCAGTTGATTATTGTCAGTGGTAATGTTTTCTTCTGCCATTTCGTTACGCAATTAGTTTGATGCATGCACTGTGAGATAGAAACTGGGGACTTTGAATTATAGTAGGCAAAATAATCCATTCAGAATGTTTAATTTCAGCTTGGCATTTGAAACTTGTCAATTTGATTAGTCGCAAGAAAGAACGATTTTAAAACGAAACTTTATTTAGTCACTAGTGCGATGAACCTTTAGGTATGTGTGGGAATGATTGAAGAAGGCACTGGTGGTTGCAGATGAAAAATATTCTTAGGTTATGTTTGCTATCTGTCATTTTCTGGTTTAGAAAACAAGTATTTGAAAAATAAGAAGAAATAAGTATGAAAAGTTTTATTATTTTTTTTCTTTACCCTGTGTAATGGTTTTAGCTCTTTAGGGCGCGAGTTATCTGTATTGAACTTGGTGTGGGTGAAACTTGATCCAGAGACATGATGGTGCAGGTTATTCACAATTTCAAAAACTAGGACCATCTTTAATGACGATTTTAATGTTGGATATTATGGGACTTTAATTTATATTCTCTTTTACCTTTTTCAATTTACACCCATCTCTCCTATTCAACATATTACTTTGAATTTTTATATGGATTTTGTAAAATAAAAAATCTATTTTTTATATTTCATCGATATCTTATATCTAAACAATTAAGATTTATTTATACTTATACAATTAAGATTAAATTTTATTTAAACTTATTGGAACAACTAAAATTAGGCAATTAAGAAATTAAAATCGCATAAATTAATAAGAATTACACCATTAAAATAATAATTAATTTTGTCGACTACTGTTAATACAAGTTTGTCTCCATCTATGTATAATGATTTCTTATTATTTATTAATAACTTATTCGCAATTCTTTGCCGACAAATATTTTTTAAATCTTTAAAGTAACGATTTATGAAAAAGGTTAGTTTTCATGTTTTTCTTTAACAATTCACATAACATTTTCAAGCACCTTCTCTTCATACTCAACTCTTTATCTTTCAATATGTTACGTTCATATTTAACAAATGCTAGCTAAGATTGTTGAACCAAAGCAAAATATGTTTTCTATGCTATCAATTCTAATTTTTTCATCATCAACCTTTTCGTCAGCAAAAATAACTGTTATCAGAAACCGAATTCTTAATCGTTTTTTAAAATAATTTAAGCAACTTTTTAGTATTTATTGGGTATAATGTTTCATGCGCATTTTTAGATGGTTGTTTCTAGGTTAAGGTTTATGAGACTATTGTGATCCATAAGGAGCGTATGTTCTTCTCAGCGGATATTTTTCTGAAGAGAAACTAATTTGTAGATACATAGCTCTGTGATTGTGTCTTGTTAGAAACCCTATCCCGAAATTTGGTCTCAACTTTCTCCCTCAGACAAACACAACTTGGTGATCTCAGCTGGTGCAAATTGCGATCTCACTTGCCCCGTCGCAGCCCTCCTCGCTGTCGCGCCTCTTCAACCAGTGTTGTCTTTCAACCAGTGTTATTACTATTCATGTGTAATTGCCTACTTGGAGATTCTCACTCTCTCTGCTCTCTATCTCTATCTTCTCTAGTTCAGTTTTGTACATGGAGGCCGGAACTGAGGGATCAAACTCAGCCAGAGAAATCCGAGGCTCGGACAAATCTTCTAAGACAGCAAAGGATTTGGACATTGAAGGATACACAGTCGGCGGTTTGTCCATTGGAGGCCATGAAACATGTGTACTTTTCCCCACACTTAAAGTAGCCTTTGATATTGGTCGCTGCCCACCTCGCGCTGTTTCCCAGAACTTCCTTTTGATTTCCCATGCTCACATGGATCACATTGTTAGTTTCTTTCTTTCGATCATCAAATGCATGCACAACACTCAATTGTGGAATTTTGATTCACGTTTGTAATGTTAAGTTAGTCCAAATTCGTTTTTCTTTGCCGTTTCTCCTTTACATAGATATTTTTAGATATGGGGCTTTATCTGGTGAGTGATTTGCTTTTTTGACAGGGAGGGCTACCAATGTATGTTGCCACACGTGGTTTGTATCGAATGAAGCCCCCTACAGTTATTGTACCGATTTCAGTAAAAGAGGATGTAGAGAAGCTTTTTGAGATTCACAGGAAAATGGATCAATCAGAACTTCAGCATAACTTGATTGGCTTGGATGTAGGTAATTATTTGTTGTTCGAATTAAAATCCTGCATTACACAGTTAAATTTTATGTCTCTTTGCCCATGTGCTCTTTTGTTGCTAACTCAAGCCTTACTGCAGGAGAAGAGTTTTATTTGAGAAAGGATCTTAAAGTAAAAGCTTTCCGGACTTACCATGTGATACCTAGCCAGGTAGCCAGCAATGAAAATTTGTTTCTTTTGAATTTTAAGCTAATCACTAATTGTTCTTGTTTAAAAAGATATATGTTCTGGCTATTGATTAATTTCTGGTACTCTTTGAGTGTGGAGGTCACAAACTTGAGCTCTTTTAAATTGTTTCCACTTGAACTTTTGAGAAACACCATTGTGCATGGTTATTGAAGCTTTAGACAGTTAAGAATCTTAAGGACCTTCATTATTTTTTAAATTCATGCTTTATCTTATGAAATTTAAACTTGCAGTTTTATAGTGCATAACATATCTTGACACCTGAAGCGTTCCCTTGAGGGGGCCTAACTATTATGCATGTATTTGGCAGGGTTATATACTATATTCTGTGAAACAGAAACTTAAACCAGAGTATATTGGTCTTTCTGGAAATGAAATAAAGAATTTGAAGTCGTCTGGTGTGGAGGTCAGTCTTAACTACTGTACTGCTCAATGATTTTGACAAATTTAACAATCTTCTGTCTATGTCAACCAATTTTAATGCTTGGAATTTGTTGTTTTATAATAAAAACCTGGTATCGTTATTTAGGGGTAAACCCCAATTGCAAAGATAGAATTTCAAGCACCTTGCTATGCCTAAAGGCTCTAAATAGCTCTCTTGTTCAACCTCTCCTAATTCTTCTCTATCTCAACCCAACAAACTAGCAGATATTAAAAATAACTATCTCACTAACAGATATTAACAGACCTGTAACATGTTCACTTATTTTGTTGTTAACTTCAGATGACAAGTCATGAACTTGCAGCAGAAGAATGAATCTTTCTATGAAGCAAAATTTGAACTTGTACTGAATAAAATAGCTCAACACAATGTTTCTTTGATTTATGTTCATTGAATATGTTTCTATGATGAGTTGTGTTAGTTCCTCTTACTTCAGATGCCGTGCAGTATATAATTCTGAAAAATTAGCACATGTTTAAAGTTGGTCTCATAGTTGCCGATAAAGATTTTTTGGATGTTGAGTATTTTGTACTTTAGATATGCTAACTTATAATTTAAATTGATAAATTTTACAACATTGTAACTACTTAATTGTTCTTAAAAAATTACCTATAACCATTTACATTGAATTTTGGAATAGAAGGTTACGCATATCTTTTGGTTTTAATGATCAACCAAGATGGGTTCTTGGCAGATAACATACACTTTGACAGAACCAGAGATTGCTTTCACGGGAGATACTATGTCAGATTTCATCATTGATGAAAAAAACACTGACGTCTTACGGGCTAGAATACTTGTGTTGGAGGTGAATTACTTTATTCTATACTTTTGTGGCTATGGATTATTGATTATAATATGAAAGCTTTGCTAGTCTATTTGTGCATACACCTTCCTCAAATGCTAAGAAAAGATGACTTTGACATTTTATGTAAAGGAGTACAAATTTTTTTGAATTTGTTTATGTTCTCTCTGTCTCACTCTCTCTCTCTCTCTCTCTCTCTCTCTCTCTCTCTATATATATATATATATATATATATATAATTTTTTCTTATTTATTCTGGGGGCAGAACTATGTTCTCCATTGTTAAATAGAGCATATCAAAACAATTTGTTTAATCCTGTGAGTGAGATTGCAGTATTACATTCTCAGTGGACTGGTTCTCGTTTTTCCTTGTCCATAATTTTTGTTGGTGGTTGATATTATTGTTTTACAACCATTTTTTCCTTTATCCTTTATTCATATAGTGCACCTTTGTTAACGATTCAATCACTGTGGAACATGCCAGAGATTATGGACACACTCATCTGTCTGAGGTATGCTACCTGCTGCAATCATTAAGCACCAAAGGTTCATGTAAACTTGAATGGTTTTATCATTGGGTTTCTAATTAATGCTCTTCAGATAATAAGTTATGCTGAGAGGTTACAGAACAGAGCAATTCTTTTGATTCACTTCTCAGCACGTTACACAGTAGAGGTATAACACTATTGCTTTTGATTCTCTAGAAAATGATACATCACCCCTTCTAAAGCCTTGGTCTTTGGAGTGATCCTGGTAAGTTCCATCCTGTTTGATGTGGAATAGGTGCCTTCCATGTTTCAAGACAATACAAGACTTGTGTTTGTGATGCTGGTTTATTAGTTTAGATAAACTAAGGAGAACAAATAAAATAAGTTTCTCCATAAAGCTCAGATTAGTTTATGCATGTTAATAATAAGGTTTTGGAGAAGATAATACGAGAAAATCTCTACAAATTAATTTATAGAAAAGCTAGTTTTAGCCTATTTCATTTTTTGTTACTTTTTTCTCTTAAAAATATTTATGGAGCAGTTTGTTCAAATAAACCCATAATACTTTTTTCATTGGGACACTAATGCTATTTCGGCTGTGTGCTTATGTTATTTTCAGGAAATTGAACAAGCTGTAAGTGCATTGCCTCCCAGTTTAGCCGGTCGAACTTATGCGCTTACAGAAGGTTTCTGACAAGTTCTGAGACCATGGAGTTTTTGCCTCCTTCTAACCCACCCGAGAGACTATTGGACGCAGGAAGAATGTACAATTATCATGATGACAAATGTGGGAGAAGGGGAGTGCAAAGCAAGATGCACTGATGCATGGTATGTTTGGATTACCGTTTGAATCACCAAAAGCATATAGTTGCTCATTCTTATAGAGAGAAATTGGTGAAGCAACACCAGTTTTTGGTTGAGTACAATGCATGTTTACGTTGGAATGAATTGTTTTCAACATCGGTTATCAGACACCTACTTTTTTTTTTATTTTTTTTCAGGCTGTGTGTAGTAATTTTTATTTGATATCTTTTGATTCGTTTCATACAGTCAAAGATAATAAAACATGCTACTCCATTTATCTTTTCATATCTATTATTTAATATATATCTTCGAAATAAAAACTAATTAATCCCTGGAATCGGGTACACTTGTTCTCCGTTCTTCTTTTACAGTTTTAGTCAATTAGTTTTAATTTTAACAGAATGCAAGCAATTATGATTATGTTTCTCTCAAGTCTTATTAGGAAAACACTTTTATAGACTAAACTCTTTCCCTTATATTAATCAACAACAAAAATATATCAAAAATGTTTTTACTATATTAATCCGTAGTGAAAGAGGTAAACATGAAGAATGTAATGTAAATTAGGGCTACATAAAATTCTGTACAGAGAATTTTCTTATTCGTGAACTGTATACTTCATGAAACAAAATGCATCATGGGTTTGGTGACTTTCCAATGGTGTATTTTGTCACCAAAGACATTGTAGAAGGCAAAATTTGCATAAGTTTCAGTCATTTTAACAGACATGAAACCTTGACCATCATAAAAGAATTTTACATCAGCATGACTTTCTTTAACATCGCCTCTCCATGCCTTGGAACCAGCTCCACTCGTTAAATACAAAAGTGAGCTGCATTAATTTTGATATTGCTATGTAAGAATAAAATTCTCTAATGACATGTGTGAACTATACTGAACTATTATAAAGCTACTTTGCATTGTTTTTCAACTGCTTGAACCTTTTAACTATATGAATTATTATTATCAATAAACATCTTATCTTAAAACATAATTTTCAATATCATTAGTTATAAGTTTAACAAGTTTTTATTTAGGAGTAATTAAGTTTTTAAAAAGAAACTAGAAAAAAGTTCTGTTCTTTTTGTACAATTCAATTAAATTCAGTACCAATTTAATCCAGCAGTTTTTTAACAGCCTTAGCCCATACAGTGCAAATGATGGCTTTATAAACATTCATTCTAGTTTCTGAAAGCTCTAATTCATTATTGTTGAGGTTTATTTAAGTATGGAATTTTAAAATTATTTTTCATAATATCATTCACTGCCATTTGAGTTTCCAACAAAACTTGATTGAAATTTCGAAATATTTTCAAATACTAATACAACATAAGTGAGTTTAGGGTTTAGGGTATTATATAAACACAAATGTAATGAAAGTCTTTAAATGCTTTCAAAACCTAATACAACATATTAAAGAGTGATTGGTTTTCTTTTGTTTTTCTTACCTATTTATGCTGCTTATATGTTGGAGACAATGGTCATGACCATTCATGTACATGTCAACATTGTTGGCCTGCATATTCGAAAAAATATCATACAGATATTCTTGTAAAGGAGAGAAACATTGCATATAAATCAATGGTGCCTATTTGTGAGATACGAGACTTCAAATTAATTTAAGATTTAAATAAATTTTAAGTTACATAAATATTATTTTATCTTGTTTTACTTTTTCTTCTGGCATCTTTCATCGTTATTTGAAAATCTCATTTTTTTGTTGTTGCTTTAATTAGCCTTGTTCAAATCTTCATAAAATTAATATCCATACCTTAAGTAGTGGGACAAGGAGGTTTGCTAGTTCTACACTATCACCATGATGCCCAATACTTCTTATTGCATGGTGACCAACAACTATTTTCCATCTTGCACTTGATTTCTCCAATCCTTCTTCAAGACCCTTGTCACAGAAATTAGGCAAAATCTTAAATAAGACTCATTATTTATTTAGGGTTTGTTTAGATAATACTTTTACATAATTTTCTTAAAGTTGTGTATAAACTAATTTTATCTTATGGAAAAGTTTATTTTATTTTTTATCTCCTAAAAATTCTTATATAAGGAAGTTTGTCCAATCATATATATCCTTGATTTTTACATTAATCATTAATTATTAATTTGATACCTTGAGAAGGTTTTTGAGATATTTTTCCCTCGGAAGCACACCTCGCCAATCATAATGACGATTTGAGTTGTTGAAATATTTGTTGATGAACGGGGTTGTGTCTATGAAGAAAATATCAGCAACTCCTATGGAAAGAAAATTGGTCACAACAGAAAATCATGTTTAAATATGATTTTCATGTTAACAAAAAGAATAATGCTTTATCATTCAACAATTTTAAGTTAAAAATTTAGATTACTCTAACACACCATGTTTAAGAAGTTGAAATCAGAAAATGGCAGTATCATAATACCTGCATTAAGAATGTATGATTTCAGGCAAAACCATCTTCTATAAATTTTCCTTAAGATAGGACTAATTTGCGCCAATGCATTCCCTCTGTAGTCATGGTTTCCCAAAACTGCACAAAATATGGTTTTAGATTGAAGCATTTACAAAGGAATAAGATTTGAATTCACAAGATGCTGCATGGGGTGAAAAAATTGGAATGATTTGACTAACCAGAGTACCATTGCTTCCTGAGACTCTTGGCAGTGTAAATGTTGGAAAAAGACTGTACAAAGATTGGATCATTTACACCTTTTATCCCACTGTTGTAGAAATTGTCTCCAGTTGATACCACAAAATCTAAATCAACTGTCTCTCCGATCTTTCCCATCTGTTATGTCCAATGTTGATGTTTAAGGTTAGACGACAATACAATGCTGTTAACACTGCTACATGGTAATGGAAAATTTCAATTTTTTTATAGAAAGTAGAATTTAAATTAGGTAACTTTACTGATACAAAAAGAATGATAGTAAAAGAAAATTGTTTCCCATTAGGGGTAGAATGAGATTATATTGAAACTGATAGAGAGAAAGAAGATGAACCTGTGTAGCAACAAGGGATTGATTATATTGGCCTTTTCTACCCCAATCTCCAACTACTAGAAAGCTGAGGGATCCATCATGTTTTGGTTGATGTTGGAACCTCTGAAGCTCTGCGAAAACGGGTAGAAGAAAATATATGCATAGAATTGTTGCTGAATGAAAGGGAGGTGATGGGGAAGCCATGGCAAATAAACCATGGCTTTGCGAAAAGATAGTTTTTAGTGATATACGGTGATGGAAGGTTGTTTTAAAAGGTTAATTTAGAGATAAAGAAAGGTTCGTGAGCTTCTTGGATATCTTGTTTTTGGATAGAGAGGTTCATGCAACTATGAGACCCACTTTCAAGGGACATTGCTATTAATATTGATGGTTAGCAGAGTATTAATGCATCGTTTTCTATCTTTAGTTCTTTTTTTAACCAAAACTATCCCATTTTCTGCATAAAGTAATCGCACCTTAGAAATGAAGATAAACTCTGTGTGATGTCTGAAATGTTATTTTTTTGTCCTTAGTTTAGTTTTTTTCTTAACTTTTATTTTTGTATATATATTGCTAGATTTCATTTCCCCATTTAGATAATCAAATGTGTTTTTCTGGCAAGACTCACTTAATCAATGAAAGAAACTACGAATTTATTGGATTTTTTTTTTTACATAGATTAAAGTTTTTCTTTCACTCTAGTTCTGAAATACTTACTTTTATTAGTTACTTCACTCAACTGAGTCAATCTCAGCTAGTAACACGTGACAAGCGAGTCCATAAACTCGTCATGGGATGAGTTGATAATTTGGTCCATCTTATCTAATTTATTAATTTGATAAAACAGGGAATAAATATACTTAAAAAAATTATATATTAAAATAAAAATTATAATTAAAAATATTATATTTTTATATAAATATATAAATATATAAATATATTATAATATTATAATTTAAATTATGGATTACAATTAAATATTTTAAGACATAAATATAATAAATTTTAAATTTATCTAATAAAAATATTAATTAAATAATAAAAACTTAAAAACTATTTATATAATTAAAAATAAATTTTTAAAAAATATAGATACACAATTTTGTATAAAAAAGTATTGACACATATTTAATACGAAGAACTTGAGTCTATTTATCCCATCATGAGGGATAAGTCTAATTTCTTAATATAGTAGCATTTTTTTCTTACCAAGAAAGGAGGTGGAGACAAAGATGTTGGAATGGGGAAGTATTTGGCAACTTAGGGCAAGAAAAGTGGAAAGCACACTTGGGCAAGCAAATATTTTGGGCAATTTAGGGTAAGCAAAAGCTGATTAGTGAAAGGGAGGGTTGGTTAGAAAAAAAGGATTTGTTTTTCATAAAAGTTTCCTCGAAATGCAATATTTTTAGCGGTCTGTGAAAACCACCCTTTTAATCACCTCCATAAAAAATTTAAACATAAATTTATAACTTTTAACACAATCAATAATTAAATTACTGATATATTTATGTATCATACAATTAATATAATACATTTAATATTAATTAATACAACATCAATTAATATATCTTAAACAATGCCATATATATATATATATATATATATATATATATATATATATATATATATATATATATATATATATATATAAATACAATACATTCAATTAATATGTATTTTTTAAATATATGTATATTAAAATTTATAAACCATATTTTAAAATATATGTATTTTTAATATAAAAATTAATTACTAAAAAACTTGGTTATATTAAGTTTAATATCTAAAGTATTTATATTAAATACATATTACTATTTATAAATTGATAAATATATACATTATTTATATCTTAATTTACAAGTTTAATTATTTTAGAATAAATCAAAATTTACATATAAACTTGAAAATACATACTTTTATCTTAATAACTCTTTATTTATTTTACTAATATGATTTTATTAATTTTAGTTATTAGATTAAAAAGAATAAAAAATTGAAATTAAAAGTATTTTTTCTTAAGTTTATTTAAAAGTGTTATTCTCCATTTTATTTTATTTTAATACAATAGTACATAATTTATATCTAATCATTAAATATAAAAAATTAAAAGATGAAATAAAAAATAATTTTTTAATTTATGTTCGAAATAATTGTTAGATAAATGACATCTATAGGGGGTGAATAGATGCACAAATTAAAATAGATGTCAAATTAAAATTTATTTGTGATATCAATAATTTGTTAAATTAAGTTTTAATTATCAAATAAAATACAGATATAGCGGAAACGATATAATTAGAGAGATAAAGGGAATGAAATAAGTAGATGTTATCATAGAGGTATAAGAAAGAGAAAAACATAGTAATTTATACTGGTTCGGGTATAGTCAATCCTACATCTAGTTTCCAGTCAACTCTAATCACAAGAGTGACTCTAATTCACTGTCTTTCAAATTCAATTTACAAATTACAATCAACTCAGTAGAAGAATAAGTGAAAAGTAAACTAATTAAAAAGATAATCATCTTCTTAAAAACCCACTAAGGATGAACATCTCTCTAGAATTCCACTAGGAATGAACACCTCCTCTGAACAAATCAAAGGATGAAAAACATCTTCTTTGCCACTAACACACAAAGGATAAATACCTCCCTAGAATCATATTTGAGATGAACACCTCCCCGAACAAATCAAAGGGATGAAAACACCTCCTTAGAATCTTATTAAGGATGAACACCTCCCTATAATCCCACTAGGGATGAACACCTCTGAACAAATCAAAGGTGTTAGAAAAATGACATCTAGAGGGGGGTGAATAGATGCACGAATTAAAATAGATTCCAAATTAAAATTTATTTTAAATGTCCAATAATTTGTTAATTTAATTTTAAAGCCGAAACGATAATATAATCAAGAAGATATAAGAGAAGTGCTTAAGAAAAGAAGAGTGATAAAGGGGAGATAAAAGCACACAATAATTTATACTGGTTCGGGTATAGTCAACCCTACATCCAGTTCTCAGTCACCTCTAACACAAGAGTGACCCCAATTCATAGTCTTTCAAATTCAATTTACAAATTACAATCAACTTAGCAGAGGAACCAATAAAAAGTAAACTAATTAAAAAGACAATCATCTCCTTAAAAACCCACTAATGATAAACACCTCCCTAGAGTCCCACTAGGGATGAACACCTCCTTTGAACAAATCAAAGGATGAAAACACCTCCTTGAACAAATCAAAGGGATGAATGAACAGTTTCCACATAGAAAACCCAAAAAAATATAACAGAATAACAGTGACTACTTAAACCCTAAACAGGGAATTTAACAATCAATCACTTAAGCCCACAAAGGATAAAGGTAATAAAATAAGAACAATCACATCTGGGTAATGGAGACAACAAATTGTAGAAGCCTATAGAATGCCAACCTTCAAGAACAAGTGTGATTAACAATAAAAGTGCAGAAGACAATAAAGAAGAAGGTTTTCTCAGAAGGCGTAAAATATTTTTGTTGCCTTACTCAGAATTCTTTTCTTAAAACTGAATGAATGTAAAATTGTATTTTCGAATTCTGTAATTGTGTGTATTTGATTTTTCATCAAAACTCATTTAAATAGGAAAATAACATCAGAAAATAGTCATTGGTCATTAATACTTTCGTAGAGAAAAATCAGGATGTTTTAAAAAATATTTATTCTTAAGAACTGATATATTTTTTAAATTTGAACTGCCATAATCGATTATGTTACCAGTATAATCAATTATGACAGAGAGAAAATCGTTTTTCCATTTCTTATGCATCATAATTGATTATGATAGTGAAAAATGTCATGTTACGAAATTTTATCACACTTGTGCTTCGGAGGTTTATGCATAATACCACTTCATCAACTTGTACCTCCATATCTAGTATTCTAAGACTCTATCTAATCTTCATGCTTCATTGAACTTACTGAAATCATCATCTTTTTCAGAATATATATCTAGTCTTCAGGCTTCATCTTGGGCTTGCTTGAGTCTTGAATGTTGTTGACTTGAATCATCATCAAAATCATCTCTTGGAAATGTAGGGACATGTTTCACATTGCCATCAATTTCCCCCTCATTGTTTTCAAAAGGATGAAAACACCTCCTTAGAATCCCACTAAGGATGAACACCTCTCCTGAACAAATCAAGGGATGGACAACAACCACTTAAATCCTAAAAGGGGATTTAACAACAATCACTTAAACCCTAAAGAGGGAATTTAACGATAACCACCTAAACCCTAAACAAGGAATTTAACATAAATTTTCTAAGCCCTAAAAAGGAGAATTTAACAACAACCACCTAAACCCATAAAGGATGAAGACAATAAAATAAGAACAATCACACCTGAATGGAGACAACAAATTGTAGAAGCCTGTAGAATGTCAACCTCCAAGAACAAGTGTGATTAACAATGAAAGCACAAAAGATAGTAGAGAAGAGGGGTTTTCTCAGAAGGTGTAAAATATCTCTATTACCTTGCTCAAAATTCTTTTCTTAAAACTGAATAAATGTAAAATTGTATTTTCGAATTCTGTAATTGTATCTTTTTGATTTTTCATCAAAACTCATTTAAAGAGGAAAATAACATAAGAAAATAGTCGTTTGGTCATTAATATTTTCGTAGAGAAAAATCATGATGTATTAAAAAATATTTATTTTTCAAAATGGATATATTTTTCAAATATGAACTGTCATAATCAATTATGTTGCCAGTATAATTAATTATGACAGATAGAAAATCGTTTTTCCATTTTTGATGCATTATAATTGATTATGACAGTGAAAAATGTCATGTTACGAAATTTTATCACACTTGTGCTTTGGAGGCTTATGCATAATACCACTTCATCAACCTGTACCATGTCCATTATTCTAATACTTTATCTAGTCTTCAAGAATCATCTTGGGCTTACTTGAATCTTGAATGTTATTGACTTGAATCATCATCAATCTTGAATGTAGGGACATGTTTCACATTACCATCAATCTTCCCCTTAGTGCTTTCAGTTCTAGGGCAATCCAACATGCCATGTAGTGCTTAAGCTAGAACCTTATTTTCTTGCATGAGGTTTCACATTACCATCAATTTCCCCCTCATTACTTTCAATCTCCCCCTTTTTGATGATGATCAAAGAAACACTTAAAATGAATTAAAATGTTTGACTCTATATAGCCAGCTCAAGATTAGCACATATTTGCACAGTATAGTGTAGCACAAATTTGTATCAAGTGTCAGAGTCTCTTAATCTCCCCCTGGATATATTAATAACAAGACTCCCCCTAACTCATATGAGCAAATACTTCTCCTAACTCCCCCTTTTTAATTTAGAATTAGGAATGAATTTCATATAAATTTTAATTCATAAAAAAATCTCCTTGTTTCATTGATTATCATAAAAAATATTTCAAGCAAAAAATCTCCCCATGTTTTATGTAGATAAAAATCTCTCCATGTTACATTAATAAATATGAAAAATAGTGCAAGAAAAATTGAACACAAATTTGGACAAATTAGTACATAAATCAAGGCAGAGAAGATAATGCATCACAAAGTGTCATAGAGAAGAACATCATATTAAAGAGGCAATATCTAGGATACCCAAGACAAATGAAGAGAGAGAAAAATAGGGGAATGAAATATTGCAGAGATAATGGAATGGAATGCAGTAGTTTCCCCCAATTGCTATCTTTTTATTAGGCGACTTTCAAATTCAAATTCAAATTTACTCATATTCCAAAATTCAAATTCAAATTCAAATTGCAACAAATTTCATATTTCAAATTCAAATTCCAAATTTCAGATTTCAAATTCACTCAAATTCCAAATTTCAAATTTTCAATTTTTAAACTTTAATAATTTCAAATTTTCATAAATTCAAATTTCAAACTTTAATAATTTCAAATTTTCATAAATTCAGATTTTCAAAATTCAAACTTTCAAATTTCAAAATTCAAACTTTCAAATTTTCAAAATTCAAACTTTAATAATTCCAAATTTTCATAAATTCAGATTTTCAAAATTCAAACTTTCAAATTTCAAAGTTGGTCAACAATCAAATTTATGTGGCAGATAAGTGTAGATATTCAATGCAGAGGTATGAGAGACAATAATAAACTTATCTTTGTGATATTTTCCTGTTCATCCAGCTTGTTCCTATACACCCATTTAGCTCCAGTAACCTGTATTGACTTATTATCCTTGACAATTACTTGTAACATCAACATACAAATCTATGTATCCTTTAATTATTTTTGGGTCCTTAAAAAGGTTAGTAGAATCACAAGTCTTTTCCAAAATACTACGGATAAAAGAATAGAATCATGATATAATAGATTATTTTTTTTTTCCAAACTTTCAAAAGTTTTCTGTCATAATCAATTATCACAACACCTTCAGAATCAACATAATCAATTATGACAACAAGAAATTACACTCTGGAAGACAACATAATCGATTATCACAACACATACATAAATAACATAATTGATTCTGAAGGTGTTGTGATAATCGATTATGACAGCAAAAAATTACACTCTGGAAGATAACATAATCGATTATCACAGCACATACATAAATAACATAATTGATTATCACAACAAGAAAATTCATCAATATCACATTTGACCCATCATAATCGATTATGGTGATGTCATAATCAATTATGACAACAAGAATTTTTTTTTCCGAAAATTCATATTCTATTAGATGATCAAACTATTGTAGACCCCAAATCTCGCCCGACCTAAAAAATAAAGAGCAGAAGATTTCTGTTCAAAGATGGACAAGGCCTCAAATGTCCCTAGGATTGTTTACTAGACTCAATGTTAGAATAAGAAGACTTTTTGTACAAAAAAATAAGAAAATTCTACCCAGAAGACCGAGATCTCCGTCTCGTTTGGCGAGACCACTATCTCACAATTTGTTAAAAGCGAGACCGCCGTCTCATTTGGCGAGATCGCCGTCTCGCCATTTGTCAAAAGCGAGACCGTCATCTCGTTTGACGAGACCGTCGTCTCGCCATTTGCCAAGAGCGAGACCGTCATCTCGTTTGGCGAGACGACGCTCCCGAATATCGAGACGACAATCCCGAATGGCAAGACGGTCGTCTCGATCTTGTCAGGCGAGACGACCTTCCCGGTCTGATGGGCACAAATTTCTATAAATAAGACATTCGTTCAAGGAGGAAAACACACAGAAACACCCAGAATAGTTATTACTCCGATATTTTGTTTATTTGATGTTTCTACTTCAAGAGTCCAATTCTAGCTCGTTTAGGCAAGTTTTGATTCAAGAAAGGAGTGTCTGTGTAGAGTGCGGGGTTTGCCAAAAAGCGCCTTTACAAAAGTGTTTATAAAAGCTTACTTCGAAGGTTCTTCTATATCCCTTACTCTATTTTATTGCTTTTATTAGTTACCATCTCTGTGCATTAGTTATTAGGGTCATGTAGTCAATAATTTAAATTTTGCAATGAATAAATAAGGGTAAAAGCATAATTTTAATGTTCTTATTTTAAAAATAACATTCCATCATACGGAACCCGAAAGGGGCGTCGTGGGGAAGCTAATATCTTCCCCGCACGTAATTAACTCCCTTACCTAACTCTGGCAGTAATGAACAAAGTTGGTTTTTCTTAAAATCAATGCCTTCTTTTTTCCTTTTTCTGATGTTTTTGGGTAAAAACATTGGTGACGACTCCATAGAACCCTTTTCGAAAACCTCATTCTTAAGAACAGTACGGTTATCAGGCATCTTAAGAATGTTGACCATCTTTAAAAAACACGAGTCGATCAAAACCATCACATCATTCTGACCGCCTCTTTTGACGATGGAGACAACTATCATCTAGACATATATAAATGCTTTGTTCCTTTAGGCACTTATTCATATTTGCCATTAGATATGCCAAAATGTTTTATGTAACATCTATTTGATGTATGACCTAATTTCATGCAATAAAAACATGTTGGTTTTCTTTGAAGAGGTCTAAATGAGTTTCTTAAAGTTCTTAAGACTGGTTTTTCATTTGTTTTCCTTGACTCTTTTACAAAAATAATTTTATGAGGTTCTAGATTTTTCTTAGGTTTGTAACCAAGTCTAGCTTTGCTAGAATCCAATCTTTGATAATCTAACATAGAGTCCAGATTAGCAGAAGATTTGGAAAAATTGCTCATTATTTTCTCTAAACATTTTCCAAATGATTACAATTTTTACAAGGTTTAACAACTTCTTTATTTTTAGACAAAGTTTTAAATTTCTCAACATCCTTCTTTAAGCACTCATTTTCTTTTTCAAGAATACTAACATTATTTCTAATGCATGAAACTTTTGTTTAAGTGCAATATGTTTCTTAGCTAGTCTTTCAAGATGTTCAAACATTTCTTGATAGGCTTCAAACAACTCATCATATGCAATAGATGAATTTGTGCTACTTACTTGTGATGGAGTTTCTTGTGATGAGACTTCATTATTACTATTTGTCATCAAGCAAAGATTTGCTTCTTCTTCTTCATCACTACTTTCGAAAAAACTCTCTTGTATTGTAGAAGAATCATTATCCTCCCAAACAATATAAGATTTGCGTTTGCTCTTATAGATACTGTTCTTCTCTTTCTTTTTCTCTTTCACATCTTTCTTCTCTTTCTTAAGTTCCGGATAGTTTGGTTTGATATGGCTAAACTTTCCACATCCATAACACTCGTACCTATTGGTTTTATCTTTTCTTTGCTGTCTCTTTTTTCTGTTCTTCATAAAACGAGAAAATTGTTTGACTAAAAGAGATATATCGGAATATGAAAAATTAACTTCATTTTTGCTTTTATACTGGGAAGTTTTTACTGCATTTAGAACTATCGTCTTGGCTTGGTTTTGTTCACCGTTCTTTAACCTTTGTAGTTCCATCTCATGCTCAAGCAGCTTTCCAAATAGAGTAGAAATATTCATTTCTGTGAGATCCTTTGATTGTGTAATAGTAGTGACCTTTGGTTGCTTTCAAGTGATTTATTATATGTGTGAAGCGTGTCTGGAAATCCGTGATGCTTCATTTTGCTGCATTTGAAACAATTCATACTCATAGATGAGTGTGTTTTTATGTGTTAGCTTTACTTCATTTGTTCCTTCATGTGTCACTTCAAGAGTGTCTCATATTTCTTTTGCCGTCTTGCATTGTAAGACCCTAAAATATTTATTACGAGTTAAGGCAGAAACAATAGCGTTTTGAGCTCTTACATCATATTGGCCACGGTAGTTTTCATCCGGCGTCCATTGGTCAAAAGTCTTTGGAACAACTCCAGACTCCGTTGTTCTCATTGGAATGTAAGGACCGTTGAGTACAACATCCCAAACACCGTAATATAGTGTTTGTAAAAATATTTTCATTCTCGCCTTTCAAAACTAATAGTCTTCTCCTTCAAACAGTGGTGATTTGTTTATTGATGCTCCTTCCCTGTAATTTCTTAGCTTAGGGTGAGAACTATTTTTGTCTCATCCTCATTTTCTTTTCTTATTCTCAATTCTTAGTTTAGTTTTTAGTTAGGCGAGTCATCTATCGCTACTCGCACTTCCGGTATGTTCTCTTTTATTTAATTTACAATTTCTATTAAATTTTCTAGTTTATATTGTTCTATTTACTTTATTTATTGAGTACTCATTTTAGTTTATGCTATTTAAATATTTAGAATTTTTATTCCAAGATCTTGCTTAATTTTTATTTTCCATTCATCTCTTTTTTAATTCCAATTCTCAATTTAGTTTTAGAGTTATTGTTTTTAGAAATTTCAAATTTAATTACTTGCATTATTTTATTTTAAAGGAATTCTTAATTCTTGCACTTTTAATTAAAAATATTTTATTTTGATTTTATAAATTTTAGTTATTTAAATTCTACTTCCATTTAATTTTAATTGTCGTTAATATTCTACAATAATTTGATTTTAAATTTGTATTATTCTACATCAATTTATTTTCTTTTCACTTTTTCATTCATATCCTATTTACTATTTTAGAAAAAAATGACATGTGATAATAAGTACATTCCTATAATTATGTTCTTGTAAAATTCGATATGAATTAACTATGCTGTATTAGTTTAATAACTTATTTATTATTTTTTAATAATATTTTGTGTAACCAAAATGTTGTTATTACTCGATGCTCTTTCATTTGACAACTACATCAATATGAGCCACATCTACCTTAGCACAAACCTTCTTATAATTGAAAGAACTTCCCATCACCTCTAGACAAAGAGAAAAACAAAAGAAAGAGATAAAAACAAACATGTTAACTAAAGGACCATTCACCTAGACTAGTTCTTACCAACAAAATATGCTACTTTCCTCAACGTATGGGATGGACAAAGACAATAAATCTTTACAACTAATTGAGGCAAGTCGATAAGAGTATAAATGACTACTTTTTCGCTAGCGGACAATAAATGGTCAGCTCAGGATTTGAACTTTACAGAAGTAGCCTAGAAAAGCATGAAATGCAAAGATTATCTAGGTGATGGAATAGGGACTTCGATTGGTCGTCTATGTTATATTTAACTCGGAAGAAATGAGTCTTGAAGTTTTTGAAAGATTGGATGTACATAGAAAACAACCTACCATGCTGAGAGCTGTTGAGGGAAACCCAACCGACATCCGAGCCATACTTTAATTAATAGAAGTACATGAAGATGTTCACAAACAGTTTTATACGAAGAAAGAAACACAAGATCTGAAACACTTTAGAAAAGCCCAACTGTTGGGATGTAGATATAAAATCCTCTTCATCAACGTAAGGCGTCATGTATAAAATGGGCATAAGCATGTTCACAAATGTCAAATGACTTAGAAAACTCCTCTATAGATGAGGCAGAGGTAAAGTCAGAGGTGTAATAATGCACCTCGTTCAACACCCAAAAAAACGTCTAAGCTTAGCACCACTACTCGTTCCCTCTAACTCTCCCTTTTTTGAAACTCTACCTTTGCACTTTTTAGCCACTGGAGCAACAATGATGACCTTCTTTGACGAAGCAGAGGCAGCCAAGGATCCCTCAAAATCAGTGGAAGCACCACCAATTAGATGCACCTCATGAGAGGTGAGACAACACTCGTGGTTAGAAAACCCATCGAAGAAGATGCAGATGTACAAGATTGCTTAAAAGAAGAAAGAACAGTTAAACATGTAAAGATTGTAGGCAATAACCAAACACAACAAAGACGAAGGAAAGAGAAATTTGACGAGAGCAAGAGAAGTTATCCAAGAACGAAAGCAAAATGTGACAGACGAAGAAGCTAAACAAATGATATAAAATGTAAAAACTAAAAAATGCTTTGTATTCTGAGCAAAAGCCTAATGATCACGACCTGCTCCCCTAATTAATGCACTGACAAAAATGGCGAGATTATAAACTTGTTCGTCCTCAGTAACATACCTGCATACACCAAAGGACTACGAGTTTGAGGGACTTATGTATCTAAATGGTCCCAAAATAATTGAAGAGGTTTTGGGAGGTACCTCTCCCACTCTGTTTCTACTCGTATTAATAATTTTATTTAAAATTAATAAAGAATAAAAAATTCACGGTCCATGGATATATAATTTTCTAAACGAGTATCTAACATAGATATTAAACTTATTACTATAATTAAATTTAACATGTATAAATTAATCATGAATACTGTATTTACTAATTAATGTATGTAGCATATAATCATAAATATTAAAATTATGTAATATTCTACTTATAAGTTAACACTACACTTTATCTTCAAGAATCCGTTTTAGAGGAATTGAAAAAGTGAAATGGAAAATTTATGATTGAAATAATATACAGAAAAATGTACAGCATGAATACGATAGCCATTTCTCAGAAAACACAGTAAAATGTTGAAACTTTAAATAACACCCTCTTCTGTGAAGAGTTTAGCTGCATCAATGAGCATCTTTTTCTGCATACATGATGAATTGTTAATTTGATTTGATGTGAGAAAAACATTGCCCTAGTAATCAGAACCTATAAGATTTAGGAGAAAATCTCTGTAATGACCTGATGTGTCAGAACGAACAGCATGAGTTAATGGTTTTCCATATTTCTTATAATACGCTATTTTTATGTGATACATGTCTATCTCAGTCCTTGTCACAACCACCCTTATTAGTCTCCTATCTTGAGTTCCCACACCCTTCATTGACTTCCGCAAAATCTACCAAAAAATGAAATAAAATCATTAAGTTATCAATTTTAACACATGCAACACATAATCAAGTCCTGATTCAAATAGAAAATTCATGGGAACAAGAAATACCTTGGCAAAGTACAGAGCAGGATCAGTTGCACATCGAAGTATGGCTAAGAGGCCACTGGCAAAAGAGCCAGATGTTTCTTTCTTTATTGCCTTTTCTAATGAGTGTCCATATGAAGTTTTGTAAGCAGAGTTAACTGCAGTCAAATGTGTGCTACTTTTTTCACTAAAAATCTTGATGAACGTCTTCTCATCAGTTCCCATCCTTTTCTCCCCTGCTTTATACAGTTCTTTCGCATCCTCCTCTACAAGTGCAGGATCCAACTCTGGGCCTTCATAACGTGGTGTAGTTATATATGCAATCAACAACTATATTAAAGTATCCAACATTGTATAAGATCCCTGAATATAATTTTAGTTTAATTGATTCTAAAACTTTGAACATAACATACTTAAATTTTGTTTCCCCTCACTCTATTTGTGTATGAAGTTCTTGATTTTGAATTTTCTCTTTTAACATGACATGTGTTATGCTACAAAATGAAGGTATTTCAATCCTTTTTACATTCATTGAAAACCCCTTTACATTAACAAATGTTTCTCATGAATCTTATATAATAGATAATGCACAAGTGTTCAGGAGGGGTATGAGATAGAGAAACACCTTCTTATGATCACCACTGGTGTGGTTTTCAATGTCTGTCTCAAGAGGGGACTGATAAGTTGACAGATAAACTTCTTTTAATCGTCTAAGCTGTGATGGAGTACGAGAACATATAGTTTCTGTTAAAGCGTGATTATCAACAGCTGGGGTACTTCTTAAGGCTTTTCTCACTACCTTAGCATCCCTAACTGGAGGCTCATGCAGCCAAAGTGTCATTGCTTTCTGCATGCATTTAGAATCAAGATGAGAAAAATATACTTATATTCTCTTCTCATTTGAGAGGTTGGTAAAAAGCACAAGCATTCCTTGCAATTTTAGTTATTCTACTATTGTCATTTTGATTATTTGGTCTCTCTTATTTTGCAGATTTATGTTCTTAAACAAGCAAACAAAAGTACCTAAATAGAATTATGTTAAGGGCAACACAAAACTGTGACATTTGTGCAAGTACCTTGGCATGTCCATGAAGCTCTTTTGATATCCGTTTGGAAAATAGTTCAGAGTAGTTGGTTTCATATTCTTGTTGAATGAGACTGCGTTGTTCTTCATTTCTGTGAGCCAAGATTTTGATAACTTTTGACGTATCACAACCAAGGCCTGCAAATAAAAATATAATACGATAACTTGATATTTGTCTGTACAAACATTAAGAAAAAACAGACCCATTTTACCAGATTCAATGTGATATGGAAAAGAAAAGAAGAAAAAAAATGTGTTTCTTTGTGTGTGTTGATTAAGAACCTTTGAAAGCTTTATGCAGCTTGATAGCATCTTCTCGAGGTGATGGTATCACTGGAGGTATTCTCAAAGTTGACATTATCAATTTTCTCTTCTTCAATATCTCTGTCAAACAATGTTTTGCTGTGTTATTTGCTCATGGCATTTTGAATGAAACACACGAAATAAACTTGGCTAACACTTCTTGCCAAACTCAAATGCAAAAAATTACTAATATTGGTGCCTTTTTTGTTATCATCTCAAATTTAGGACCCAAAATCTTCCTCAACTAATTTAAAGGGCAACTATCCACAAATATAGTAAAGTAGAGCAATGGCCAAGAGATGTATCTTCCTCTAGACTTACGTATATCCTTTTATTTTGATTATGATTTATATATATATATATATATATATATATATATATATATATATTAAATATTATATTCAATTCTTACATTTAGTAAAAAATGACATAGTTTTATAATTTCCCTTCAGGTACTTATTTCTTAACTTTAATATAATTATTTTTAGAATTAATAATTATCAAATTTTTTCAATAGTTGATAATTTAAAACTTTTACAAAATACAGTTTTTTCATAATATAAATAATATTTGTAAGGAGCCTAATATAATATTTGAATATATATATATATATATATATATATATATATATATATATATATAGTTTTTGAAAAATTGTCATATTTTTCTTTTGATCTATATTTTTATCTTGTTTTTATCATTATTTATTTAATCTCACTTTTCACCATGAAATATACATGATAAAACAATTTTAAGAACTAAAGAAACTAATAAAAATCCAACACTATTTGAAGAACGAAATCATATTTAAGTTTAAGGCTAAAATGTTATAGAAAAAGATTAAATCCAAAATATGTTTCTAGTAATTGAAAATGTTTTTTTTTTAGCTTATGAACTTTTGATCTTTAAATATTAATACATTTTGTATTAAACTATTATTTTTTTATATTTTCTTTTTAGTATTTCTTCCGTTTTTGTTGAAGTGTCTTTAAGAATTTTTTAGAAAGTAAAAAATATAAAAAATTATTCTGATTTTAATAAAATATTTATTAGATTTTTTTTTAATTCTTAGATCATACTAAACATATATGTAAATTAATTAAAGATTATGTGAAGGGTAGGACATCAATAAAAAATTAATTAATATTGTCTTGAATTTTGAAAATAATAGGTAAATAGATTTTTTTTTTTTAATTTTAAATCTGCCAACAAATGCACTATTATGTTACTCTTTCAATTAATTTTTTAGATTTTTATTTTTATTTTAACCTTTTCCATTAATAGAGAATATGTTTTACATTAATTTAATTTTGGAGGAGGGGAACAAAATAAGAGGCGGAGACGGACATGTCAGTTGTACAGTGCAGTATATATGCTGAGACAACATTATTTGACTCATGTTGCTGTGTGTCACAGTTCCTCAAAACTGAAAGAAAGCCCTCAGCTAAAAAGATTGAAGGAAGCATTGCATAACAAAGAAAAAGGTGATGACTTCATTATTTCACGATTGCGCTCAAATCATCACACCCCTCACACAACTTTGAACCATCTCCTGTTATTACCTCTCAAATCTCATCTGGGCACACTCGTATCATCATTTGTAGTTTTATTTTTCATTTGGGTCGGATCAATTTGTGTAAAAGTTGAACCTTTGTTCACTTTTTACTTATTTTTGAATTTTGCCCCTCTTTCTCTCTCTTGAAATTTGGCTTTTTAGTTTCTCTTTCTTGATGTTGTATCATTTGTCAGATATTAATGGGCACTGCAGATTCCTGTGGCTTGCAACTTGGGTTGTGGCTTTTTCAACCCCAGCTGTCCTATTTGTAGCAAAGCAGTTGTTGGGATGGGACCAAATTGACACATCCTGCTCCTGTGTGTGGGTTTTCAATACAACCATCAATATCATTTATGATTTGTGTGTGAGTTCTACCCATGGAATTTTCACCAAATACTAGGGTTTTACCTAAGCCTGAATTTATTATCTATGAGTGTGTGTTTCCCCCTCTTTTTTACTCTTTAGGTTGTTTTTATATGTCTTTATCAGATTGATCGTGAGTTTTATCTTATTTTATTTAGGCTGAAATGAAGTTAGTTTCAAATGTAGTTTTTATGAAATGTTTTCTATGATTTTTTGGAAAAAAGTTGGTGTGAGAATTTCTCTTTTACCGTCACAGTCAGAAGTAGGTTTTACTGACAGTGAATGTAATATGTTAGGTGGCCTTAAAGAAATCTTTTTATTGTTGGTTGGTTATTGTGTCAGGAGCTTGACAGTGCGTGGGACCTTGTGCATCCTTTTTTTTTTTTTCTTCTCTTTCGTTTTTTGATGAAACTCTGCATCCAGTGTTAAAGTGGAGATTAGTTGTTAATTCATTGAACTCTTATAATGCACTTTTCATACACCTACTGCATGGATTCTACAGTTGAGAGTAATTCATTGGATGTTAATGGGGTTGGTTTTCTTGTTTCTGTTATGTTGTTAGATCAAAAGTGTTTAGATTAAGAATATTTATTGGTTTTTGTATTTGAGTGTAAGGCGGTTTTATTAACTTCCAATCTGGGAAACAGACTTCGAACCAAATTGATAATCAGTGTGTATATTCTTATACCCTTTTTCACTTTTATGAGATTTTAACCTTACAAGTTTCACTGATTCTGAGGCCTTGATGCCTAGTTTGTTACTACGAATTACTGTCTGTTACATGGCATGGATGGAAAACAAAATATGATGCCGAGTGTGTTGTTCAGTGAAAATGAGTTTTACAGTAGCTATACTTATGGGTGAAAGTTTTGTGGGCCTATGCTGTTGAAACTGTTATTATCAGTAGGGCTATGGTAAACTGAAGTTTGTTTTTTATTGAATGGAAAATAGCAATTTTGAATGTCCTTTGCTTTTCCCTTGTAGTCTTATCTATTCTTCCTTCTTTGTTTGTTTCTGAAAGGTCTTTTTCTCAATCTGAAATCCTAGCTGGTAATTACATTGATTTCATTGACTAGCCTTCACGTTAATTTCTAGATTTCACTTCTCTAAAACTGTCGTGTATTACACCTATGATTTTATGATTGTCAGACTGAGATATTTTTCATGTTCTAACTCGACCTTTTTTGCCCTTTCATTCATCAGCAGGTCAGAAATTCACCAGTGTCCGGTTCTTCGAATTTTAGAGCAATTCATCTTTGAAATTTCACATACCTCATCAGATTTCTGGGATTCCATTGGTATTGAGCTTATTTCAGCTTCCTGCCATTTTCTGCACATCAGGCTGCTCCTTATAGTCCAACATATCTGGTCCCTAAGTTTATAGCATGCCGGGAAGGTTAGTATATGTGGTACTGGCCGTAGAGCAGAGCAGAGGTTCTGGTATATAAGATGGTCTTAACCTAGATTTAGAGCTGTTGGTAGGTAGAAACCTTTATTCTCCTTTGAATCAAACTCAGTATTTGCTTCAAACAAGACTAGATGACTGTGGATGAAGTGGATAGTAGCTCCGAGTGGAGCAGAGAACAGGATAAAGCATTTGAAAATGCATTGGCAACTCACCCCGAGGATGCTTTGGATCGATGGGAGATGATTGCGGCTGATGTGCCGGGGAAGACTATAGAAGAAATCAAACAGCATTATGAACTCTTGGTTGAAGATGTTAACCAGATTGAATCTGGTTGTGTGCCTTTACCATCTTATAATTCTTCTTCAGAGGGCTCAACAAGCCATGCTAGTGATGAAGGAGCTGGCAAAAAGGGCAGCGGTCTTGGGAATTACAACAGTGAGTCTAATCATGGAACTAAGGCTTCAAGATCAGATCAAGAACGACGGAAGGGGATTGCTTGGACAGAGGATGAACACAGGCAAGTTCATTATTGCTTATATTTTTTTTTTGAAAAAACCCTATATGCTACTAATGCTAATATAGGTTACATGTAAATGGTTATTCTTTTCATCTCAAGTCTATGATGTTTAACACATGCTTTTGTTGTTAGTTCAAGTTTAATCCTGTTGTGGACTCTGTATACAATCTTATGCAATCTGAACCTTATGATATATTTTAGTCGCAGTTTACTTGCGCATCTAAAAAATTTCATTTGCAGCCTTTTGTACATCTCTCTCTCTCTCTCTCTCTCTCTCTCTCTTTTTTTTTTTTAATGTATCTGTACTAACTAATAATTATCTTAAAAAAAAAAAAATTCAAAAACAGTTTTTTGAGGTACTCCTTAAAATGATAGCAGTTTTAGGTTAGGATGAAGTGATGGGAAACAGAGGTGGAGAAACGGAATCTCGATGTTGAACTGAGTTTTGATCTAGTTTTGCACTATGTATGCTAAATAGATATGCTGATAAAATAGGAAAAAAAAACTTGGGAAGTATACTAAATTTTGACCCAGTACACCAAAATACTGAACCAGCCCCAATGATGTGGAAGATTCACCAAGATGTGCAGTAAATCAGCCAGATAGCAAAATATAGGGTCGAGAGAGATGGGGCAGGATGGCAAGGCAGATTTACAAAACAGATGTGGCATAGATAAAATGAGAGATGAACAAGAAGTGATCTGCAAAGGGCTTCAATGAGAGATGTGGGTCTGTTAGGGAAGAAAAAAGTCACAACTTAGGGTCCAAAAATGGGTTTAAACTCTTGGTTTATGTGGACGGGTTGCACAACCCAACCCAACCCAACCCAACCCAAAAATCTCCAATTTGAAGGATTGTCACTCAAAATCTTTTGCAATTTCACTATGGTTTTACCTATATGTGATTTCAGGTCCAATCCAGATTAGGACAGGGCTGGAGGATCTTAAGATTTTCAGATACAATTTACAAACTAGTTTGCAATTTTAACAACATTGGATGCTTCCTTTGATGTGTGGTCTCTTGTTGTTTTTGTCTATATAATATACACCCGTTTGCTGGAATACTTCCATGATAGGTCATTTTCCATATCTGTATCAGTTTTTAAATGGCAATTTGGAGTAATTATGCCTCATAAACAAGTTTGTTCTGTTGTGTTAACTATGCTTTGTTAATAGCCACTGGTCAGCCTTTCAATTTTAAAACGTGTTATTCTTTTCTTTTTCAATTTTACACTTTCCTTTACCAGGATAAGAGAACCTAAACTGTATTTGAATGAGAGTGTAGTTATTTAGATGTTCAGTGCAACATTTTTGAAGACTTAAATCTATAAAAATTCAAACATATGATTTGCATCTAAGGATGTTCCATGAAAGTAGTTATTTTCTGCCATACTGATTTATGTTATTTGGTTCTTATTTCCTGCTTGATATACTCTGCTTCAATTGATTCTGCACTTATCTTCATTGGATGACATAACTCATGTTTGGGTCACACCAATTTGCTTTGCTAGTAACAGATTGTCTTTGATCATAGCTTCTGGGAATTCAGTTTCATCTTACTGTAGTAAATACAAGTCTAGCAAGACTCTTACACGTTATACCTTTTGTGGAGATGCTTTTACAATCTTCACTTTAATAGTTGTGGTCTAGATTGAAGGTTAACCTTATGGTCGTATCAACAGCCAAGTAACTAAATTAGAGCATCTGAGGGTATGAGATCTTATAACTGCAAAAACAAATTAACACTTGTGTCCTTGTCTTGTCCAATCACAAATGTGAATGGTAGCCTGAACCCGTAATTGACAAGGAGCAGTTTATATATGGATTAGGGTTCTATTAGGACTCATTGTTTTATAATAGCTTTATATTGAGATTTTGTTCATACTGGACTGGATCATTCTTCTATAGTTCCATTTCATAATGTCAAGTGCTCAAGGATTGGTTTTTATTTTGGCATGTGTACTAGAATGAATAAATTAACCATAGACATTTAGGTGAACCAGTTAACCTTAAATCTACTTGTGTTGTGGACTTCTCCGAAATAGAAAAAATTAGTAATATGGTGTCTCAAGTCTTTCCTAAGTCAATGCATTTAAAACAAAAAGGAAATTGTGCTATCTACATTGGATTATTATCAATAGCATGAAATAGTGACCTGGATAGCCCTTTGCTGATACGGGAAAGCCATCACAGGGCATTTTTCTGTCATGACTGTTGTGGCTGAAATAGCTAGCGATATTGTGGTAAATAGCATGCTGTAGTGGCGCTATGACAATTGGAATTGAAAACCACTTTCTGTCCCTATCCACTATTTTATTTTGCGGATGGATTTGAGGATTTTACTCCTTTTCAGGCCTAAGTGAAAGCAATTCGCCACTTTCTGTTACAACATACGGCCACTATTTCTCAACTCTGAAGGCCACCAATCCACTATTGTCAGAGACATTCTTTTCCCCATCCTTTTTCTGGCAATCTCTTGAATTGGCTGCATTCTGTCTTTGTTTGCAACAACTTTTACTTCTATATTTTCTTAAGAAATAACTTTTTCTTGTTAGATAATGAATTCTGACTATTTTTCCTGCGGCATTTATATTTATGTAGTTATGCACTGTAAATTATATAAACTAAAGAAAATATGACGTTAGTGGCCATCTTGCTACGTTGCTATTTGATATTGATAGCTATGCTATATGGTAACTTGGTAACTGAGTTTCTAACTTCCCATCTGAATTTCAATGCAATTTCTCGTAGTCAAAGCCTTAATGAAAAAATGGAAAAGCCATTGGCATACACTGTGGCTTCATACACTTATTTTGGACATAATTTTAGTCACGTGTGCTTTGAGTCCCTTGTAAGTTAAAGGTGTTTTCAGGGTTTTGGTTTTGTTCAAGGTGTTGATTGTTTAGGAATTGACGTTCTATTTGGAGAGTATATGAGAGGATGCATTGGGTATAACCCTTTAAGGGCCACTTTAATTGTAGAAAGTGGCAGAGATTAGTCAGTTTCTAGAGACTAAATAGAGGATGATAGGGAATGTTGAAGGGAAAATATATTGTAATTTGGCAACTGGGGCGTGAGTTAGGTCACTTGAACTACTTGACAACTTGCTTTAGTCTTGCTTGACCAGTTAAGTCTGTTCCACTTTGGGTCAGATTTGGGATTAGGATTAAAATCATTCTTGATTTCTATTTTGATTTTGATTCCTATCATTAATGCAGTGCAATTGGGATTGATGCTGGCTTAGATGCTGAGATACTGGCATAGGCTTGAAGTCTAATTTTATAATGCCTTTTGGGCTATGAGGGAAAAAAAAGGTCATAGAGTGGAAGGTCCATTTCAGGATAAGGAGTTCTTTTTAAATCTTCAATTTGGCTTGGTGTCTGTGTTTTTTGGCAATTGTTCTGATTCTCGTTTGTAAATTCAAAAAAATCCTGTTTTAAAGCGTTTTCTTTATTGAGTGGCATTGTGTAATTAATTGGTGCATACTCATATTACTCTGTTTTCCCATTTTATACGCTAAGTTTTACATTGCTATAAAAGTATTAGACACATTTTGGATTTGTTATACTTTTAAAGTAATAATGCAAATGGTCAACAACCAAATCATCTTCTTAGATCAGTAAGTAGTGCATTAAGTAACGTATTCTTATGTGCTGGAATAAGAGAATCCAATCGGATACTTCATTATAGATTATTGTAAATTTTCCTAAAGGAAGAAAGATTACAAATAATTCCTAACAAAAGATTTTCTAATCACTTGTCTTTGTTGGTAATTTGAAGTAACTACAAATTCTTGGACCAAATTTCACATTATTTTGTAGTTTGAATAGAGAGCTTACATGATGAGTTTCAGGTCCCTAATATATGACTAATTTTTGTTTTGACTATCCAATAATTTTTTTCTTGAAATTGGGTGGAATAGTTAATTACCATATTTAGTTTAAGTATCTGACGTTACCTTCGTCAATTCTACTACCTACGTATCTGTTACGTTGAAATATATGGCACATGATTTGGAATATTAAGTCTCTTTTCTTACCTATACTTACCATGTACTTACCAGGTGCATCATTACATGATGAAAACTTTTTGCATGTTATGATAAAAAAATAAGTTGAGGGACCAAAAGAGAAGTCTAAAAATATTTTAGGGATCGTTTAAAAAAATCAACATAATCATGACAAAATACCAATAAATATTATTTTCAGGGATTTAAACCAAAATTTTATTATTTATTAGGTACTCAAGGAAAAGAAATTTTTTATTAGGTACTCAAAATAAAATCATATCATATATTGAGGACCTAAACTTATTCAAGCCTAATATTTTATCATTTAATATATTAGATTGGAGGACAGGAAAAAGGAGATAGAGAGTAGCCACCAGAAAATATTTCATTTCAGAGTCTTCATAAATATTGCAGTGGCTGACTTATATTCTCATTATAACCATGATTACGAAAAATAAACTGAATTTTACTTTGAACACCTACAAGTAATTATTAAATCAAACAGGAGGAATGAGCCAAATAATTCCTGATTTTGTTCCCAATACATTTACAGGGTTAAACAAAGGTTGGTTGGTACATTGAAACAATTTTGTAAGATTTTTAGGTACTTTTTTTTTTTTTTAAATCACTGAGATCAAATTGGCTATATCATATGACTCATATTCCCATTAACAATCTATAGTGTGTAAATTTTTGGTCTGTTATTTGTTTCTATTTTCCATTCAGGACATGGTGAATGTCTTCTGGAAGGCTATGACTGACGGTACCTCTACCTTGTATAATAGTCTAAGCTAACTGTTGATTTTGATATTATTAGAATTTAAGGTTTTAGATTAAAGGTAAAGTCATATTTTCTTATATGATTATTTTGCCTTCCTTAACCACCCCTTTTAAAATATGCTAACAAATACAAGTAAGGAAATAATGCTTATTGGATTTCTTCAGTAAAGAGTTAAAATCTGAGGACCAGTGATTGCATCAGTGTGTGGATTTTACAGTTTATGGTTGCTGTTATTGAACGGTTCTCTTTTTTGGATATCAGATACATGCATCCATATGCTAAACTTTAATTTGTTTTAAAATTTCTAACTGTTTGAACAGGTTATTTCTTCTGGGCTTGGATAAGTATGGGAAAGGTGATTGGCGAAGCATATCAAGGAACTTTGTGGTGACAAGAACACCTACACAAGTTGCAAGCCATGCCCAAAAATACTTCATTCGATTGAACTCGATGAACAAAGATAGAAGACGATCCAGCATACATGATATCACCAGCGTTAACAATGGAGACGTTTCAGCTCCACAAGGACCAATTACCGGTCAAACGAATGGTTCTGCCACAAATTCTACCGCCAAAGCAACCAAACAAGCCACCCCGGCCTCAACCGGGGTGTCAGGAGTTGGAATATATGCTGCTCCTACCATTGGACAACCTATAGGAGGACCCTTAGTATCAGCTGTTGGCACCCCAGTGAACCTTCCTGCACCTGGGCACATGGCATATGGTGTGAGAGCCCCAGTTTCAGGTGCGGTTGTACCTGGTGCACCGGTAAGCATGGGCCCTGTGACGTACTCTATGCCGCATACATCTGCTCCTCACAGGTGAAGTGCTGCTTAGAGGCCATAATGTACAAAAGAAAGAAGAAACTAGTGGTGGCTTCTGTAGTTCATGTAATTCTTTTCCAGACAATTGCTTTTGGTTATATTATATGCAATGCAACAATGAGTTATATGCATAATCAGTCATTTCAAATAAGCCATTTGAGGAAGCAATTGAATGTATCCGCATAGGCTGCCATTGATTGTTTGACAGCCTTGACATAGAACAGCATAAAAGTACGGTTGTTTTGTAGACATTTGAATTGGTATTGTTAAACCGTGCTACAGAGGAGGTTCTATGGATTTCAAGTGTAAATTATTGTTGCATTCTCTTTTGGTCTTTTTGCTGCAAAATTTAGTAGGATTAAGTCAATCCTTGTATACCAATTGGAGATATTCAAAAATAGTTTCAGTAACATTTTCGTAGATGGAAAATTTTAGTTTTTCCAGAATATGAAGTTCAAAAACATAGTTTCTTATGTTTGCTTTAACGGTTTGAAAATCATGATTTCTAAAAGCTTATGAATACTCCTAATACTATTTTTCTCCAATAAAACAATATTAATTTAATCACATGAACAAATTTATATTTTAGCAAATGCTCCCTTATTTCTCAAACAACAAAATTTACCTTCGTTTTGTGCCTTGAAATTTAGAAATATGTATTGAAATTACCAACACAATCCAAACATTTCCTAAGAGTTTTCCATGGGGATATGAGTGTTAACATTGATTTTCAAAATTTTCCCAAGTGGATTCTTATAAGCGATCCGTGATTGTCACTTAACTTTCAACTGAAAAAGTGGCAACTGAAGGGCAAGATTTAACTTGTGAAGCACAAAAAAGAGAAAAACAAAAATTGAATTTAATGCCATTGTTTAATTTGTTGGTGTTGTTTTCAGGGTTTAATTATTCTTTTATCATTGAGTTTTTTTTTTTTTTTACTTTCTGTATATTTTGTCATTATGTTTTTAAATTTTTTAATACATTTTGATTGAATTTTAAAACGATTTGACTAAGCTTTAGGCATAAAATAAGAATATTAATTATTCTTTAATTAATTTATTTATTTATTTTTTTCTTTTTAATTATTATTACTTTATTAATCCCTTTTACGCTGTGTACCAAGGCACATGCTAGATAAACATAGCATATGTGTTGTGGTCTATGGCAATTATTACCAACTAAGTTATTGAGTAAGTGAGTCATAACTTAAACTACATGACTCAATGTAGTTTTCTACTATATTTAAAATTATTTACTCATCATTTTCCAAAAGAAGGTTTCATGTTTCACTAAGTTTCACAATGAAATAAATAGTTTCATCATATTTTTATCGTACTAATATAAATTATTTTAGCATTAGATTTTCAAAACGGGCTTCAAATTAATTTAAGTTATATAACTTGTATATATATTCATATTTATTTTAAAATTCATATATAAATAAAAATAATTTAAAATGTTTAAACACAATTTAAAATTAATTTTTATAACATTTATTTATAATCACCATTTTTTTAATTATTTTTTTAAAACGCGTATATTTCACCTCCTTCCTCTTAAAAGGGCATAATTTTGATTTTATTGTTTGAAGTATTTTCAAATTATTATGGGAAATATTAAAATAGCTTATGAGATTTAAATATAGTATGAAAACGCTATCTACTTTATCACACTAAATAAATTTTAGGATATAATTAGACTTGTCATCAATTCATCCACATAACCTAACAAATTTTCTCTTCTAAATTTTATATATATATATATATATATATATTTGTTTTCTACCTATAAACCTTATGAATTTTATATTTCACAACAATTTTATAATTTAATTCTGATATTTATTTCGCCGACCTTTATGGGGAAAATTGTGAAGATTAGTGGAGAAAATGAAACTAATTTACCATTTCTAAATGAATGAAAATTATTTGGTAATTTTAAATTGATAATAATATAAAAAAAATAACATAAAAAATTGTTACCAGCTATTTCTTCAAACTTATTTGATCATGGTTATGCAGTGTGTCAGTTTTCACCAGTAAAAAACAATGAAATCACTTTTAAATTCATGATGTTGTTTTCGTTTACCTAAAATTGTTGCCTTGGCATCATTCGCACGTTTTGATTTCGTGGATTCGGATCACTTGCAATTCACAAATTTAAAGTCGAAACAAATTGACACGTTTCTTCTTACATTCACTGTATATAATAATATGTAACTGAAGTCTTATCTTACCACATAAGAAAAAGTTCTAGTAATGGCTTATTATACAACCTGCTCCATCATTTTGATGCACATTTGCACCACTTTTGCTGTTGCAAGCATTAGCAATGACTTGGTGAAACCCAAGTTCTCATCCATTCTGGTCTTTGGGGATTCAACAGCAGACACAGGCAACAACAACTACGTCAAAACCATTTTCCTTATGGTAAGGATTTCCCTGGTCATGTGGCTACTGGTAGATTTTCTAATGGAAAGTTGGTTGGTGACTTCATTGCCTCAATGTTGAACCTCAAAGACACTGTTCCTCCTTTCCTTGACCCTAAGCTATCAGATGAAGATCTTCGAACAGGTGTTAGCTTTGCATCTGGGGGATCAGGCTATGATGATTTGACCATTGCTTTATCAGGTGCCATACCAGTGTCCAAACAAATTGAATACTTCAAAGTTTATATAGGAAAGCTCAAGGGCATTGCAGGAGAAAATGAAGCTAAACAAATACTTGGAGATTCTCTGGTTTTTATCAGTGCAGGAACTAATGACTTTATCCTCAATTTTTATGACTTTCCCACTAGAAAAATGGAGTTCAACATTGACGGACACCAAGATTACGTGCAGAATAGGCTTCAAACATTCGTTAAGGTAACGTGAGTTATTTATTGTAAATTCGTATTCTTATTATCATAATCATATAAAAGAACCTGTTAATCTTGTTATGACTCAGGACAGGCTCAATTTCAAAGCTGTGTAGAAGAATACACATTACCACCAACTCATGGCATGTACTTTATGTAAAAAATTGTAGGAACTATACGGCCTTGGATGCAGAAAATTTGCTGTCTCTGGGCTTCCTTGCATTGGTTGCTTACCCATTCAAATAACAGCAAAGTTAATAACGGATAGGAAATGTGCAGAGAATGAGAATTCAGATGCAAAGCTCTACAATAAAAAATTGGGACGGCTATTACTTCAATTACAAGCAATGCTTCCAGGAAGTAAAGTTGTTTATACAGATGTATATGACACATTGTTCAATCTTATCAATGAACCACAAAAATATGGTGAGTATTATGGAGCATATCATGATCATGTTCGTTTACACTGTATTTCCATGAGCACCTACAATAAAGAAAAATAAGATTAGAGTTTTGATGAGATTTGACGATACAGGTTTGAAGGAAACGAAGAGAGGGTGTTGTGGAACTGGGTTGTTTGAAGTGAGTTCATTTTGTAACGAATTCAGTAGAATATGTGATGATCCTTCAAAGTATGTATTTTGGGACAGTGTCCATCCAACTGAAGTAGTCTACCAGCATGTTGCCAAATACATAGAAACTGAAGTTCTTCCAAAGTTCAATTAATTTCTAGGATATATATAATGTTCGCTTTTATTATATTATCTCCGCTCTTGGGTTTTACTGTCTGAGCTTCATAGTTATGTGATAATCTGAAAAAGTATTTAAAGACAATATTTTTACATGTCAGGAAGTTTTTATTCCTTATTTTATTCAAGTGATTACATGTTGGTTAGAGTAATAAATACGATCATAAATGACTTTATTAGTAGCTTTAATTACCATCAGCCATAATCTCTCCAATTAAGTCCATATTACAAGATTACTTCATAATAATAATTAACTCTAAGCAAAATGATTATGTCAAACTCAAACAATAAAGAAGACATTTTTATTCAAACTGTTCTTCTAGTAACATTGAAAACAATAAAGAGCCACTGTCACCGGGGAGAGAAGAAGAAACGAAAACCCTAGCCGAGAACAACTGAATTTTCCTTTTAATACAAGTTTGTAACTTTTTTTAAAGAGAGAATCAAGTTTTTTAATAAAAATTCTTAAGAATACTTTAACAAATTAAATTCAATTAACGAAATAAAAAGAAGGGCGTGAATGACTTTGTATAAAGATTTAAAAACCACAATAAAAAAGCTTTTAAGAAAAATCATATTCTGATAAAAAACATTCAAAATATATTTTTATAGTGAAATATATAAATAGATTAATAGTAATTATCCAAAACTATAGGAAAATATAAAAAGTATTTGATAAAAAATTATTAGTTACATTTTTTAATCTAATCATTAAATTTTCAAAAAAAATATTGCCAATTTATGTTTGGAAGCGTTTATTTATTTTCAGAACTTAAAAACAAGTAAAAATTAATTATAGAAGAAAAAACTATTAATAAAAATATTATTCAATAGAATTACAACTTATTGAACGAATTTGTTTTAAATGTATAAAATAATACATATGTGGTTATACAAATTTATAAATTTTATTAACTAATATAGTGATTAATTTATTAATTTTGGAATTGAAAAATGGGTCATCAAATTAATCATTAATTTATAAAAAATAAAATTGGATAATAATTATAATTTTCTCCTATTAATTCGATTACTATTATATCTATACTTTAAAAAAATAAAAAATTGACCAAAGTACGAAATTCAACTGAAAAACCAGATGCTCTCATGTATATGTTAGTGTGTAACATGACACTGTTACTGTTATAACAGTTAAACTGTAGCAGTTGGAATGTGACGATTTCAAAGTTATATATATTATATACACAAAGGTTACAGTAGCTATGCAAATCAATCCACACCATCACGTTCATTCAGTTATATTATTCCTTTGATTGAAGTGAGATCAAAAGAGAAAAGAAAAAGAAACAGGAATCTGTCGAAGAAGGTGGCCACTAATTGTTCATAACGAATCCATGGAGGATTTGAAGCGCAGCAGAGAACTCCCAAACCAAAATACCAACAAAGTCTTATATATGTTCTCTATCTTCTTTTTTTTTTTTTTTTTTTTTCATGTTATTTTCTTAATACCTTTCTAATTACTTCACTAGTATCACTTCTTGATTACTCTCTCTCTCTACTTTCCAGATTTACCTGTAATGGGTGTATCTTGATCACTTCATTACATTTATCACTTCTTTTTGTTTTCTTTTTCTTCTTATCACTCTCTTTTCACTATCCAATTAACCTGTAATTGGAGTGTATCTTGATCAATCATTATAACTTTTCTTTCATGGCTATTGTTTACAATGTGTGTTTTCTTTCTAAAAAAATAGGGTTCTTTGATATGTTGGTGCGGAAAATGAAAAATCTATTATTTTCTTATAGGTTAATAATTTTACACCCCCTTAAAATGTTTGGTATAATTTGTAGGGAAGAGAACAATCAGAACAAACGGAGATGCATAATGTTCCAGATGTAAATTTTCCAAACATGGGACCACAGAGCATGGAACTGCAGAATAATCTTTTGGAAAGGCAGAATGCCCAAGAATATTTGGAAAGCATGGAGCTGCAGAATATTCTCATGGAGGAGCAGAATGTTCAAGAAAATTTGAAAGCCTTGGAGTCGCTGAACAGTATAATGGAGAAGCATAATGCTCAAGGACATCCGGAAACCATGTGGCAGCAGGATGTTTACGTGGAGCAGCAGCTGAATGATCAAGGACATTTAGCGACCATGAACACGCAGAATATTCAAGGAAATTTGGTTATCATGGAGCTGCAGGATTATCTCATGCAGCAGAAAAATCTTCTAATGGATCAGCAGAATGGTGACGACCCTTTCTTAACCATGGAGCAGCAAAATAATTTCATGGAGCAGCAGAATGTTAATGAAAATAACTTAACCATGGATCAGAAGTTTTTTAATGAATATTTGGCGACAATGGAGCAGCAGAATGGGCCAGAAAAATTGGCGACCGTGGATCAGCTATATGTACCAGAACAATTTGAAAACATAGAGCTGCAGGATGTGCCAGAACAATTTAATGATATAGAACTAGTGGAAAGCTTGGAGCTGCAAAATGTGGCAGAACAATTTGCAAGCATGGAGCGGCAGAATGTGGAAGAAAAGCTCGCAACTGTGGAGGAGCACAATCTGGCAGAACAATTTGCAAGCATGGAGCAGCAGAATGAGGAAGAAAAGGTTGCAACTGTGGAGGAGCACAATGTGGCAGAACAATTTGCAAGCATGGAGGGGCAGAATGAGGAAGAAAAACTTTCAACTGTGGAGGAGCACAATGTGGCAGAACAATTTGCAAGCATGGAGCAGCAGAATGAGGAAGAAAAGGTTGCAACTGTGGAGGAGCACAATGTGGCAGAACAATTTGCAACGAGGGAGCAGCAGAATGTGGCAGAAAATATTGAAACTGTGGAGCAGCAGAATGTGGGAGACGAATCGGCAAACGTGGAGGCACAGAATGATGGTCGTCCAGGGCTTGAGCAGTCATGTGAAGACCCCTGGAAAATCAAGAAAAGACTGCAAGATAATGATCTGAGGAAGCGGCTGCTGATAGTGGCAGACATGGCAAGAAGATTCTTGTTACCTGCAATCAATGCTACTGCTGCTGAGATTGAACAAGGAACTCAAGTTGCGATTTGGGATGTGGACACGGTGACCGGGCACACTCTAACTTTAACGAAATGGTCAAAATCGTATGTTTTCACTCATAACTGGTACGATGATTTTGTCCGGAGAAGGGACTTACATTTATATGATAGAGTTGGTCTTTATTGGGATCCTTCCCAAAACCGCTTTAATTTTTCTGTTCTTCGGCGTTGGGATTGAAATCGATAATAACAAGAGTGTCTTGTTTGTTATTCATGAACAATGATACTCTTCAACGCTTTGTTTTCATTTTTCTTCATGGACTCTCATGATTGTCAATGCGAAGTCAGGAAGAGAAGTGAATAACATAACATGTTAGTAGTATATTAAGGATTTCTCTACCATTAAGTTTATTATGTAAGATTCTATCACCGATCGAATTTCTTGTCAGCCATCTTAGAAGGACTATACTTGTATAATTTGAAGATTGACACGAATGAAGTATTGAGCAGATAAGGGTTGAAATTTTGTTTCATGAAATGAAACTTATTGTCTTACGTTTTGATATTTTCCTTGCCATGAGTTTCATTCACCGAAAACTAATTGAATTACTTGTCTGATACATTAATTGCATTCGAAGAAACATTAACGGTGTTAATAGTGTATATATATATATATATATATATATATATATATATATATATATATATATATTTATTTATTTATTTATATATTAGAACTAAGTATACATTTTCAACTCCAACACCGAACAATTCAAATAGTGAAGATCATCATGTATATATATATATATATAACCTGGTTACGCAAATGGGAATAGACAAAACTATGGTGTGTTTTGGACTACTTAGTTATAAGATAAGAATGAAATAAAAGTTTGAATGATTATCTTCTTACCTGCCTATAAATAGAGAATATTCAGCCACTTTTTCATCGACAAATAGAGGAACAAGTTTGCAATTGTTTCAGTGAGTTAGGGAAAATGGTGTCCAAGGCTTTGCTCGTTCTTCTTTTGCTCTCCGCTTCTGTCCTCCTTCTTTCAGCTGAAGTTGCACCAAAAGATGCAGATAAGAAATTTGACAAAAACGAAGGTAATTTTTAATTATGAAGTTTTCATCATGTTGATACCATGCATGACTTGAAAAAAAGTTGATGATGATAAAAACTTTTGTAACTGATTATAGTTTTTGTTCTTCGGTTTGAAGATAATAATAACCTTGACAGAAATGGGGTCGATGACATGAAATATGACGAGGGATGGTGGCGCGGTTATGACGGTTGGCGGCGTGGTTATGGCGGATGGCGGCGGGTTATGGAGGATGGCGGCGTGGATGGTACTGCCCCTATGGTTGTTGTGGTTGGAATTACTACGGAAACTTGTGTACAAGGTGCTGCTATTATCCTGGTGAACATGTTGATGCTCACACTGAAGCTGAGCCTCGCAACTAAACAAGACCTTTGTGCTGAAAATGGTTCTTGTAATCTATATAAATAAAACTTCATGAGACGTGTACTTGTTTAGTTAAACACATAATAAAAGTGAACATCTTTCACTCTACTTTGGGTTATAAAGCTTTTTCTTCTACAGACAAATCATATACTTTGGGTTACGATGAGACTTGTGCAAAATAATGAAGACTAGATTAATGTAGCATGCATAAAAATGGAAATTTATTCTGGGGATAAAATGAAAATTTGACCTGCTAATGGGAGACAAAGGTCCAATACTTTTATGATTCCTTTTAATTACGGAAGAACATGTTATTTTTTGAGATTTTAAGGATAAGTTCATTTGAAGAAATTTTCCAAAATAATGTAAATTAAGAATATTACACTCTTAAGACACTTAATTAAATTTCAGACATAAGAGAGAGAAAATGTGAAGGAATTGCTTCTCTATTTGTTTATATAATAATATGTTATAGTTATACGCAAAAAGTAGAGTTAGTTGGCATCTAATTATATTATTTTACAGCATTTTAGAAGTTTCTAAAATATTTTTATGTTCTTTTATCTCCTTCTTGAATTTGACAATTCTTGTTTTTTCATCTTCTTTTAAAGACTATTTTTTTTGTTCTCTCCTTAATCATGTTTCTTGTAAAGATTCTTTAACATGTTTCTCTGTTCATGTGATCATCAAAAATACATTTGTATTTTTAGGTTCATAGAAGTGTGCTTAAGAAGTTAATCAAACTTTTTGATTGTGAATTCTTATGCCTGACTTGAAATTCTTACACAATGATTTCTCTTGCTAAGACTTGACTTCATTCAATGTTCTTACAATTTCTGGATTCATTTTACATTTAAGGCATGCCTATTGTCATACAAATATCATAGGTTGACCATGTTTTTATTTATTTATTTATTTAACCATAAAATTAACAAACTATATTACATACCTATTTCTACATAAATGAAACTAGTCTTTTGGGCGGTACAAGCGCAGAAGGACAAATATACTGATTAATCAGAGACATGGATAATTGACCACAGACAGAGGTTGCAACTTCATTGGCGTCATGAGATAATCTGCATGCCGAGAGTTGCATGCACGACGATCTAACTGCATTTTCAGCATGCACGACGAGGGAAGCATGCTGAAAATGGGGTGCATGAAAGCAAATGGGGTTGGGGTGGTCCTGGGTATGGCGGCGGTCCATGGCGGGGTGGAGGCTGGGGCGGCCCATGGCGAGGTGGTGGCTGGGGTGGTTGGCGTCCTCATGAACATCTTAATGGCTACCCTCAGAACTAAAGAAGCAAAAATATATATATCCACGAGTTTAAGTTTAAGTTATCGCAATAAATAAAACTTCATAAAAAGTATACTTGTAATAAAGTGGAAGTCTTTCTTTCTTTTGATACAAAGAAATAGTATATAAAGTTTGTATGTATTTCCTTATCTTATGTTTTCTCCTTTTCTTTTCTGCTTAACTTAATATACATGAAACGAATGTGAAATTATAGAATTGAAAAACTTGGTTCTGATTTAGTACCAAGATAATAAACTTAATTAATTCATAAGAAGAGAGTGAGAGAGAAAAAAACTTAACATTCTTACCATGATCAAATGTTGTCTATTCAAAAGTTATTTTGTTCTGTTGATTTTTATTACCTGCATCGCTACCCCTTCTTGAAAGTGAAAATAAATCAACATATATGAAGTGATTATTAGGCATTGAGAGGAATTAGATTATGAATCCCTTTACAATAAATACAAAAAGCATGTGTTATGCCCTACCCCTTCCTTATAAATTGCAATATCTTCTTTACACAGCTCATTCTCTAATGAGACAAAGGGAAAGCATGGTGATTTGTTGTTTCCTAATATGTTTTGACTTTCATTAATCACTACTTTATTTTATTTAATTATATATTATTGAATTTAATCTAGGTTGATGGGCTACACTAAGGGGATGTTTACAAGTTTTGTTTTTTGACTTTTTATTCTTTCAAATTTTAGCCTCTTTAAAATTTTTGGATAAAATGAGTTTAGTTTAACCTATTTTAAAATTTTGAATTTCAATTCAATTTCTTTTTAAAAAAAATTATTGTTTTCATCGCTCTAAAAGTTTCCACACCATATTCTAACAACGCACTTCTTAAATTTTGAAATTATGGGTCATGGTAAGGAAAAGGAGATCTCTTAAGTTGAGCACTCTAATAAAGAGCATTTTATGATTACTTTTCTTATCTTATCGCAAGAGAATTTAAAGAACGGTAGCATAAAAAAGTTTAAAAACTCCAGCTAGAAAAAGCTTGGATCTTTCATCATCATCATCATCTCACATTAATTATAAGCCATATTCTAACAACCCTATTAAGTAAGAGTAATCTAAAAAGTATACCAGATAATACATGTTCTTTTTTTCATTAGTTTAATAGTTTCTTTCCACTTTACAGAAGACTACTTTCACCTACCCACGTACAAATTTTCATAAAATAGTCAAAATACAATGTTATGGAAATTTGTATAAGCAAAAAGTTCAATTATATAGGTAAGTCGTGGACTCTTAATTGACTCAAATTGAGTTTATGTGCTTAAGTTATAGTTGTAAATAAGACAAATAAAATACAAATAATGCAGAAAAATCATAATGTTTCTTTTGTCCGTTGTTTATGTTGCTGAGCTCAAAACTTGAACAATACAGATCAAGAACATTAATGTTGGAAATATAAAATTTTAGCTTCAGAAACCACTACACACTATGTATAAAGTATAGATAATTAAGCTGGTAATTAAACTCCCCAAGAAATGGAAAATTCACTCATTAGAATATACTTGATCCCATGTGAGTTTGATCATACATAAAAACAGAGTTCACGGTGAATTATTTCTCTTGTGGTAAATATAATGGTTTCACAATCATGCATGGAAGACATACACACTGCAATAAAGAACTAATTGCTTATTAATATATATTCCTTAAATGTTGATCAATAACAATGGAACCTTGCTTACTAAGGTACATAACCTCTCTCTAAATTCCAAAAACAACTCCTTTAAAAAACTAGAGGTATTAAAAGATGACATGGATCTTTCTGAATCATATTTTTCTCTAAAAGCAGCCAATTAACCAGTTCATGTGGCTTTTACTCTATCATGAAGGTGCCATGCCAGTTGTATCCATATGATCATAGTTGATGATCTAAGAATACGAGTCACCAAAAGAAAAAGGTGAAAATATTCACGTCCTACCTTAACAACCTCTTTAAATAGTTTTTCCCAATAGAATGAAGGGACTTAACAAATGAAGCAAGCATACATACATTGGTTCCTTTGTAATCTACTAGTTCTGACTATAGTGTAGATCACCTTCAAATAAACTAGAGTCCTTAATCATTAGAATTTAGCCATGAACGCCACACTTCTTCATTCATTATTTGTTGGAACTCCACTCGGCTTACCTCAGTCATTCAGCAAATACTACTTACCTGACCCTGGAGATGAATGTCAATTGTCAACCACAACATCAAAGCAAAGTACGTAAAACCTTCTTTTCTTAACCCACATACATTGAATTTTATCAAGAACATAGTAATGGATTTGATATACTTTTGGAGATTCAATGTTTCAGGTAGAATATATTCGATTATAAACAACCTTGATGGAAGGAAGGTTGACAGCTTTTCGCAAGAAGTAAGAGAACATGGTAAGTATGATCATTTTTATACACACGTGAATCTGTTCCCAAGTGATATATAATGCATGCATGGACTGCAAAATGCTACAATAATCCAATTTTTTTCGACATTTTTTTAGTTATTTATTTCATATACAATTCTATATATATGATTCATTCAATATTTAAAAACATTGATGAAATTTCAGTGAGACTGGGGCAAACTATAAGTGAGACTGTTATAGGGAAGTTGAGTCTAGGTGCTCGAATTCTTCAAGTTGGTGGAGTGAAGAAAGTCTTCAACCATTTCTTCACTGTGGGAAAAGGGGAGAAACTGTTGAAAGCTTCACAGTGCTATCTGTCAACCACATCAGGTCCTTTAGCAGGTCTCCTCTTCATTTCCACAGACAAGGTTTCCTTTTGCAGTGAGAGATCAATCAAAGTCTTTTCTAGTAAAGGCGAAATGTGCAGGTTCCGTTACAAGGTAGTAACTACTAAATAATAAGAATATATTATTTTTAGTATTATATCATATGTAATATTAATATTTTTTTTTCTCTTTATAGTCGAAAATTATTCACATTGTTTACATCAGAAAATTGTTGTGTATTGTTATTTCAGGTTTCGATTCCCCTGAAGAGGATTAAGTACGTGAACCCAAGTAGAAATGTTGAGAAGCCAGCGCAGAAATATTTAGAGATAGTTACAGAAGACAATTTTGAGTTTTGGTTTATGGGTTTCTTAAAATATCAGAAAACTATCAGCTATCTTGAGCAGGCAATTTCTCAAGTTAAAGCCACCCAGAGTGGCTAAGGATTCAAGGTTTAGCTTGAATATATCTTCATGACAAACATTGCAATATAAGAGTTAACCTGAAAACAATGCAATACAACACAATGCAATAATTGAGATGTAAGGAGGAACTGAGCTTCATTCATATCAGAGACTAAATGCTGTAAGAAGGTGATCATGCAGTGTAGAAGACAGAGAATGCATGTACTGATATATATATATATATATATATATATATATATATTAAAATGGAAGAGGAAAATATATTGACAAAAATTGATGTTGAAAATATATAAGGGACTCCGAAGAATAAAGTTCAGCCATATGTACTTTATAAAGTTAAGGAAATGACAAATTCTCAATAATATCTGCACTAACAATAAAATATAAACCATCATGATTATAATTTGAATTACTTTTAAACATGTAATACACACGAATTATAGTCATAATTTATATTATTGATGGAGGATCAAAATGGCTTTTATATTGATCTTGATCATGTGAGGAGATTATTGTTGTGAGATAGAGAAGAAGGAAAAGGGAAAAGGTGTGTGTAGCAGTGAAAAAGAAGAGGAAAATGCAAAGTTATTTTTTCCTCAATAAGCCATGGGAGAAAACTTGTGGAGAAGAGTTGATCTCCAGAATATGGAGTGTGTATCTCTTTTCTATAGCCTTTGTTATTCTTTTTAAGTCAAAGAAAAAAAAACAAAAATCCATTGATCGACATTACTTATGCATGCGGAAAAGATATGACTTGTTCTTTTTTTCATATAATTTCGTTGGAAAAACTATCTATCATAAATCATGAATCAAAATACGTTTTATCAAGTAAAGTCTTCAGCATTGAGAAATTAAAATAATTGGATAATAAAATTTAAACGAATAGTCTTAACCTTAAATGTTCATTAAAACATAATAATAACTCGAAATTTAAAATTGATAGCATTGTGGATTAGTTCTTAGACATTCTCATTTATCCCATCATGTATATATATTACTAACTTCTCTATATCATCACATGAGGTGGTTTAAATTATTTTGTAATTATTTTCTAAAAGCATTTCTTCTTTAGAAATCTTGGGTTTCATCTGAGAACAGAAACGTGGTTTTACATGTGGTGCATGAGGGTGACGTTGGAACGATGTGGCACTCCCTTTTTGTCAAAATAACTCTCTCTTTCTTCACACCCCACCTCATCATCTTCTCATATACCCTGCCTAACAACATGCCTATGTTTCCCAGGCTCACTCATAAGGAATCTCCACCACTCTATTATTCTTTTCAAAGTCTATTCCTTCATGGACTGTTTTTCTTTTTCCCTTTTTTTTCTCTCCAGAATCTTAATGCTAGAGATCACATATTAGTCTGGCATCAGAAAGCTAACTTACCACCACAAAAAGATCATTTGTGACACACAACATAAGAAATCTAAACCAGAAAAGAAAAGGAGGTAATACATCGTATTCTGTCAGGTATATGTCATAAATATTCAAACTAAACATGTTATATGTTCTCCCAAAACATTTACTATTCCCCAAAAGGTCGATTTTATATTTTTTATTGCAAACAGCTTTTGAAGAGATTTTCTTATAATTTTTAATAAAGCATGATTGCCCTAAAAGGAACCGACTAAATTAGTTCTAACGAACCTCAATATTCTAACTGTTGTACCTATTAATTTCAATTTTCATAATCAATTATATCAACAACATCATGAAGCCTTCCACACTAAGAAGTTACCATATTTATACAAATTATATCAAACTTTTGGTAATGATCTTTCTTTTTGTTAATTTTGACAAGGAACTTTAGCAAGACAGATGAAAGCAAGCACCATAACCATTTTTCCTTTATTTTCATGATGACTAGCAGCTGACTCATCCAAAACAAAAGTCAAGATTCATCTTCTATGTTTTCATTGCTATATATACATCTTCTGACCATAAGGCTTCATCCACCAAAGTGGGCATTGCACTCTTGAATATATCGAATTGAAGATCATAGAAGAATTTACTTCAAAGGTTAGATATGATGGCAGCCTTTCTTCAAGAGATGCTAATTGGATTTCCATTCTCTTCAGCAGCATACCTGGGTGAGAAATCATTACACAGATACTTACCTGATCCTGCCACCCAATACACATCTACAACAAGCTCAAACCAAGGTAGATTCATTTGTTATATGTTGTTTACTTAGAAAGTGAGAGAAAAGTTATCTATTTTTCAGGTCTTCAATAAAGGTATATGGTTATATGAAAAACACTAAGTTATCGTCTTTATTTTTCAGGTGAAGTAGCTTCAGTTCTTACCAGGATGAACAAGCTTGGGAGAAAGACCAACAGCTTTGCAACTGGACTCAAAGAACATGGTATATCTTATTGAGATCGGAATGTTTTTTTTAATTACGAAATAGCATGGTGTGTGTAAATGTTGAAGTTGAAGTTGGCTGATAAATGTTTTTGTTGACACGCAGTAAAACTTGGGCCAAAATTAACTGATACAGTAAAAGGCAAATTAAGCTTAGGAGCTAGAATTCTTCAAGTTGGAGGAGTGGAAAAAGTCTTCACGCAGATATTCAGTGTAAAAGATGGAGAGAAGCTGCTAAAAGCATCTCAGTGCTACATATCAACCACATCTGGTCCTCTAGCAGGACTCCTATTCATATCCACCGATAAAGTTGCCTTTTGCAGTGAGAGATCAATCAAGGCCTATTCTTCCAATGGTCATTTGATCAGAATCCATTACAAGGTAACCCACACACACACATTTACACAGAAAAAAAAATCTATATAGCACGTGTGTGTTTCTTCATGTTCCATAACATAAATTGAAAACTATGTCTGTGATTGCAGGTTGTGATCCCACTTGAAAAGATAAGGGGTGTCAACCAAAGTCAACATGTGAAGAAGCCTTCACAAAAGTACATAGAAATAGTTACAGTGGATAACTTCGACTTCTGGTTTATGGGTTTCTTAAATTATCAGAAAGCTTTCAAATACCTGAAGCAGGCTATCTCTCAAGCGTAGTAAAAAGGAAGAGTAGAATTTTACTTTACTCTTTTTCTTCATCCATGGGTAGTTATTGTGTCAAGCCTCAAAAGGCCGAACACAAGTACAAATATTCTCTGTACATATTCTTGTTCACAGAAACAGAAGTAAAATGTTTCCTCAATTCATCACTTGTCTCCACGGGTAGATTCTATACGATTTCCCAAGTTTCACGGTCAGAAATTTGAACTTACACAACTTGCCACGCCTTGAACAATATACTATCATGTTTGAGCTGTTTATTACATCACCCCATGGGAAACTATAACATTATATGTGGAGCAAAAGAAATGGATAAAAATGCTACTAAATATTGACTGTGCATAATTGGTATAGTTAAAAATCCTTTAAAATTTAATGAAATGCTGAAGTTGTATATATTGTGGAACTATGTATCCTATTTTCCTACAATAATATGCAAGTGACAATTATATGAATAGGCAAGTTAATAAAACGACCAAACATAATTCAGTGGGCCATCAGAAAAATGTTATACGTGGCTGCTCGAAAAATGAGCTACCCGACAGAGCCATGTGCAAAGGATTTTATAATACTAACATTTTTGTTTTTTTGTCAACACGTGATTTGTTGTTAATCACTAATTAGGATTATGAATTCATAATTTCTTACTTATTCAAGAACCGACGTACGGTGAAGAAAAGACCAAAAACCTCAACTTTTGGACTCATGTCTTTGAAAAATCTGTTGGAATATACATATTTGATTGACATCGATAATATTCTCAGAAACAGCAAATACGGGATCCCCCCTTCTCGTTGATTCTGTGAAAGAACTAGCAAAGGAGGCAATGGCCAAAGTTCCAGAGAGATACTTGCAACCACAAATTCACCCTTCAATTTCTTTGAACACAGACTCTTTACCACAGCTCCCTGTCATTGACCTAAAGAAGTTGCTGTCTGAAGAAGTGAAGGGCTCTGAACTTGAAAAGCTAGACCTTGCATGCAAAGAATGGGGTTTCTTTCAGGTTAGCATCTACATCTCTTACCTTCCCCTTTTATTTCTATTTCATGATCATAGTACGTGTTTCTCTGTGCCCAATTTTTTGCAACCAGCTGGTTAATCATGGAGTTGGCGTCAAATTGGTGGAAGATGTAAAGAGAGGTGCTGAAGAGCTGTTCAATCTTTCCATGGACGAGAAGAAGAAGCTTTGGCAAAAACCAGGAGATATGGAGGGGTTTGGTCAAATGCTGGGTTCAGAGTCATCAAATTGGGTAGATTTGTTTTACATTTTTACACTTCCTACCCATTTAAGGAAGCAACACTTATTCCCTAATATACCACTGCCATTCAGGTGCCCTTTCGATCTTTTCTTTTCAATTTTTTTTTTCTTTTGTTCTCATAATGAATAAATTAATTATTACACTCTAAGAAAATCAAAAGGATCAAACCAAGAACACTGCCCTAACAAAGAGTCGAACCATGAAACCCAGCATATTGAACCAAAACAGCACGACAGAGAAACAAACAATTTTGATATTTAAAGAAAATAACTTAACTTATCCCAAATACCAGCTTTTGCCAGTGTGTGAGAATCATCACATGGATGTATAATAGTTCATGTTGTTGGCTACAGGGAAAATTTAGAGGATTATTGTCTGAAGATGAGGGACCTTGCCATGGACATTTTTGCTCTCATAGGAAAAGCACTTGGTATTGAAGTAAGGGATATTAAGGAGTCATTAGGTGAAGGTGGACAATCAATAAGAATGAATTACTATCCTCCTTGTCCCCAACCAGAAAATGTCCTTGGCCTAAATGCTCACACTGATGGATCTGCACTCACCATCCTTCTCCAAGCCAATGAAGTGGAAGGCCTCCAAATAAACAAAGATGGAACATGGGTTCCTATTCAACCCCTCCCAAATGCTTTCATCATTAGTCTTGGAGATGTTATGGAGGTGAGTATTCAAGTTTTGTTAAGATTGTGTTGTTGACAAGGTTTTGGTCTTGCTCCCTTTGTACATTATGATATACTCATAACAACATTTACAAGCCAATTTAAAATGCGATAGTTTTGAACCACAATACATGGTTTGGTAGGTAATGACAAATGGAATATATAGGAGCACTACGCATCGAGCAGTGGTGAACTCTGAGAAAGAGAGAGTCTCCATAGCTACATTCTATGGCCCAGAATGGAGCGGGAAGATAGGTCCAGCACCAACTCTTGTGACTCCACACACACCACCTTTGTTCAAAACAATTGGCGTCGCAGAGTTCTACAAGGGATACCTTTCACCCCACCATTTTGGTAAACCAAAATCATATATAAATCATGTTTTGAGGATCCAAAATGAGCTACCTCCTGCCTAGATTAATTCAACTTGTTTCAGATACAATATATGTAATTACTTGCCACAGAGATTTGGATTGAAGCAGATACAAACAAGTATTTGGTTTGTGATAGGAAGTTAGAATCTTACATGATGCCAAGAAGGTTAGGAAGTTTGTTTAAATATGTTGACTCAAAATTGCCAAGGGTGTAATCGTTCATTAATGGATAGTGCTAAGATAAGTTGCTAGGATTTGGATTATATTTTAATGGTTTGGGAGAAAGGTTTTTTTTAACTCATGTTATAATTTTTTAAATTTTATTATAGTTTTTGGTAGAGAAAATAAACAATAAAACGTAGAATATCTATACAAACGAACGATGTCTTAAATATGAAGATTGATACTAAGAATAATTTTAATGAAGTTAAAGTCAAATTTTTTTTGTCTTCTACACTTCTTTTGTTTTAACTATGATCATATTATACTAATTGTCACATTTTTTTCTATATTAAAATGTTCTTGGTATTGAATTTGGCAAATTTTTTTTTCTTTTGTTTTAACTTTGATCATATTATACTAATTGTCACTTTTTTTTTATATTAAAATGTTCTTGGTATTGAATTTGGGCAAAAAAAAAATTTACAATTTAAATAAATAAAAAATCACGCCCAGTGGGACTCGAACCCACAATCGCTTGATTAGAAGTCAAGCGCCTTATCCATTAGGCCATGGGCGCTTTGATGTTGATACATTAATAATATTGAAATTTAATTAAAGTATTATAACTTTTTTCTTAGAATTTTTAAATTATGCTGTATCTTGTTTTAGTATTGTTGGAGTCAAATAAATATTTGTCTGTAATATATATGAACACCATAATTAATTAATTTGTAAGCATTTTTGTATCTCAATGTGTTATGTAAAGTAATGCAATTTAGTTTGATTTTATTTTAATCAATGATGGCTTTGGCAACTAGTTTTAAAAATAATTGATGTAAAATTTTACATTGTCATGAAAGAAGAACTTATTTTTCCATAAAGTTATAAGCATCATCAATATAAAAATAAAATGAGATAGTTAGGAACAAGTTGACCATTATAAGTAAAACAAATTATGCTAAAATGATGAAGACAAAGGGAAAAGATAAGAGTTGCTGCAAACCATGAATTTATAGAAGCATGGTAGTGACAACTAAACCAATTGCAGATGTCATTCCTCACAACAATAAAATTCATGAAACACACGTATCGACAAGGAAGAAGAGAATGGACACAAATTAGTTGTTAACAATTAACATTTTATTATTTTAAATGTGGGAATAATACACAATAATTATTTATTCTGCCTTGTTCATTACTCCAATAATAGAATGAGAATTTTGTTCTTTTCTATTATAACACACCCAAGTAGCGGAATACAAGTTTTGTTTTTCTTTAAAAAAAAAACCTTTTTTTTACATCATAAAGATTAATAGATGTTACTTTGAATGATTAATTGAAGTTTCATATAGATATATAAAAAAAAAAAAACAAGATTTCCAATTATGGAAAAATAAAAATAAATAAAAACATTTCCAACTTTAGTTTTTGAATTTCAATTTAATGAAAAAGGTTTATTTTTCCAGCTATATATGAGATAAATTTGAAGGCATGTGGGTGGAACAGAGCTTAGAAAATGCGTTTGTTACGCATATGTAGCCGAGGGTGCGCCAGAAAACAAGCCAACCCAGCTAAGCCATTTGCTAAGGAATTCATAATCACAAAAAATACTTTTTGTCAAACCTTTTATTTCCCATTCTTCACTAATTTCATTATTATTCTTATAATTATAAATTTGGGGTCAACGGATCATAGCTAAGCCTCAACTGTCCTTTCATTAAATTAAAGAGTATCAAAATCCATGCATGTCTTGTAAAATTGCCCTAATTCCATTTTTGTTTCTTCATTTGAAATATTGTTAATTAGCTTTAATTATGATCAATTAATATTAATTTCACATTGGGGTGTCAAGCACCAAGTCATCCCATTAGGTTCGAAGTCACACCATTGGATACTTGAAGACAAAAAAAGCTTCACTCATCTATAAAGAATTAATGCTATTAATGTTCAAATAAATGCATACATTATATTTGACACATTCTCTTGTCTTGAAGAGTTGAGAGAGCAGGGAACACTGGTGTGATATGACCAACATGGGAGCAGAAACAGCAGAGGTTGGATCACATCCTTCTTCTGTGAAAGAACTAGCAAATGAGGCACTGACCAAAGTTCCAGAGAGATATGTTCGTCCAGATATTGACCCTCCAATTCTATCTGACACGCACTCTTTGCCTCAGATCCCTGTCATTGACCTAACTAAGCTGTTACTGAAGGGTCCTGAACTCGACAACCTAGACCTTGCATGCAAACAATGGGGTTTCTTTCAGGTTGGTATTGAAACAAAGATGAGTTATAGATGTTGTAACACATATTATAAAGTTGTGATTTTGTAAAACAGGTTATTAATCACGGAATTAGCATGGAAGTGGTGGAGGATGTAAAGAGAGGAGCTGAAGAACTGTTCAATCTTTCAATGGAAGAGAAGAAAAAGCTTTGGCAAAAACCAGGAGATATGGAGGGATTTGGGCAGATAGTTGAGAAGCCTAAAGATGAGGCATCAGATTGGGTAGATGGGTTCTACATTTTGACTCTTCCATCTCACTCAAGGAACCCCCACCTATTTCCTAATCTACCACAACCTTTCAGGTGCTCTTTTAAATCTCCTTTCTTTACAACTAGGCCATAACTTAGAATCACTGAACTGAATAAATGATATTGAAAATCACATTGATATGATAAAGTTGGAGATGGCAGGGAGAACTTAGAGGTTTACTGCAACGAGATGAGAGAGCTTGCCATGAAGATGTATGCTGTTATTGGGGAAGCACTTGGCATAGGACCAAAGGAAATTCAAGAGTCATTAGGGGAACCAGGACAAGCCATAAAGATCAATTACTATCCTCCTTGTCCCCAACCAGAAAGTGTTCTTGGCCTAAAGCCTCACACTGATGCTTCTGCACTCACCATCCTTCTCCAGGGCAATGAAGTGGAAGGCCTCCAAGTCAAAAAAGATGGCACATGGGTTCCTGTTCAACCCCTCCCAAATGCTTTCATGGTTTTTCTTGGTGATGTTTTGGAGGTAAGTCATTCTAATTTACATAAACCTAATACGTGAATTGCATCATATATATTACTATATATGATTTAGTTTTATATGGTTGAACAGGTAGTGACAAATGCGATATACAGAAGCATTGAGCATCGAGCAGTGGTAAACTCATGGAAAGAAAGGTTCACCATAGCTACTTTCAGTGGCCCTGAATGGAATGGAAACATAGGTCCAGCACCATCTCTTGTTACTCCACAAACACCACCATTATTCAAAACAATTGATGTAGTAGATTTCTACCAGGGGTACCTTTCACCTCAGCATCGTGGCAAATCATTCATAAACAATGTTTTGAGGATCCACCACCACAACCTCAAAGGCTAGTAGCTTCTGGAGTTAAACTGCTTCTAGTTAATGGAAATATGATGACCATGATAATAATAAAATAAGTAAAACTTCAAGACATGTATAGCTAGTGTGACTTTGTTTCACTTCAATATGTGTAATTAATTATTCGTCACAATATTTGGATTCAAGAAAATACAGATTTTATTGCTTTCTTTTTTTCACTATCAAATTATGAAATATGCATATTTTGCCACTCATATTTTATGTTTTTCATCAACTTTGTCCGTTAACTCATGACATAGTAAATCAATAACCATTATTATTTTTTTGGAATAAGACTGACTTAAAAGAGTTGTTTTTTTTTCGTTCATTAACCAATGTAATTTTTTTCTAATAAATTATTATAACTTTTTCTACTTTAATTTTCAACCATAGAAGATTTCCTTCTACACATTTCCCTCCAATCACAACGACAACTTCAACATTAACATCTATTATCGGTTGAATCAATTCTAACAATAAAATATACTTTATTTTAAATTTTGGAGTAGACCTAAAACACATTTTAATTTTAATTTAACAATAAAATACATTTTATTTAGTAAGTTAAATTAATGTGACATACAAATTTAACTTAGAGACTGATTTCAAATTTCAATGTTTTAGAAACTAAATAAAAAATGTTATACACTTTCAAATATATAAAAAAAAATTAGCGAGAATAATATTAAAAGATAATAATAATATTTTATCAAAACAATTATAAGATTACGAGAAGTCAAATAATTCTGTAAGGTGGAATTAAAAAAAATATAATATATATATATATATATATTAAAATAATAAAAAAAGTGGCTCGATAAATAAATCATAAGATTGTGCGAAGTTAAATAGGTCAATAAAATAAAATTAAAAATAATTGGATAATAAATTATAACACTATTTTTATTTTGAAACTTGTAATGGAAAGGAATATTTATATTATAATAAAGAAGCAGATTCATTTTCATTAAATAAGTTTAAAAATCATCTCTCTCTACTTATGATTTCTTCTCGATATCCTTTTCACTTTTAAAATTCAAAACTCAATTAAAGAAGAATTGAATACATGAACTTCATTGATTTATTATATTTTTTAACTTTTTAAAGTAAATTTAAAGATTAAATTTTAAAAAATAATATAATTTTTAATAATTTAAATTTAAACTTATTTTACATGAAAAGGATAACATCGAAATAATACAAATTTAAAAATAATTTTATAATAATAAAAGTAAATAACATAATACAGTTATCAATGAAATTGTCAATACTATTTAAAAACCTAAAAATAAAATATTAAATACCTTTTATTAATTTTAAATTTGTAAAATCTAAAAATTTGAAATAAGACAAATCCTTATATTTAGTGTATAATTTTTGTATATTTAAAAAATAAAAAACAAAGATAATAATGAATGAGTAAAGAATTAGAAATATTAAATAATACATTCTGTACAACTTCATCTCACCGTCTCACTCACGATGATGGACACACGCAAGCATTCATTCACAATTGTTTGTTAATATCAAACAAGCTACCTTGTGCTACTGATCCTCGTCCCTCTTTTTGTTCCTTCCTTCATTCTTGGCGCGTGTGCTAAACAAACCGTTGATTCGGGAATGGGGAACGACGGCGTGCCGGCGACGGTGGCCGAGGTTGTGGCCGTGGCGGCTGTTGAGCTGACTGACGCCTCCAACTGGTGGCAAGACATCGACGATTCTCTGGTCTGGCAGGATCGTATATTCTACACTCTCTCCGTACTCTACGGTATCGTGGCCGCCGTAGCTTTGGTATCGTCGCGCACTCTCAATGCCAAATTAGGGTTTTATAATTTATCTCTATCTATTAAATTATTTTTTTTATTTGATTGAATTTTAGGTTCAACTGACTCGGATACAATTGAGAGTGCCGGAGTACGGTTGGACCACGCAAAAGGTCTTTCACTTTCTCAATTTTCTGGTGAATTCGGGTTTGTATCGTTCAAACCTTCTTTTTTTTTTTTTTTCCTTTTATATATCTCTCTGAGAAATGATTTTTTAGAGAAATAGTCATTAATATGATGGACGTTTTTGTTAAGCGCTTATGCGCTCTTTTTTGTTTTGCAGTTCGGTGTGTAGTTTTTATCTTCTTTCGGGACGTGAGGAGGTTGAAGCCAGAGGTATAGGGAATGGAATGTAGACTTTAATTTGGGTCATTTTCTTCACATAAGATTACTTGTTTATTATTTGAGTTAACCATCAATTCAGTCATTGAATTATCATTCATTCTCTCGAACTGAGTTCTCAAAAAAAAAAAAAAATGATAATAATAATAATAATAATAGTAATAATAAGTAGTCCTTAATCTTTTATGGTATCTGTAATTCCATTAAGGTTAGGGTGTTTAAAAGTAAGTAGGCATCTTATATAATTCTCAGCCCCTTACCATCCGAATTCCATTATCTGTAAACATACAGAAAACCACAATGTTTGAGTATGATGAGGATAAAACACTCTAGGAAGTAGAGTTAGAAATTTATTACAATGACAGCAAATTATTTTGTTCAAGAGTCAATCTTTCATATATATGCTTTTTACTTGGTGTCATTTCTCAAGTGTCTTTACTATGTTGTACAAAATTATTCTGACAACCAAAAGTTGGATTATTATCTGTCACTAAAACTAGTTGTGCTTCAAAATCTTCACTGGGTCGTTTCTTTTTTATGTAAACAATAGGAAAGTCAACTGACAGAGAATGCATATACTTATTATAGCAAAATAAATTCCTAAGCCCAACAATGTCTTTCTCTTCTCAAACAGAATGCTGTGAGTTTAGGACACGAATTTGGTGTTATGTCTTGCTTTTGCTTATAATCTAAGGGACTAAATTGATGTACTTTTTTTTTATGGACAGGGATAAATTAGATACACACTTAAGACAAAGGAGCACATTCTACTCATGTTTAAAACAGTTTCCTTAACAAAGGGTCTAACGAAATAAATGTCACAAATGTTTAGGGGATTTCTTAATAAATTTAAATACTCTAAAGACCAAGTAGGAGAGAGAATACCGCATTTCCTTGAGGATCAAATTGATTGTTTACTCTTTCTTATTTTCTAATTATAGATTGTGGTTAGACTCACTTACACTCGCATACTGCATTTCCTCGTGTTCGTAGATTGTTCAACACATCTTGCTTGATGTGCCGAGTCTTGCTTTCTTTACAACATATGCACTTTTGGTCCTGTTCTGGGCTGAGATTTATTACCAGGCAAGTTTGATTTGCCATCTGTGATTTTCTTTCCATGGCAGTGTGTTTTTTCTTTTGGTTTTGATTACGGCCTCTGCTAAATGCTTTTGCAGGCACGTGCTGTATCGACTGATGGACTGAAACCTAGTTTCTATACAATTAATTTTGTGGTTTATATTGTTCAGGTAAAAATTTTATTGCTTACAAAGTTTGTGCATGCGGCAACTATTGAATGATGTTTGACTTTGGTTGAATTTGTGACTTACTAATATGGTGGCTAGAAGGACAATTTTGTGGAATATCCAACATATGATATAGTATTAGTTGATTGCAAGGTTATGGTAGTAGAGATACGAAGGAAAAAAAGAATAAAAACTTTGTGTTTCTAAGTAGCAGTATACAAGCATTTAATAAGAATAAGCTAGATTCGAATTTTTTTACCTTGAAATGTCAAGGCAGAATGCTGTGTCTTCTTCTATGCTGGCATCCTAGATTTATTAACATGCCTCCTTCCATTGACATGTGACTCCCACTCTCAGTTTTGATCCTCAACAGGATAAAGTACGTACTTTGAATCAAAGAAATGCCAAGACAATGATCACTTTCCTTTCATTTTAGAAAATACTTGTTTTAGCTCAAATTTTAAATATGTAAAGGTAGAAAGAAGAAAAGGAACACCGAGAGCTTACACTTGTTTACTCTCACAAGAGAGCTACATCTAGTTGTCTAATTACCTTGATTAGACCAATCTACTAATGTTTTAAAGTTTTACAAGACTCTCACAAGAAACCTAACATAAAACCTCTTGTGAAACCCTATTACAAGAACTATCTTGACCTCCTTGGTCAAGAACTTACACACCAAAGAAAGTACTGAAAAGGAACAAGATCAGTAGGACAAACTCGGAAGAGAAATGAAAAAGACTCAAAGGTGATCTTCAAGATGATTCTTTGACTAATGATCTTCAAGCTTTTGATCTTGTAAAGGAACCAAGAAGAATGTGTTTCTCACAGCAGTAGAGTTCTACTTAGATGTTTGAAAATATTCTGAAATTTTCTCAAATGATTCAATGAAAGTATATTGAGATAGTTGATAGGATTGACCCATTAAAACCGAATATGATCCATTAAAATATTCCTCACCCTAGAGAAGAGCATTTTAATGAATTATTATTAGTTTTTGAAGCATTAAAATCACTAAAGGAAGTGCCTTTAAGTGATTTTTGCTAATTAAAACTCATTTTAATCGATTAAATGCAAGAGCATGTAAAAGCTCAACTGGCTTTAAGTAAAATTAATCGATTAAAATATGATTCCTCTACATAATATTTGCATTATCAAAGACAATAAAACTATTTACAAAAGAACTAACATCAAAATTACAACATTAAACACCCAAATTAAATCATATTCGTTTGACACAACATGATGAACCAAGCTGCATGTACGCTCACTAGCTTGCTCCACTCACTCCAACGGATAGCTATGTTGAGGTTCTTCAAAAACTATTTTGGTTTTTGGTAGTACAAGTTTTGACTCGGGAAGTTGAAGGGACTAGGGGGATTGTCAAATGCTTGGTTGTTCTCACTTTTGTCTTTGGTTGAGGGCTGTCAACCAAGGGTAGTGAAAAATGACAAAGGAGGCGTCTACTTCATCTTGTTAGGGTAAACAAATCTGACTAGTACCTAAGTAATTGGATAATCCTCCCTTAAAACCTAGCTGCTAAGAGGGAGAACTAGACACTTGAATACTTTACTTATCATCTCATATTAACTAATACGAGACTTAGGCATTCCATAATACCCAAGTTTTTTGTTTAGCACTGCCCTTTCAGTGGATGTCCGATGGCCCACACTCTATGATACTTGGTTATAGTTTACTTAACATCTTGTTGATTAACATATGCTACCAATCAGAACCCCCTGTAGATAACACATTTTGAGATATCAACAGCCAGCTTTGATACCAATTGATATTATACAAGCACTTGGGAACATTCTCTTAAAAACCAGCTGTTAAGTGGGGATAACCAACTGCTAAAATATTCCACCCAATATCTCCTAGTACTCGATGTGAGACTTAGGCACTCCATAATACCCAAGTCCCTATCATAAACAAATGCCTTTTAGCTTATTTCTACCTTTCCTGAGTTGGGAGATACCTAGGTAGGCTCTTTGTTTGATTGTGCAGTGAAAGTAGGAGGGTTTCTTTGCCAACAATTGTCAAAACAATAATGTTCATTTCTTTCTTTTTGTTAAGGTTCCAACATAAAACCAATTGACAATATGTGGAGTAGCCTAACATGTATTTAAACCATACCAAATGACATGAGGTAGGCGATGTGGAACTTTCAACACGCCCCCTCCAACGAAGCCTGCCGGACCAGGCAAAGGGTACTTTTGACCCAACTAAAGGACAACTTTTGGCCCATGACAATAACCGGAAAGATGCTAGGCTTTGGATCTGATACCATGTTAAGGTTCCAATATAAAACCAATTGGCAATATGTGGAGTAGCCTAACATGTATTTAAACCATACCAAATGACATGAGGTAGGCAATGTGGGACTTTCAACACTTTTGTTGGACCTAACTGTTAATAAAAAAAATTTACGATGATTATAATCTTGAAGGTTGCTTCAGTGCATTTGTTTGATGGTCCACTAGTGGTTTACTTGTCCATAGTTGTGATTGGATGTGGCATCACTGCTTTGCCTAATATGTGGATTGAGAGGAATTAATAAAAAAATGTCTAAATTGTTACCTTCCTTTAATGTGCTCAAAATGATGTTTGTAATAGCTGATAGGTACCAGAAACAATGAAATCAAAGAGATTGTTATATTAATTGTGGAAATCCTAGCCAGTAGAGCTAGTATGGGAAATACAAGAACAATGCAAAAAAGATGATAATCTAGGCAGATTCGAGAGAGCCATGTTCTCTCAGATCTAAGTTTCCAGCAACAGAACAGGGCGGGGCGGGGGCGGGTTTTGCCTCCCCGATCCCCGCCCCCGACTTTTTTAACCATCCCCGTCTTCGTCTCCGATCCCCGTTGGGGTTAGAAATTAAGTCTCCATCCCCGTTCCCGCTAGGTTTCGGGTTTCCGCCCTGCCTAGTCCCCGATTTATATTTTTTTTAAAAAGATAATTATATTTATAATAAATTAATTTTACTATGTATTTTTTATATGTAAATAAATATTTATAATTATATAATTTATAATTATTATTAATTAAATATATATATACTTTAATTTATTATATTTATATTAAAAATATATGTAAAAGAAATATTTAATCATTTTTTATTTATATATATATATATAGAATATTTATAGCATTATTATTATTATTATTATTATAACACTCGTATTCAAATATTTGAATACTTATAACATTATTATTATTATTATACTGTATTTAAACATTTGATTACATATATAAGTTAATTCATTTTAAAGTTGTCATTTAAAAATATGAAATATATAGTTTATAAGAAAATATTTAATAAGTTAATTCTTATTTATTTAGTTCGAAGTAATAAAAGTTTAAATTATCAATTTTTTAATATTTTAAAATATAATTATTTTATTAAGATAAAATTTGATATATGATAAATAAGAATAATAAGATAAAAAATTATGACATAATAAAACCTAATAAATATAAATTATAAATAAAATAATATTAGTTATTACTAAGATTTATGTAAAATATATAGAAAAAGATAAAGAAAAAAAAATTAACTTTATGTTCATCAAATTTGTTGAAAAGATTAAAAAAAAACAAATTGATGGGAGAGATTAAGAAAATGTGAAAAACAGAAAGGTAAGAGAGAATAATGTAATAAATTAATTAATATAAAAGATTAAAAAAAATTAAAAGTAGGTAGAAGAAAAATAAAAATGGTGAAATATAAAAAAATGACCTTATATGTAATAGAAACGGAAAAGAAATATTTTTAAAAATTAATATTTTAAAATTTAAATTTAAATATAAAGTCAGGGCGGAGACGGGAACGGGGTCGGGGTGGGGATTGCATTACTTATCCCTGCCCCCAGTGAACTTGGGTTTTCTCCGTCAAACTCGGGACGGGGATGGGTCGGTCCCCACGTGTACGGGTTTAAATTTCATCCCTAGTTTCCAGCCTACATCATTTCTCTGCCTCCCCCTGTAATACCCTCACTTGCCCCATACAAATCCATGCACACCTCTAGCTACTACTGCCAAGCTAGACAGATAGAACATTCTCTCTCCTAATTCTGATCAGGTGCATTGCACTTTTTCCTCTCCTCACATAAACCTTAGATATTTTATTAGGGGTTCTATCAGTTTTATAGTAATTAACATTTAATATTCAATGTATCTATCTTTTGTGTCATTAGTTCATATGCATTGAAATTTTTAGATTCTGTTAGTTTTGAGTTTGTTGAAGTTGACCCAACATTTATTTTGGTCTAACTTATATCAGATTACTTTATGGCTAATATTATGGTGGAAACCTATCAGAGGACTGCTTATTCTGTCTAAGATGTTCTTTGCAGGTTTGTCTATACTGGAATTCGGTCTGTGAGTTTTAGCTTGTGACTTTTATCAGTTTTTGCTAATGCATATATAAATATGTTGCACTAGGGGTCTCTTTGTTTGCAGCCATTGGATTTCTTCTCTATGGTGGAAGGTAATTGTTTATATTCATATCTGACTCACTTTGATGTAATTTGACGTGAAATTATTATGTTTTAATCATGATATATTACTGTGTTCTGAGTTTGTAGTGCAATGCTTAGTGTCTTATTAAATATGGCGATTTCCCTGAAACACTCTCGTCCATTTAACTGAAGTTAGAATAATAACTAGTTAAAAACAACAACGGTTTTCTCTAGGTATGGTCAGTTACATGGACCAAATGATGCCATTTTCGTAAATTCACAACCAAGTCTTTAGAAAGACTGATAGTCTAGATCTGTCCGTTTTAATGGGTTCAGCAATGTTATTCTGTCTCTCATCATTAGAGTATCCTCCTTACGATCAGCTTTTACTGTTTGGGATTCCAATGTTTTCTCATCACTAAAACCAGTTGTATCACACCAAAGAATTGTATATGCTTTACACTATCGCAAAATTTTGGAATCTTTACTTTCACCAAAGGCTCTAAAATTAACTGGCAGGAATTAGTGGCATTGTGGCTTAGCAATTACTTGAGCCTACAAATTTTTATCAAATCATTGTTGTTGAGCTTCAAATTACCTAATTGTTCTGTTGATACTGACTTTTTGGCAAATGAGGAAAAAATCTGGGCAAAAAAACATACCATAAGAGTCAAGGATTCACTTTCCTTTCAAATTTATCAAATATACTGAGCAGAATCAAGTGAGAACAATTTTTGCTTTTTTTTTTCTAATTTTTATTGGGGGGTGTCAATATTGACCTTCAAATTGATTTTGTCCCTAACCCCAAAGAAAGAATTCAGAATATATTTTCAGTTGTATGTGAAAATAAAGAAATATATACAATCTGAAAATGTGGAAAAACCAGTATGGACAATTTTTATTCAAACTAAAAATTATTTAAATTGAAACTGGGACAGATATTTTGAAAATAAACATGAAACTAGCTTAACAAGTTGAAGGATGCTAATTTTGTCTTTAATTAGTAACTGTCTTTTATATATTACCCTGATTTGGACAGTGCTGTGAGTGGCTTTCTGAGATTTTGAAAATTTGAACTATGTTTCAGAACCAACTGCCTGATCAATGCTACTTGGAAATTCATATTTTAGAGGCATATGTCTGCTAGACTATTTGTTCTTGTTTCTAGTTGTTCACATAGTGGCTTATCTAGTGCTCTATCCATGTTTTTTCTAAAGGGAGATATTTTGAGCTTTTGTGGCTTGCTATGTCAATTTGCTTCTCTTTTTACTTGTGCAACTTATCCTCTTGTTTCTGTGTGTCTTATTCTCTAACGAAATTTCCTCTTCTAAAAAAATTTAAGGCAGATAGACAGACTAAATCTAGCACTCTTAAGTCTTTCTTTTTTTTAACTTGAAATTTGAATTGTGTCAATGTACTTATTTTTGCGTACCTATATATATATATATATATATATATATATAGATATATTACCTTCTTGCTTCCTTTTCTGATTCTGCATTCTCTTCCTGACATTTTACAGACTATTCTTAATGCTACAACGCTTTCCTGTTGAATCCAAAGGACGACGTAAGAAACTGCAAGAGGTATGCAAGCTGATGATGAAATATTTTGAAATTCCATCACTTATTTAGAAATATACTTATGAAATGTCTTAATATAATTAAATTGCCTTAAATTTAGAAATATAAGTTCATAAAATAATTTTATCCATGTCATGTTCCTATAAAGAGAAAGTACTTTGTGTAACTTGTTAAATTTTAAACGTGACTAGCAGGGTAACCATAGAAAAGATGAAAGGGAATTTATCATATGAACAAAGAGTATATATAAATAGTTCATTGTGGTGTATAGATAGACAAAAATTGTGTTTGTTTTTGTATAATTAAACTTCACATAAATAATAAGTGAGGAAAGAACAATTTAGAAAACTATATAATAAGGAGTTGGTAGTGGGGAGTGAGAATATGCAGTTCAGAGTTAGGGTTAGAGAATGCAAGAATTGAGGCATGAATGATAAAACTTTGCCACCTGCTAGCACTGCACTTACGGTTTGTGAAAGAGATATGGGACATACTCTTTGGGATTTTTTTTTTTTTTTTTTTTCAGAAAGGTTAAACAATAGTGGGTAGAACGATAAATTTTAGCTAAGAAAACCACAGGAATGATGACATCAGGAGTTCAAGATGTTAAACTCAACAGCCAACTAGTGTCAGGACCAAAGCTGGATGATGCTACTTAGATATCATGCTAAAATTATAGTACTTATACAGTGTAAAAGGAGATAGAAGAAAAGAAAAGGAAAAAAAGATAATAGAGACTCTGAATAGCATGATACTCGATAGATATTTTGTAGATAATCTGATAATGTTTTAAGTATATTCTAACAATCTATATGATGCTTCTTGTAGGTTGGCTATGTGACAACCATATGTTTTTTATGTTTCCTTGTCAGATGCATTATGGTGAGCACCGTTTTATTTTTAATTCTTAGTGAGGTTTCGAAGTTGAGTTTGATTATATTGTGTTGCATCAGATGTGCTTTAATGCATTTGATAAAGATGCGGACCTTGATGTCTTGGATCATCCTATTCTAAACTTCATATATTACCTGGTAAGGTATTCGTGTTCCTTATTTCCTTTATTGTGTGGTATTTATACGACCATACTCCTCATCGTTTCTTTTTAGTTATTGGTAAGGTAGAAGACCCCTTTGTTTGTAGGAGGGAAATATAGGTGGGTAAATGGTGTGAGGTGATTGAAACCCCAACTTCGAACATTACATCCCCCCCTTCCCTCAGACGAGATGCCACTAGGCTCCAAGGCCATTGGCTCCTTCTTGTTTCTAATTATTATGCTAATGCTATATTAGTTATCATTTCTTTAGTTGAGTCTGTTTTATACTCGTTGGGTTTCTTTTTCTTTAAGCTGTGTAATGAAAGCTGACATATCCTGTGCCTATATTTTTTCTAACCTGAACTGCTAGAACCTTTTTCTACTTACATTATCATCTTCTTTCTGGTACTTGACATACCATTAGCCTTTAGTTCTGGTAACCGTTTTTACCTTCAACCTAAATGGCAATTGAGCTAAATCGGACAGAAATCACCCTTTACACCATTTGTAGTGAGGATATCTCTTTAACGAATTTTCAACCATAGAAATATGGCCAATGGATATTCTGATTTCCTTTTGGAAGGGGATTGAATTGCTTTTGTTTAGGTATCAATAATTATATTTTTTACCATGCTTTATTGCTTTATTCTAATAATTTAGAATGATAAAACCTCCATCTAAAGGATAAGCAATTAATAAGGTGTTTGTATGTCTTCTACATTGTAGAAAGTGTCTCTCTCACTATTCCTCTTACTGTTTTCCTATTTTTGCCGCAGTTGGTGGAAATATTGCCTTCTTCTTTGGTCCTTTTTATTTTGAGGAAGCTTCCACCTAAGCGTGGTATCACGCAATATCACCCGATTCGCTAAAAGGGGGAATTATTTATTTACTATTTTCTTGGATAATTATCAAAGTCCAAGGTAATATTTTAAAGTAGAGACGAGTCAGTCTTCTATGTTCGGTGTCAAAGCTTGTATCATGGAACGTGATATATTTCATGTATTCTCAAACGTATTGATCTGTGTTATCACTTATCTTTGATGTTAAGCTTTGGCTCTAGGACAGTATGGTTAGTTTTCTGATCCAGCATTTTGATACGATGATAATTGGGAGAAGGTGATAGTGATATCTTGTATAAATAGTGTTTTGAACTGCTACGAGTTCGTGAAATATATTGTTCCTTCTTTCATGTTCTATGTCGTATTAACTTACTACATTAATTTCAGCTATATATCATACTTCTATTTCTATAGTGAAGCTTTAATTTTTTATTTTTTTCGGATTCGATTCCCAATTTGTTGGATCTTTAAAATTTCACTTGGAATCGGAGTCTGTGTCCCTAACAAATTTGAGTGGTGAAAACGGTTTCCCCATTAAATTACCTTGTTTGAATACTCCATACCATTACAATTACTCAAGAAAAAAAAAAAAAAGCATTGCCAGTTCAGTACTTGTTTTGTATATATTACTATTATGACATTTGAAGAGCAAAGAATGCATACCTGGGCGAGGTTTGCCTTGATTTGACGGAGTGATTAACTGAAATCCTGTTGCCTGGTTGTGAATCTGCTAATTCATAACCAATGATTCCTATATACCCTCTGATGTTAGTATGAGCTAACGGCCACTTGGTGCTTGAATGTTTGGTTTGACTTATCTTCCTTGAAGAATGGTAGTTTTGAATTGTTATTCAAGGCAATGAAACATCAAGAAAATTTTGAGCGAAATATAGTTAGAGAAAATAATTATGTCTATCCAAGCACTCGTGTTTTTACTACTTTTTTTTTCTTGTACATTACGACTTAAATCTTTCTAATGCCAAATAAGAAATAAAGTTAAATAAAATGCATAGTGGGATGCAACATTATTCTACACACAAATTAGTCTAAAAAGTAATATTTCAACGAGATGAAAAGTGATTGAATTATATTGTAAAAAATAGTTTAGTCTTACAAATAGTAATATTATTGCATTGATATATTTACTATTTACTGTATTTCATTTTAAAATATTTGATTATCGGTTGATTAAATATTATTTTTACAAGGATAAATAAAAGAAATACAAGAAATAAAAAGGTTATTTAGTGTCTTCAATTTAAGTATAATTACATTTAATTAAAACATGAATATTTTTAATTTATTGAAAATATGAAGAGAAAACGATAAAATTTAAAAATATAACTGGTATTTTTTTCTCTTATTATTAGCTATTTTATTATTGTTTAGAATTTATTAAATATATACCTTGGCCATCAATAAATAAGTGAGCATTGATAAAGATAGTGATGTGATTATATGATGCACAAAATAGTAGCAAAAGGGTAAGGCTGGAAAAGATTAACGTGGCATTATGGAATCCGAAATGAAATATTTGCGATTGTCCCACACCACACGTCTTTGTTTGAGTGGCTAACTTGCTCCACATGTTTAAAGATATATCTATTTAGATAATGCCATGACAACATTTATGTATGGTATTGATAACTCGACCACGATCCTCAACCAAAACTGTTCGGTCTCTTCCAAGTCGCAACTGTTATGGCCATTTCCTGTTCTGCAGAATGGTCACTTGCTTGCTCTAAATGTTGCAGGACAACCCACCACCTTTATGCATTCATCCCCACGTGCCACTTCCCTTCCTTGTGCTCTGTCTCACCCTCTCACCAACGCTTCTTCCATGTCAATTTCTCAGCCTCTCCCTCACCCATTTTGGAAGAAGAATCTTCCAACACCCCCATCATCCATTTAGATGTTAACTTTGCTGATATTCAACAGTATTCCAAGCCAGAAGCTGAGAATTTGAACGAGTTTTTATGTGGGTTGTTTGAGGATCCAAAAACAAAGGAACTTGCGTTTGACTACTACCACAGGTTGAAAGAGAGGCCGGAGTTTAGGCCTGAGAAATCAACGCTAAGGCATCTGATCAGGTACTTGATGAGTTTGAAGAACTGGGATTTGATTTTATCAGTTTCAGAAGACTTTAAGGTTTACCATGTGTTGCCTGACAGGGCTACTTGCTCTAGGGTGATTAAATTTTGCATTGAACGTAGGAAGTTCAGGATTGCTGAGGTTCTGCTTGATGTTTTTAAGTCTGATAGTAAGGTTGCTTTCTTAGCTTGCAGTTCTGCTATGGGAAGTTATAATAAGCTGCATATGTTTAGGAATACTGTTTTGGTCTTTGAAAGAATGAAATCCAGTGGTATTCTTCTGGATTCTGTAGGTTATTTACACATTATGGAAGCCTACTCTAAACTTAATGAATGTGATGAAGTGGTTCAGCTGTTTCATGAATTTAAAAGTAGGAAGTTAAAAGGTTCAACCAGATATGTAGCTCAAATTTATGGGATTCTGTGCGAGTCATTGGGGAAGCTTGGAAGGGCTTTTGAAGCACTTGATTACTTTAGAGAGATGACTAAGAAGGGGATTTCTGAATACTCAATTTACTCCACCTTGATATACTCTTTTGCGAGTTTGCGCAAGGTTGATGTAGCTGAAGAACTTCTTAAAGAAGCTAACGGCAAAACAATGATAAAGGACCCTGAGGTCTATTTAAAGCTTGTGCTTATGTATGTCGATGAAGGTTTGTTGGAGAAGACTTTGGAAGTTGTTAAGGCAATGGATGATGCAGATGTCAAGGTTTCTGATTGTATAATATGTACTATTGTCAATGGCTTTAGCAAGAAAATAGGGTTTTCAGCTGCAGTTAAGGCTTTTGAGGATCTAGTTTCCAAGGGCTATGAACCAGGTCAAGTCACCTATGCCTCAGTTATAAATGCATATTGGCGTCTTGGGCATTACAGCAAAGCAGAGGAGGTGTTTTTAGAGATGGAGCAAAAGGGGTTTGATAAATGTGTCTATGCTTATTCAAGCATGATTGTGATGTATGGCAGAACTGGGAGGGTGAGAAGCGCAATGAAATTGGTAGCTAAGATGAAAGAAAGAGGGTGCAAACCAAATGTGTGGATCTACAACTCCTTGATAGACATGCATGGGAGGGACAAGAATTTGAAGCAGCTTGAGAAGTTGTGGAAAGAAATGCAGAGAAGAAAGGTAGCACCAGATAAGGTGACTTACACTAGCATCATTAGTGCTTACAATAAGGCAGGAGAGTTTGAAAGTTGTGTGAAACTTTTTGATGAGTATAGGATGAATGGGGGCCTTATTGATAGGGCCATGGGGGGTATAATGGTTGGTGTGTACACTAAAATTGGTCGGGTTGACAATCTGGTTAAACTCTTACAGGACATGAAAACAGAAGGAACAAGACTAGATCAGAGGCTGTATCAATCTGCTTGGAATGCTTTTAAAGATGCTGGGTTGCAACTTCAGGCAACATGGATGAAAGAGAGCTTCCATGTGGCATAGTGTTTTTTTCAATTTGTAAACAGTACCCAAATCTGAATCAGAAATATGTGAAACCGGTTAGTAATTTGATGCTTGCTTCTTCTGACACTTGAGGGGGGGAAATATCTATTATAGTTATATACCATGTATAGGTTTTTGGGGATGAAAGTCTTTTGCTTGTTCAATTATCTATATGCCCTTTTTATTGTATGCTTCCAAAATCAATTTGTACTCAAGTAACATCTGTGACTTTCACAACCCAAGTAAAAGGCCATTACTGGCACTGACCATCATGAATAACAATGCACGAATTCTGTTTTATGTTGAACTTAATTGCAGCTGTTTTCTGTAATAATTAGAGACAGAACTAATATTGAAAACAGAAATGGAAGCATAAAATAAAATAAAGAGAAAGAATAATGATAAGGAAAAAGGAAGCATAAAAATGGTATTGAGGCAGTATAAGTGTAGTTTAACAAGAGATTGATTTGTGAGTTCTATTTTCAACCATTTTGAGTTATACTAAGGAAGCTTAATGAACATGGGGACAGTGGTTAAGCTTCGTACATATGCTTTTGGTTGGAAATTTTTTGGTTTGAGGAGTCTATTTATTATTATTATCTTAGGTAACATTTTGAGAGAAAAAGAAAAAAAAAATCATATTTGTCTTTCATGGGATAAAATTCTTTTAAGCTGAAAAGTTCTTTTTTCTAAGAAGCATTCAACGCAATTGCATATCTTGACTTCAAAAATATAAACCATGATTGAATTATAATAACTTCATTTTATTTTTATTCATATGTTCAATTGTATGATATTATTTTACCCATTAAAGTGAGTGGCTAAATTTATACAAGTTAATTGAAAAATAAATACCTGGAATCTGAAATTTAAAAAATAATTTCTTCTATGAAAAAAAAATTATGTTAATTAAACGTATTTAAGTTTTAAAAAATTGTTGATTATTTAAAATATTTTTAAGAATAGATAAAAATTATAATGACTATTTCTAAAAAAATGTGTCTTTTTTATAATTATAAAAAAATATTGCTTTGTTTTTCATAAAATCTTCTAAAATATTATTTTTTTCATTTTAAAAAAATGTTTAAAAAAGGTAGAAACAAAGGTACGTTAAACTTGTCACCTTCACAAAATAAAAAATAACTTTGTTCTGTTTATATCAAAATTAAAAAAAAAACATAATATTTTATAATTGAAAATCCAAAATAGAGACAAAAGTATATGTAAAGATGAGATAAAAATTGGAAAATAATGGCTCTTATACTTAGACATATATTAATGGAGAGAAGTTCATATAATATTCCTCACATTATTTATTTGTTTTGTCTTAAATCAACACTTATGATTCTATTTTAACAGTTGACACCATGTTCATGATGGTGACAACAACAATAATAGAACAAAAATGAAATGATTAATGTAAAGAAACTCCGAAATTAAAGTGGTTTTAAGGATAAGCCATCTTTGTAGCACGTGCCATAACAAACCTTGACGAATTCCACCACATCGATGCCCAAAATACAGGGGGAGACAAAGAATATAAGAAATTATGTGTAGTTTACAACACATCATGGTTATACATATTAGTTGTGTCAAGGTTGAACGTAATTTGAAAACTATAACTAATCTTCACACATTTCAAAGGAGGTGAGAGGAAGAAACAAGGAAAGCAATATCATCAGATCCTCCCCAACATTGTAATCTCTCTCAGCAACACATAGTTGTTGTTCTTGCAAATTCATTGCAAGATCACAACAATGACGCTATGGATTAAGGCAACGGGAGCATTGAAGGATAGGTATAGCATTTGGGTCGCCAAGCTCTCACCAAGTGGCCCATGTAGGAACCCTGATCTTGAAATGGTGATCATCAAGGCCACAAGCCATGATGAACAGTGCATGGATTACAAGAACGTTCAGAGGGTTTTTAAATGGCTTCGTACCTCACCTTTGTACATTAAGCCTCTTCTCTACACACTTACAATGAGGATGGAGAAGACTCGTTCGTGGGTGGTGGCAATCAAGGGGTTAATGCTCATTCATGGGGTGTTTTGTTTTGATCTTCCCGCGGTGAAAAACTTGGGAAGGTTACCATTTGATTTGTCACACTTTAGCGACCGACACATAAACCCTAAGAAGGCATGGGTTTTCAACGCGTTTGTTAGGTCTTATTTCAATTATTTGGACCAAAAATCAACGTTTGTGAGGATGGAAGCCATGAAAGAGACCAAACCAGGAAGCAAGGAGAAGGAAGAGAGTGTGATGGAAGAGTTGCAGAGCTTGGAGAAGTTTCTTGATTTGATCGATTTGCTTCTACAAGTCAAGCCTAGAAACCCTCACATGAACGTCGTGCTTATTCTCGAGGCCATGGATTGTGTCATGGACGAGATTTTGGAACTGTATGGAAAGTTTTGTGATAGGGTTCATCGAGTTGTGTCGAGGATAATTGACATGGGTGGCAAAGAGGAAGCTAGGGTTGGTCTGGATGTTGTGAGCAAAGCTGAATCGCAAGGGAGTAAGATCAAAACTTACTTCAACTTCTGTAGGAAGATTGGGGTACTTAATGGTTCGGAGTGCCCCGAAATTTTGAAGGTCGATGAGAAAGACATTGGTGAACTACTAAGAATTAGAGACGAGGAAAAAATGGAGGATAAGAACAGTGACAATAGCAAGAATTATGTTATGGCATGTGAGCATAACAAATGTAGAACTATAGTCACCTTTTCAGACACGAAAGAGTTGGATTTGAAGACTGTGATCACAGACCAATGGGAAGTGTTCGAAGATGATTTCATAGATATTATGAATGGTGACGCCAAGATCACAAGTTTCCCAATGACCTCAACATGTAACCCTTTTCTGGATTATTCTTTGAGCCTCGTACCCTATGTTTCAGCTTCCAACAACTGTGTTCTTCCTGATTTAATCATTTTGTAGCATGTATAGAGATAAATAGAGGTTTCGTTTTCAGTTTCTCAAGAGCTCCATTGTAACATGCATTTAATGTATTCCTTGAAAAGGAAACAAAATTAAGACTTTCTCTTTCTCTTTCTCTTTCTCGTATATTATAATTTCCATATTCAATGGTCTCAAGCAGAGTCTGGTCAATAAAAAATTCTACCAAGAAAAGACAGCACTATTCTTGCAAAATTTTAACTAACAAAAGCAGAAAGAAAAGTGGGGTAGACAAAAGTCACGTTCAAAACCTAACTGCTATAATCTCATCAAACAAACCAACAAACAAACAAACAAACAAAAAACAAAAAGCGATTTCTTTGGCTTTCCCTTCTGTCTTTATTTTCTTTCTTCTTCACCACGGTTCAACGCCATTAATGTTCTTAAAACTTAAATCACCATTTTCTTATCTTAAAACCATTCTCAGTGCCCTTTCCGAATCTCTTACATCTTTACGTTTTTCCTTCTTTTTAAGGGCTTCTCTTTATTTTCAACGGTTATTTTCTTCAAATTTGAACCACCACCACCACATTATCTCAAACTATATTCTTAATCTGGTTGAATTGAAGGCTTAATTAATTTTACTGTTAATAGATTTTTTTAGTAAAAAAATGTCATAAATAAACATATTTTCTCAAATCTTAAGGGTTTGACCGTTTGCTGGTTCTTTGAATTATTATACAGTAAAATTTCTCTTAATTTTGTTTCTCTTTTTTTTTTTGATAAAGAATGAAAATTTAATAAAAAAGTGTCTTATTTTTCTGTTTCCTTCTCTTCAAGTTTTCCCATCTTCTAGATCCACTATCACTCTTTTTCTGAATTAAACGAAGCAAAGTCGCACAATATAAATTACAGAGGCCAATTTGATTATATCCTTCCAATAAAATAATTAATTATTGCTTCTGGAATATCATTTTCTATTGACCAAAACAATTTAAATGAAGCTAATTGCTGAAGCAATGGCCATTTTATGTTTGTCACGCCACACCCAAATTTCTTCTTCTCTGTAATATGAAAAGAAAATGCTTTCGAATTCTCTTCTGCCTCCCTCTATTCCCAAATATAAAAAAAAAGACTCTATATTTTTTTATCAGTCATTAATAAATAAGGTTTTTAACAAACAATTACGTTACGGTGATTTTCAAGAAGGCATAAGATAAGACCAACATAAATTTATATAACAAAATCAAAACCAAATTCATAAATTTTTTGTATGTAATAGTTTGTGATTGAAAGTCTAAATTTATTTTACATTGTACGTGAATTTTTTTTCTAAAAATAAAAACATGAGAAGAATAAAAAAAATCTAGCATACTTTTCTAGAAACTATATGTGCTGAGGCACGAGTTGCAATTTGCAAATATTAACACATTATTTCTAGAAACTAATGAAAAGAAAAATTCATATTGTTAGAATAGATTAATCATCAACGAAAATTGATAGACCCTTTATATTACTGACAAATCTTAAAATTACAACTATTGAAAAAGATAGAAATTAGAACAAACAAAGGTGCAAACATGCAAATGAAACAAAATTCCAACCAAAAGGTGGCTACTGTAATATCTAATGACCAAAATCATTCCCAATAGTCAAATTTCCACCCTTTATTTTCCTCTCTCCTTCCTCTGTCTTCTCTCTGCCTCCATCTCCATATATTTATACCCTCACTCCACACCCACCACCCATTTCTCCAAACTCACAATCCCAATTGCTTGACAACACCATTCACTGAGCAACAAATGGAAGTGGTGGTGGCAGTGTCTCCTCCTCCTCCTCCTCCACCTTCTTCTTCTTCCATGGAATTTAACTTTGATAGCAACTGCTCCTCCCCTTACATCACCGCACCTTCCAGCCCTCAACGCTTTGGCAACTTCTTCTTCAGTGCCCCCACCAGCCCCACCAGAAGACACTCCTCTGCTTCTACTCCTACCACTACCCAAGACGAATTTGAATTCGACTTTAGTAGTCATGTTCAAAGACCTTCTCTTTCCGCCGATGAATTGTTTCTTGGAGGAAAGATTAGACCTTTGAAACCCTCTTCACCTTCATTCATTCCGAATATTAACAAAAACAAAATCTCATCTGATAGAACAGAGGACAAAGGATCATTACCACCGCCACCACAGGATAAAAGAATCAGAGAAAGAGCATTTTCATTTTCCACTTCTTCCGCGAGTTCAGATCGCAGACAAAGCGGAATCAACAGTGTATTATACGGTGATGACAACATCGATGATACGTCGGAGTCATCACCGGGGAAAAATATCGACAAGGCCTCGGAAACCGTTTCTCATTCCTCGTTTTTGTCGTCGATTTCGTTCGGGAAAGGGTACCGAAAGTGGCGGCTGAAGGATTTTCTGTTGTTCCGAAGCGCCTCCGAGGGAAGAGCTTCGGACAAGGATCCTTTTCGGAAGTACGCAGTTCTTTCCAAAACGACAGCGCACGAGGATGTGCGGAACATGAGCTTTCGGTCGGCGGAGAGTTCCGGTTCGGTTTCGAGACGGAGAGGACCGGTTTCGGCTCACGAGTTGCATTACACGGTGAACCGGGCTGCTTCTGTGGAAATGAAGAAGAAAACTTTGTTGCCTTACAAGCAGGGTTTGTTGGGCTGCTTGGGCTTCAACCCTGGCATGCATCACTTCAGTGCGAGAATTGGATCTTCTGAGCGTTCGTAATAATCGATTCATTAAACCAGATCACAAGTTTTGATCCTAGTTATTGTTTTCATCAAATTGTGATTTTGGTGATCATGTTTTGAGAATTTGCAAGCAAATGTTCTCTTCTGCTGCTGTATCCAAAATGTTTATATTATTATGATCCTGATCGTGAATGGTAATTTCAATTTCTGTTTTTTCAACAAAAAAAAAAAAAAAAAAAACTGTGTATATTCTCGTTTTGTTGTTCTTGTTAGTTCTTCAGGCTTCTATTATTATGAAGGGAAAAAGAAAAGGAAAAAAAAAGATATTTTTAAATTCTAGAATATTAAGAAAAGAAAAAAAAAGATATTTCATAGACTGAAAATCGAAAATTTGAAAATGAATGAGTTTACATGTTTTGTTTGTTCATTGTATTTGGTCGAGTTGGGAAAATTGGTGTGTGATGTCATGTCACCTTCAACCAAATCCTGTGTTTGTCTCTGCCCTAAGAAGTTGTGCTGGTTCTGCACGTTGCAAAAGAAAAATATATATATTCTTTGCGTGTATTTACGACTTTTTGGTTTGGTGTGAAAAAGTGTACTTGTCAAACTATGTACCCAAAGGAGGAGTTGTTCTTATTTTCATTAGTATCTCTGTTTTTCTTTCACCTTCAACAACCTGTTACCCACCATAATGTGTTTCCATTGGCTACTTCTTATGGTAATAGTTTTTGTCCAATTTAAAAGGTATATGAGAAGAAAATGACCAAGAATTTTGAATTAATGTATGGACAAATTAAGCATGACCTTAGAAAAGAAAAAAAGCATTTGTGCAATATCATTAGGATGTTTAATAATGATTGTAATGTTGCTGTACAGAGCAAGGTTTGTCGATGAGTTGGGCACGCACAGTCATTTTTTTTAAAATATGGTGTAAGAAGACTGAAATTTTCATCATCATTATACCATCACCAAATATTATCAGCACAGACATGTTAAGTGTGCTTCTATTTTTGTATAATGTTTCAAAAGGAGAATAGTGAAAAAAATGTGGAGTGCATAATAAGATACATGATGTAATTAAGCAAAATAAGAAGGAGAAATATATTTTAAATTTTTTTATATAATAAAATTATTATTATTATTATTATTATATATATATATAACTATTCTCGTTATAAAATTTTAGAATATCTCGTATATTGTATATTTATCGATAGAAACATTATCTATTTTAAAATTTTTATTTATATATAAATTATTATTGATTTTTAAATGTATATATATATATATATATATATATATTAATTATATTTTTTTCTTTTAACATTGTTGTGACGAATTAAAAATTTAATAAATTTATAATCCTAATAATTTCATAGTTAAAAAAAATACATACACGTGTTTTAATAGATATTTTTATTTTTATTTTTCGAATATATGTTTAGATTTTTTATCTCGTGCACTTGAAAAATATTTGTTAAAAGTAAACTCTTTAGATAAATTTTTATTTTTATTTTTATTTTAATTTCAAGGAGTCGTTCTAAGTATACTATTTAATAATACCATAAAAAATAGTAAATGGACAAAATAGAATAATAATTTTTGCAGAAAACCACGTTATTAATGTTACGTAATAAATTAAAATGAACTTATAAAGGATATAAGTGGAAAATCCTTCATAAAATTTACTCTCTCTTATTATTTATAAGACTCAATTACGTGATTCATCATATTATATGGAGACGTTAATTTATAAACAATTAATATGTCACAAATTTATATACTTTTAAAAAAAATATCTTTGTCATTAATACTCTTCTCTATTTTCTAATTCTCATTTTTAAATATAATTATTTTAGTAAAAATAAATTAAAATACTATACATTGAGTCTTAGGAAAAGAATAAAAACTGTTTATAATATGAGTCTTATAAAAGAAATTATATATATATATATATATATATATATATATATATATATATATATATATATATATATGGAAGATTCGATAGTTTTTACAGAGAATAACTCTATATTAAGAATTTTGGGTAAATTAAAAGACAAATTTAAGAAAAGAATGAAATGATTTTTTTCATAAATTAAAACTATAATTTATTTATAGTTTAAAAAAATATGAATTTTAAAAAAGTCACTAATAAAAAATTAGTTATTTCCTGTAATTTTTTTTTTAAGTTTATTTAAATTTGTAAGAAACTTATTTTTTATAAAAATTTGTAAAAATATTCTGATGAAATATAAAAATTTATAGTAGTGAGGAAACATAAAATATAAGTTATATAAATTAATTTAAATTATGAATCTTTTTTTCATTTCATATTTTCTTTCCCCAAAATATTTATTGAAAAATTCATGCATGTCTTAAATGTCTCCCTTTACTTCTATATCCAATTTTCTTCCCATTCTGATTATATAACTAATAAATTACAAGTAGTATTTCCTCAGTTTATAATATTTAATTTTCAATTAAAAGAAAATTTTAAGTGTAATAAATAATAAATAAAATATATTATTGTATTTTTTATATAAAAATTAGTTTTCTATGAAAAATAAAATGAAAGTTTAATTTTGATTATTAATATTCATAACCAATTTAATTGAAACAGTAAATATATTAATAATAAGAGATATTAAACGATTAAATCTAATAATAGTATTTAAAAATAATAATTTTTTTATTAATATTAGAGATAATTTTTTGAAAAAGAATATCATTAAAATAAATTTAAAATTATTATTAATAATTTAAAATTCTGATGAATTAATTAATTGGTTCCTATAAAATAAAGGAGAAAAAAAATGAACCTTTACCCATTGCCTACTTGTGTAATTGCGTGTTCACATGAAAATGGAGTCAATGAAATTAAATAAACTTGCCTCCCTGTGTTCCTTTCGCGTGGGTTAGTGGAGGAAATTAATAAGAATTATGAGTAATTAAATACCAATTTGCTTTAAGAATTTGATATGTCAAAATCACAAACAAAATTTTCATCATTTATGGCTATAAAGATTTCAAAGTTGTTTGTACACTGATTAAGAAGGGTGGTGGAGTTTTATGAAGTCTTACCGAATAGATTATAAAAAAAAAATACTACTTTTGAATGTATTAATTTTTATTTTTTTAATATGAAATATACATTCATTTTCCATAAAAATGATTTTTCTTATTAAACTATCTACAAATATGTCAATTTTATCATTGAAAAATTATTCCTTTAATTAAAAATAATATCTTCAAATATAATTGCTAATAATTTAATTTTGTAGATATTTTTAGAATAAAAATTATGATATTATAAATTAAAACTAATTTTAAACAACTTTTTATTCTTATGAAGAACTATACATGTATATATAATTCTCATAATACTTATTTTCATATATTATTTTTAAATTTTATTTTTTGATATGTGTGTAAGTTAATTTTAACTTATAAAAAGTTTCTTTTAAATTTCCTTAAAATAATTTTTTAAAAACTTGCTCATAATCCACAATTAACTTAGACATGAAAAACAATATACAGGAAAATGATTTGGATAGACAACCTCAAAATCAACAAAACCTTAAGCATGTGTACATGAACGACCAGCCACGCCATGCAAGAGAAGCTATCTTTACGTAAAGTATGCAGCTATATATCAATTGCAGAACAAAGAAACCCATTTTTTTATTTCTAATTTTTCACATTTTTTTTACTCTTTTCCTATTTGGAGGTCCAACACTAGCATGCATAATCATAGCATGTTGCTTCATGGGCACGTTGTTGTATGAGAAAATATGTCTCCTTCAGTGTATTTAATGACGAACATTAATGGCTTACAATCAGAAATTTTCATTATGAAGCCATTAATTTGGTGGCTATGTATGTAAAGTTGTTCAATTGTTTTAGGTTGGTCATCATTGCCATAGATAGTACTATAAATGCTAAAGGCTATTGATGTTGTTCTTAAAGGGTTTAACATTTATCATATGAAGCATGCAGTGCGCAAATTCTACTGCTAATTTGTTCTTTTTATCCTGAGTTCAACCTGAAGTGCATTTCTCTAACAAAAACTCATATTTAATCAATAAATTAAGGACAAATGATTAACTATTAGAATGGATAAAAAGAAGTCATAGCCTAAATCCATGATGATAATTATACAAAAAGTTATCACTTTTCAGTTATCATGTTAAAATTGGAGTACTTTATTAACTTGAATTACACGTCTTTGACTGGTCTCTTTGGAAGATGTCATCACTAATTAAAACACTTTGCGCAATTATGTCAAGCATGGGTATCATAAGAAAGAGGCAATGAAGCTTTAAAATGTATATAAAAATTCAAGAGTAATGCATCAAACCCTTATATTGGATTGGACATGGATCATTAAATATGTGGTATGTGTGGAGAAGGGAGCATTCAAGTGCATCATGGTGGGAGTTCTTGAAGGCTTTCATCAAATTTTAGCCAGAATTTGACCGAGACAGGACCAAGATGAAGAAGAAGATCAAGAATCTTGGGTCAAGGGAAATAACAAAGAATGGCTCAGAAATAACAGTGCATCATAAGATCATAAAGCCACTTTTTAACTTTTTCTCAATAGCTTTCCACAAATGTGGTAAGATAAACATTGATAAACAAAAAATAATTAACAAATTGGTTTATACTTATTTGCTTAATTATAGGTTTTTTCTTCAAATTTAAAAGATTTCACTAATTAAAATTTGATTATAGAGATATATTATTCAAATTATATCTTAAAATTTTTTCTGGAAGTGACCTTAACAACCTACAACATCAACTTAAAATAAAAAAAATACAAGTTATATTTAATATCAAATCACTCTTAACTTTAATACTAAAATATTTCGTTAAATAATTTTCAATTTTCTTTTTTTTATGTACCTTTTTTTCTAAAAAAATCATTTTATATAAACAATAATGTTGTTTATTTAATATCGTATATTTTTTAATAAATATTGAATTATTAAAATAAATAAATAAATATATTTAAAAACTTGACCTCAATTACTTTAAATGAAAAAAATGTCAACAAAAATTTATAATTAAAAAAAATGTTATAATAACAACATTTAATATTGGTATATACAATCAATTTTTAAACTATCGTTGAAAAAATGATGTTGAAGGTTAAAAGAATCGATGTTGAAGATATGTACTTGTAATATTGTGTTTTTTTATAATCGATGTATAAAATTAATTTTTATTTTTTAAAAATATTTAGTGTTGTGATATTTTCCATTTGGAAATAAAATTCAATCCTTAAAAAAACATAAAATTTGCCAAAAACATATAAAACGGTCTTAAATAATTATAAAAATATCTAAAATAATATATAATTTACAATTTACAATAAATAATAAATAAATATTTAAATAATAATTATAACAATCTAACGATAGATGCAACACAAGGGAGGAAGAGGTGGTGACGGAGGATGATACCAGTGGCTAGGCATGGTAACGGCACGGGAGCGGGTTTTGCCTCCCGATTTCCGCCTCCGACTTTTTTAATCATTTACGTCCCCTGTTCCCGATCCTCGTTGGGGTTAAAAATTAAGTCTTCATCCCCGTTTGCGTTGAGTTTCGGGTTCCCAGTCCCTTCCCCTCCCGATCTATATTATTTTTAAAAAATAATTATATTTATAATAAATTAATTTTATTATGTATTTTTTATATATAAATAAATATTTATAATTTATAATAATTATTAATTAAATAAACATTCTTATATATTATATTTATATTAAAATATGTATGTAAAAAAATATTTAATTATTTTTAATTTATATATATATATATATAAAGACAATATTTATAACATTATTATTATTATTATAATATTCAAATATTTAAATACTTATAACATTATTATTTTAATACTGTATTAAAACATTTAATTATATATATAAGTTAATTCATTTTTAAGTTTTCATTTAAAAATATGAAATATATAGTTTATAAGAAAATTTTAATTCTTATTTAATTAGTTCGAAGTAATAAAAGTTTAAATTATTAATTTCTTTTAATCCTTTAAAATACAATTATTTTATTAAGATAAAATTTGATATATAATAAATAAGAATAATAAGATAAAAAAATATGACATAATAAAACCTAATAAATATAAATTATAAATAAAATAATATTAATTACTACTAGAATTTATGTAAAATATTTAGAAAAAGATAAAGAAAAAAAATTACTTTGTGTTCATCAAATTGATTGAAAAAATTAAAATAAAAAAATAAATTAATGGGTGAAATTAAGGAAATGTAAAAACAGAAAGGTAAGAGAGAATAATGTAATAAATTAATTGATATAAAACAAAAAAATTAAAAGTGGGTAGAAGAAAAATAAAAATTGGTGAAATATTAAAAAATAAATTTTATATGTAATAGAAAAAGAAAAGAAAATACATTTTAAGTATTAATATTTTAAATTTTAAATTTAAATATAAAGTTAGGGCGAGGACGGGTCGGGGTGGGGATTGCATTACCATCCCGCCCCGCGCCCGACTTTTCAAAGCGAGAAAACCCGAACCCACCCCCGTCCCTGGTCAACTCGGGTTTTCCCCGTCAAACTTGGGGCGGGGACGGGTCGGTCCCTATGGGTACGAGTTTAATTGTCATCCTTACTAGCGACGGATCTTTATGAGAGTTGAGGGGGGTCGTGGGCCCCCCCAAAATTTTGTAACTCCCATTTAATTTATGATTTTGGCCCCCCAAACTTAATAATAATTTAATATATTTACTTGTGTATTTACAATTTTATCCTCTCATCACTCCTAACTCTTATATAATTTATGATTTTATCTCTTCAAACTTAATGATCATTTAATGTATTTATTTATACATTTACAATTTTATCCTCTCACACTTTCATCTTCATTCACCCTTTTATTTTTATTTATTAATAATATATTATTTGTAATAAAGTATGAGATCATGATAGATAGTGACAACACAAGAAATAATACGATAGGTGATGATATAATAGAGAGAGAAGACATGTATACACGAATGAGAACACAATAAATGACGTAGTGGAGGCCACAAAGATATGAGAATGCAATGAAAGGTGTGAGGACATGACATAGGACACAATGGAGATGCAACGGAAGACACGATGAACAAGTGAAGGACATGAGATGCAACAAAGACCAAGAAGGAGAGACGGTGGAAGGAGATATGGAAACACGACGGAAGACACAATGGAGGTTGAGGGTATAACGAAGAGTGCAATGAAAGTTGAAGGAACGACAAAGAACCAGAACAAAAAAGAAAAAAAGAATAGTTTCGTAGATGGAAAAAATATTTAGGGTTTAGGATATAAAAAAAAAAGAATAATTTTTTCATAAAATTAAAAAAAATGTTTCATAAAATTATAAAATTTTTTTTACATAGGACAATTTTTCACATTAATTATAAAACAACCAATATAAAAAATTATCTCAAATTATAAATTTATCACCATTTTTTTTACGTCAGTTCCTTTATAAACGATGACGTTACAAATTATTTTTATTATAGTGAAAATAGTCTGTCGATCAACAACTTAAAAAAAAAAAGAAAAAAATAAATCATGGTAACTTTTATGTTATTATTTATAAAATTGTGAAATTAACTATAACTTTTTTTTTTAAATACATAAGTCTTGTTTTAAAGCATAACTTATACAAAGTAATAATTTATCTATTTACTCATTATCTCTCTGTACTTAATTCAAAATGAACTCATTTCTATTATTTTGAGAAGAAAAGTGTTCCTTATTGGTAAAAAGAAACTAAATTTGATAGGTTGGGCCTAAACAAACCAAATTGATTCCTTTAACAATCAAATAAAGGCAAAGCCCAAATTCAGTCCATTCATTTTCCATTCAAAACCTTTTTGTGTGGGGAAAATGAAATATGATCACGTTAGCTTTACAGACCTAAATAAAAACAAGCAACTCCTTCAGTGCGAACTTCATCAATATGAATTTATTGCATTACAATGAAAAGTTACAGTTTCATTAAAAATTGATCACAATCAGAGCCAATCAATTTGAAACTACAGTGTTATTTGCCAAAATCTTAGGACAAAACATCTAATAAGAAAAAGAAAAGTGTAAGAAGCAGCAATATTTGGTGCAACTTTGTGATCATGGCCACTGCCAGAAGGGACGAAGCATGGGGAAGACAGCAAACTTCATGGTGCCATTGTTGCAATGGAGCCCATTTCTCTCACCACACCCAAAGAAGTGAGGCTCCCACTTCTTCAACACAAACTTGAACCCCTCTCCTCCACCTTGCACGGGACTTGCCACCACCTTTGCCTTTTCACGTCACACTTGAAGAAGCTCTCATAGCTTTTGAACATGTACACACTGTGTGGGAAACTGGTGGCGCTGGGAGCATCATATTTGAAAACTACATCACAACAATTCAATCAGTTGATGCTCATTTTTGTTACCATATTTCAATCAATATTTTGCATTAGAATCACTTTAGAAGGAAACTGACCTAGAGTATCATTGATGTAAAATGGGGCATTCTTGAAGGCCCAATCGGAGTAGTTGTAGCCAAAGTGCCAATGCTCAGAACCACCCACGACAATCTCTCTGGGCTCTTGCTGTGTTTTGTTGTGAGGGTGATTCCCAAATCTGGACCACCAATCGGTGTAGTTGAAACCAGGGAACCAATCCTTGTTGGCCATGCTCACTGAAAACATTGAAGCACTCATAATAACTACGATCATCACTCCATGTCTAAACTTGAGACCCATGGTATTTGCTTTGCTCTATAGTCTCACAAGTGTGGGTAAACAAAATAAGGAAATTAAAGTGCAGAATGTAAAGTATGTTATGGTTTTTGATGGTGGGAGAATGGTTGGAGTTAAGGGGTATTTATGCAGGGAGACAGATAGTGGAAAGAAATAGAGTGAGTCTCATGAAATATTATGGATTTGACTCTGCTGTCATATGGTGGTGCAAAATGGCCAAATCAATTTTCTAAAATTTTTTTGTTGGTTTGTAACTTAATTGGTAATAGTTGAAAATGTGTTATTTTTTCAACCCTGGCTTTTAACTTTTCTCCCACACTTGCCTCTTTGATGGAACACGAGTTTGACTCCGACCATTGGATAAAGGGTGATGGGCGTTAGGGACTTTGAACTGTATGGTAGGAACACATTCATCTTTTGTGTGGGATAGCAAATTGCAAATGAAGTTTATATTGTTGGAATTGGGACATGGGATAAAAATGCGTCAAACCCACACCACACATTTATGATTTAAGTTCACATCTGATCTTATGTATTAGTGGGTTGGTAGCAGTGGAAAGAAACATATATTCTTCAACGTATGTCCAACTGTACCAATAATATCCTTTGTATTAAAAAAATCAATCAACAAATGGATGAAAAGAAAATGAAGGAATTGTTGGTATATAATAATGGTTCTGGTATATAACTAAGTCTCATGTAATTTAGTAATTAAGATTAAAGTAATTTATAATTCTTTTTTATAATTCACGGTATTTAAAAATAAAATCATGATAAATTAAAATTTAAAAATAAATAATATCTTAAATATAATATTGACTTGATAGTATTATTATAATAGATAAATTAATTTTAAAAGATTAAATTAAATATATTTTCGAATCAATTTTAGCACTGTAAAATGATGATGATGATGATGGCACGGAGAAGGATTTAATGTTTTTGAAAACATGAAAAGAAGTAATGATACGCCATTCATCCGTCATCATGGAATCACTTGGCACAATACTAAATGAACAATGATTCTACATTTATTTCTACACCACTAGTTTCTGTTCTTTTTGCAATTGTAATAATAACAACAATATTACTACTATTACACCTACGCTGACTTTGATTTAGTCAGAACTCGCTTCTGTTCATGTGATGATGAACAATTTCTTTTTCTTTCCAATCCATTCACTGTATCTGCCTTTTGTTTTAATTAAACACCTAAATGCATTAAACCCTAATTTAAAACACAAAGTTATATTAAGTTGTTTCTGCCTAATTAAACGTGTGAAGTATAGATGCACAACATGTGCTGATGAGATCCTGAATTCAACCAAGCACCTTTTTCTTCATCCATTACAGCATCACATAATTAATGAATACTTTCTTGAAATTGTTACTTTGCATACACATTGTAAAGAAGATAAATAACAAAAGTTATTTTTACAAAAATAATTGGAAGATGAAAAATTAGTAATAATTGCAAACATGAACATGAAAAAGTGTTACAGAGATTATCAAGAAAAATCTCACCAATCTAAATTATATATTCGTATTTATTTTTTATTTTTATAAAATAATTATAGTATTTATTTTGTAAATCATCGTAATTTTTTAATTAATATATTGTATAGTGGTTAAGTTTTTTTCTTTAGATTTAAAGAAAATATTATAATTTTTTTCAATAATAAAATTCTATTATTATCTACTATTTTTTTTTACTTTAGCTAAGTTATTGTGTAGTTACTTTGATTTCTAATAATGGTATTAAAATCTAGTTTTAATAAGTTTTGTGGTTGTAATTAATTTGATATTTTATATCAGAAAAGAGTTATTTTAATTATTGGATATAATGTATGGTAGTATTGATAATGCATGTCTAAGAAAAGTTATGACAAGAAAATACTTGATATTTAAGTATGTCTATTAGTTATTCACATTTTTTTCCTAGGAGTTTACCTGATGTATCAGTTACGGTCTACATTGTTATTATAATAAACAATATTATTCATAGTGAAATATGCATAAGTCGATTAAAACCATGATAACAAAATATGAGATAAAGAAGTTTAATGAGAATAATTTCTCGTTGTTGAAACTAAAGATGAAAACAATTTTGAGAAAAGACAAATGTGTAGATGCAATTAGAAAAAGACCTTGAGCATCACAGATCGAATGTGAGAAGAAATCAATAACAATGCTATAGCAAATTTGCACTTAATATTGACAGATGAGGTTTTATCTAGCATTGTGGAGAAGGGTACCGAGAATGAGATTTGAAGTCCCTTGTCAAATTATACGAGGTTAAGTCACTTCACATAAGAATATTTTTAAAGAGAAAACTCTATACTTTTGAAGAGTGAGTCCACATCGATGACAAATTACATCAACAATCTAAATATATTTTTTTCCCAACTTTCAATGACAAATTTCAACATAGTTGAAAATGAGCGTGTGAAACTTCTACTTAAAAGTTTACCATATTCATATGATCAACTTGTCATCAATATAACAAATAATAATATTGATGGACATTTATACTTTGAGAATGTTGTCGGAGTTATTTTTGAAGAATAATCTAGGCAAAAAAAGTAAGGTGAAAAATCTGAATCAAACAAAAGCTTTGACAATGATGAGAGATAGATTATGAAATGTTACTCTAGTGAGAGTCAAAATCATGGTGAATCAAATTATCGAGAAAAGATGAATCTTATTTGATATCATTGTGACAAGAGAGGCATACCGAAAAAGATTGTTGACTTAAAGCAACATAAATTGAAATTTGCTAGAATGACTATTTGGAGAAAATACATATTGGACTTAGTTTATTCTAATATGTTAGAATCACCAGTATTATCCTTAGGAATGATAAGATGTTTTGTATTAGCGATGATGATTACTACAAAAAAATTATGGGTGTACCACATCAAGCTAAAGTTCGTGCTTTCAAAGTTTAGGAAAAACAAATTCTTAAATTGTACTAACAATGTAAATGGGTATTTATACCCACATGGCTAGTTTTAGTGGAGATGCAAATATTATTTTTTTTAGGGTGAACGTGGAGAGATGATTGATATGCTCTAATTAGAAGACTTCACAGAAAATGGAAATTTAGTTTGTAGGTTAACTAAATCTTTGTACAATCTCAACCGGGTGTCAAAATATTAGTATAAAAGATTTGATTCTTCATGATTAATCTTATTTATAACAAACTTAGTTCAAACTATTGTACCTATTACAATAAATTTAATAATTTTATCATGTTGTCATTGTACGTATATAACATGTTGGTGGTAAGCTCCAACAAGTTTGAATATAAGTTTTAAAGGCAGATTGATATAAAGGACTAGGGACCAACAAACAAGATTTTATGGATGTAAGTTCATTGAGATATAAAAGATAAAAATGTTTGACTTTATCAGAAAAATTACTTATTGAATGTCTTATGGTGCTTCAACATACAAGGGTGTAAGCCAATTTCTACCTCATTTCTTATCAAGTAAGTTATTCTCAATTATGAGTCCTAACAATGAAGCGAAGATGATATAAATGTCTCAAGAAGTATTGTATGCATCGTCGGTGAAAAGTTTTATGCGCATCATGATCGATGCAAGACAAGACATTACACAAACAATGTGAGCGATTAGTATCATGACAAATCATGGTGGAGAGCATGAGTGTAAGAGCATTCTTATAAAATGAACCTTGGATGTTGTATTACGTTTCGAAGAAACAGAACTAGTTATCAAAGACTATGTTTGTTCAAGTTTTACAGGTGATCTTGACATGTTAACACTTGTAGGAGAGACATATGATGTTGTAGCCCGATCTAATATAAAAGCTAAATACGTGACAACCACCCAATATGTGAAAAAAGTTATCTGGATTAAAAAGGCTAATGAAGGAACTTAAGCATATGCAACAAAAGATTGTTGTATATTTTTGACAGTTAAAGCATTTTGCACATTACAAGAAATATTGTTTTATATTCCAAGACAAAGAAGAAACTAATAGTTGATATGACAATCAGTTAACAGTTACAAATTTAAATAAATTGATCTTACTGAAGAATAAATTAGAGGAAGACAATAATAATAATGTATGGTAAATATTTGATTAATTTAATCAAAATATTTAAAGTAAAAGAATGTGAGAAAAGAAGTCTCACATAAAAAAAATATATATTATTATAATTTTAACATCGGTAGAACCGATGTAGAAAGTCTAATATTTTTATTTATTCATAACCCCTCTCTAATTATCCTTGTCATCGACAAGATTCAAACCCAAGTAACTTAGAGTCGAGGTCGATACTCCAACCACTAAGCTACCAGGATTTTTCGATAATAACTTATACATAAATTATATTTATATACAAATAAAAATGTATATCCATGTAAATATATAAATGTAAAATATATAAATACAAATATATTTATATATTTATATGATGGATGTAAGGACGCGCTCGAGGATGAAAGTGTGTGTCGAGTGAATTTTCAAAATTTGATGTCAAATTTGTGAGCTGGTCTCTTTATATGGATTATAACTTAATGACAAAATATAATCTTTATAATTTATTTATATAATGATATAAAATAATTTTTTTTTCTTTATTTTATATCATTATATAAAATAATTATAAAGATTATATTCTATATTATTATAAATAAATTATAAAGATTATATTCTATCATTAAATTACAAATTCATATAAAGAGACTTGCTCACAAATTTAACATCAAATTTTGAAAACCCACTTGACACACACTTTCACTCTCGAGCGCGCTCTCACATCCAACATATAAATATATAAATATATTTGTATTTGTATTTATATATTTTATATTTATATATTTACATGGATATACATTTTTATTTATATATAAATATAATTTATTTATAAGTTATTATCAGAAAATCTTAGTAATTTAGTGGTTAGAGTATTAGTATTTAATTTTAAGGTACTTGGTTCGAATCCTGCCAAGAATAATTCTCTTAATTTTATAAAAAGTGTTTTCTACATCGGTTCCTAACTAAACCGATGTTGAAAGTCTTGAATTCACTTTCTAGATCAATTATTAGAAAGACCGATATTAAAAGTGGTTTCTGTATTCTTTCTTTTTTTTTACATCTTTTATATTAATTATTAGTTTTTATATAGTTATCTCATTGGTACCATTATATTAACTTATAATAAATGTTTTGATACTAATAACTGTTACCAGATAAATATAAATTAATTAGCTTAATATTTAAACAATTTAAATATAGTAATTAAATGACATACTAAGATTATATATTAATTAAAACTATATTTTATTCTTAATTTTTATTAAAAAGAATTATTTATTCAGGTCAAACACGTGTTCCGTGAAAGAGCCCAGGCGTGGAAAAAATGTTGACGGCCAAGGATCGGGAAAAAACATGTACACTATCCGACAATTCAGATCCCATTTACTTTCAATAATATATATATATTACAAATTAATGAAGTAGAAGTTGATTTGGCCATTTTGCACCACCATATGACAGCAGAGTCAAATCCATAATATTTCATGAGACTCACTCTATTTGTTTCTACTGTCTGTCTCCCTGTATAAATACCCCTTAACTCCAACCATTCTCCCAGCATCAAAAACCAAAAACATACTTTGCATTCTGCACTTTAATTTCCTTATTTTGTTTAGCCACACTTGTGAGACTATAGAGCAAAGCAAATACCATGGGTCTCAAGTTTAGACATGGAGTGATGATCATAGTTATTATAAGTGCTTCAATGTTTTCAGTGAGCATGGCCAACAAGGATTGGTTCCCTGCTTTCAACTACACCGATTGGTGGTCCAGATTTGGGAATCACCCTCACAACAAAACACAGCAAGAGCCCAGAGAGATTGTCGTGGGTGGTTCTGATCATTGGCACTTTGGCTACAACTACTCCGATTGGGCCTTCAAGAATGCCCCATTTTACATCAATGATACTCTAGGTCAGTTTCCTTCTAAAGTGATTCTAATGCAAAATATTGATTGAAATATGGTAACAAAAATGAGCATCAACTGATTGAATTGTTGTGATGTAGTTTTCAAATATGATGCTCCCAGCGCCACCAGTTTCCCACACAGTGTGTACATGTTCAAAAGCTATGAGAGCTTCTTCAAGTGTGACGTGAAAAAGGCAAAGGTGGTGGCAAGTCCCGTGCAAGGTGGAGGAGAGGGGTTCAAGTTTGTGTTGAAGAAGTGGGAGCCTCACTTCTTTGGGTGTGGTGAGAGAAATGGGTTCCATTGCAACAATGGCACCATGAAGTTTGCTGTCTTCCCCATGCTTCGTCCCTTCTGGCAGTGGCCATGATCATAAGTGCACCAAATTTTGCTACTTCCTATACTTTTTTTTTTACTTACAATATCTTTGTGTGAAGTTTTTGTCAAATAACGTGTAGTTTCAAATTGTTTTGGCTCTGATCAATTTAATGAAACTACTTTTCAGTCTTGTAATGCAATTTTATTAGTGATCAAAGGGAGAAGTAGCAGCGAAGGAGTTGCTAATAAAATTTATTCGTATTTATATTTTATAATGCTAATAAAAGATATATATATATATATATATATATATATATATATATATATATATATATATATATATATATATATGAATGTATAATTTTTTCCTAAAATAAATAGGTTTTAATCCTCTCTTGGTTGCGGTTGTGAAAAAAAATAGTAAAAAAGAAATATTTATTTTGGATGAAAAAAATTACACAATACAAATATTTATGAAGTTAAAAAAAAAACTTAAAATAATGTAAATAACTTATTTTTCAGGACATTTTTATAAAATTTTAACTGATACTATAAACATCCACTTATTTGATAAAAAAATTATATATAAAATTAAAAATTTGAAAAAAGAAAAAAACTTGACATAACAATATTTAAACCTCCTACGTTAAGTTTAATGTAATAAAAAATGAGTTGCAGAGTTTCTTATATAATTATTATTACTTATCTGATCTTGTCCGTGGTTGCCTCACCATTTCAAGATCAGTTCACCCTCGTCATCGTATGCTTCTACTTCTAGATTCATCGCTCAAATAAAACTCAAAATATTTGAAACAGAACGAAAGAAAGAAAAAGAGTGAGAGAGTGGAGGAAGCAATGGCGGCGCGTACAATCTCGCAAGAAGCATTCGAAGAACTGGTGAAAGAGAACATCGACGACCTCGGCATGGACCCAACCGAGGCTCTCCAAGACGCCATCCAAACCCTCACTCTCCAAGGCGTCGATCTCTCAGGTTCCTCTCTCTTCTCACCTTCTTCTTCTTCTCCTTCTCCCAATCGCAATCTCTAACACCGTCGTTTTGCAGGCATCGTCACGTGCGTCCCAGGCGAAAGTAACCCTGTCATCGACTGCTTGGACCGCTTGAAACACCTTCAATCCGAACCGGATGATAATCAACTCGCCATTATGTTTAACGCGCTCCACGACTTGTGTTCAAATCCAAATCCAAATTCAAATCAAAATGCAGCAATTGCAACCAAAAACGGCGCCGTCGAGCTAGCTTGTTCGCTCTGTTCCAAAATCCCCCACGTCACCGGATCTCACGTGCTTCTTCTCTCCGCTTTAAACGCATTGTCGTCGTTGCTTCACGGTTGAGATTACTCGTTTATCTAGTGTTGCCGTTTTGCCACTGTTCTGAATTTCTCAATGCTGATTCTTTCTGTCGTTTCAGATGTTAAGAGTACGGGGACGTTTCAGCGGTGTGACGGACCGAGGATTGTTATTGGTTTTCTGGCAGACAATAAGCAAGATGTGGAGGTCTTGAGCAGTGTATTTCGCGTCGTGGCTTCGGCTGCGACCGGTGATGAGATCGTGAAGGAGTCGTTTATGGAGTTAAAGGTTGATGAGCTGGTTTTGGAGATCTTGTCGTTGCATAAGAACAAGGGGATCCAGAGTTTGTATGACGCGGTTCGCGCGCTTTTGACGCCGGATGACAATCGAGTTGTGGCTTCTCAGGTAAGTTCCTGCTGCTTGTGAATGTGTTAGGCTATATTTGGTTTACCGTTTGGTCACTTCCAATTTACGTTTGTCCCCAAAGCTCAGATTGGTTGTATGTTTGATTTTCCTTAAAATTACGTTAGCATACTACATTTGGCCTTAAACCAAGTTTCAATTGAAAGTAACATCAAGGTTGCTTTTGCAAACTCGGATAGCAAAATGAAATTCATTCAAACTCAACTTTCTAAATTTAAATCCAAACATGTACTTAGTTTTTTTTATTAGGGAAGTTGAAGAAATTTGGTAAAAATTATCCATGGACACTGTGGTAGAGAAAGAATTATAAGTGTAGAATGTGGTACGGAATATGATGTGGAAAGACGATAGATAGAGAGAAATGAAAGATGCCCAATTGTGCTTGGACTTTAACAGGTGTCCATGTATAATTACTCTTGTTTGTTTAGTTGTAGGAAACAATTCTAGTTTTTCCTGAATTCATAGTAATTCCACGAAGAATTTGATTATAATCCATTGATGGGGTAAATGTTTGTACTCTTTCATCTAATCACATTGTTATGTATAATGAGTTTGTTGACTTTTTTAATAATTATCTTATAACTCATACACGTTTAAGTGTTTGTTCTGTATCATGTGTCCATATATCATTACATTTGTTTGGGTGTTGGAAACGATTCTCGTTTTTCACGAATTCAGAAGTAATTACAGAAATAATTTAAATGTTTATTCCACTGTTATCTAATCATATGGTGTCATGTATGATAAGTTTGTTGACCATCTTTCCATTATCATGATAGTCATACATAATTCTATTGATAACAACAACAAGAAAGCCTTACAAAAATGTTTCAGAGATTTGGCTACATGGATCACACTTTACCATTTGGCTCAGTTAGATACGGAGGTTTCAGAGTTTGTTTGACAATCTAAAAATGTTTATAATGGCAGTATGTGAAAATTAAACCCTTGCAAAATTCAGTTACTTTTACTTTTGTATGATGAATTCAGGAAACAATGATGGGTTTAAATTTTGATTGTGGTTTATATCATTACTCTAATTTAGTTGTAGAAAACATTTATAGCTTTTCACTAATTTACAAGTAATTGCAAAAAAAAATATTTAATTATAATGTGATAGAACTAACTAGTACCAAGAATTGAGAGAATTCAAGAGTCTCAGCACTCTCACACTGAATTTCTTAAACGAGTCTCCTGCGGCACTTAAATTGCTATTTATTCCCATTAACTATTAACTGATCCCTGCGACTGCCTTATTAACTGATTTGTGGGTCAGTTGGGTTTGCTATCTTATTCGTTACAGAGTACTTTAGTAATATTCTCCTTGTTCTAACAGAACACATTGACACTGGAAAAGTTTCTTATAGTGTCATTCGATTACATTTATGTTTGTTCAATTTTCTAATAATTATATAAAGATAACTCTAATTGGTTGATAGTGTAAAAGGTTTATACTGATCATTCGTCAATTTACTGCTGTTTCCAAATATAGCTTTGCGGGATGAATATAGGAAACAATGAAAACAACAAAGCAAAATGCAAAACAAGGCGACATTGTTTGAATAATTGATAATGGAAAAAATTTATTCAAAACCAAATAGTCCCTGGAGTGTTGAGGTGTTCATGTAGCAGAAGCATGAAAATAAAGAAGTAAAGGATGCAAAGTTAGGAACTTAATTTTGTGAATAGATCATGTCTTTTGAAATTGTAAATTTGCCAGCATTTTAGTTATGTGTACATCATGATTCAGGTATATGGTTATGCACGCAAATTTGCAAAGATTGGAATTGCAGAAGCCCTTGTGGATTCTCTGAGTGCAGGGCTTTGCTCACCAGACCTAGTTTCAGCATGCACCACTTTGAAAACCATTGCTGTAAATGTAAGTGGTAATATCCAATCATGCATTGAGTACACAAAATTGTGCTTGTATTTGAAGTTCATAGGAATGTAGCCATTGGAGAAAACCAATGTAGTTGGGTGGTTTTAGGTAATTTTTATGGTGACAAATTGTCTTTCATACTTTTCTAAAATGACTAACGAAAGCTGATAAGTAACAACAAAAAATAAAACTGTTATGGAAAAATACTTGTATTATTCCTAAATCAAGGAACAAAGAGGGTAATGGCAATCCTCTTTCCCACTCCCAGCCCTTTTTTTTTTCTCCTATAAAACTCCCTCTTATCCTCTCTCTTATCTCCCAATATGAAAGATCCTTACATTCTTTCTAGAAGCCACGTAGGCAATTTTGTTAGCAACAGAATTAATGTGCATGTGCCTGTGGTCCCCATGCAATGGGTTTCCACTTCTTCCTCTCATAAACATTTTGAACCTTCCTAATATGCCCTTCTAATTTTTTTCTTGTATCAATACCTGCCTCTTTAAAATTCACCTTGTTCTCAAGGTGAAGTTCAGGAAATGCTTCCATCATCTTATTCATGGATTCCCATGAATTCTCATAATCGGTCATGTTCTTCCACTTCACTAACACTTCTAAAGATTAATCTCTATCTCCTCTCACAGCTAAAACCTCTTCTGGTTTGACTTGTAACTCAATCTCCTCAGTCACATATGATGGTAGTGGTTGGATAGCAGCTTCAGCTGTCACAGTCGGCTTCAATAAAGACACATGAAAGACTGGATGCACCTTGCTCTCCTCAGGTGGTTTCAATCTATAAGCCACTTCTCCAATCTTCTCAATAATTTCATATGGACCATAATATCTCCGGCTAAGCTTCTGATTAATTCTCCTAGCGAACTTCTTCAACTTGTATGGTTGTATCTTCAAATATACAACATCCCCAACCTTATACTCCACTTCCCTTCTTCTTTTGTTAGCCTGTTGTTTCCTCTGTTATTGGCTTGCACTAGGTGGTCCTTCAGTATACCTAATACTTCATTTTTGTCTTGTATCATCACTGCTACTTCGTCTATAGAGGTTGTTGAAACATCTCTAATCACTGGAGGAGGATCTCTTCCATACATTACCTTGAAAGGTGTCATCTTAGTGGCCTCATGGTAGTTGGTATTATAACAATATTCAACCCAACTAAGCCACTTATGCCACTGTCTGGGTTTATTGCCGATCATGCATCTCAAATAAGTCTCCAAGCATTTGTTCATCACTTCAGTTTGCCCATTTGGCTGCAGGTGATATGTAGAACTGAATTTCAACTTAGTCCCAACCAACTTAAATAATTTTGCCTAGAAAGAGCTCATAAAAATCCTGTCTCTATCAGAAACAATGGATTCTGGAAATCCATGAAGTTTTATCACACTTGAGATAACTTATTTAGGGTTTGATGCAGTGACTAAAAACACTGATACATTGTATTTATAGAAAAAGGAGTACAATAGAGAGGATATGGGTCTCAGCCCAAATAGTCTGTTGGCGCTCTGAACAAATCCTCAAATTCTTCAAGGACAGCAACTAAATCAGAACTGAGAAGGTTCCCTTTCTCCACATCAGTTATTAGGGGTGCTTGATATGACAACATATATCCCTCTCCTTCATTATTGAGGGCTTTAACCATTGTTTTCCATGAAGCTTGAATTTTCAAAGGGAAGGATCACCCTTCATGATCTTCTTCTCTCCCCTTATTCCCCAACTTAACACCAAATTTATGAAATTAGCTTTCACATTCCTCAAACTTGCTAACCACTCCACCCCTAACACCAAATCAGCCCTCCTAACTCCATAAGAAAGAAATGTTGTACAAGTGAATCAACTTGTACCACCAGTTCCAATTGTTTGCATATTCCCCTGTTCACCACCTTGTCCCCTGCTCCTACTTCCACCTCAAACGGGATTGTATCACTCACTTCCAGATTGAGATGATTAACTAACTTTTTAGAAATAAAATTAGTTGAAGCTCCACAATCTACTAGAATTAACACCTCCGCTCCGTCAATCCTCCCCATCACCTTGAAGGATCCATTAGAAGTCAATTTTTGCTTGTTTTTCAATGAGATTTGTAGGACTTTAACAGTGAGAGTCTCGTCCTTTTCCTCTTCTCCTCCACTGACTTTCGTTTCTTCACCTTGAGAATCCTCCATTAATACAAATTGAAAGTGTTTCAATTTGCAAACATGTTCTCGTCCCCATGTTTCTCCACATCTAAAGCACAACCTTTTCCTACTTCTTTCTCTCAATTCTGCTTCAGAAAGTTTTCCTCCACTCACTGTTTTCTTCTCATCAAGCTCATTCTCAGTCACCTTATTGCTCATCCCCTCTTTACTTCCTCCCTCTCCCATCTGGTGAACCCTTTTGCATGCTTCATAAGTGGTTTGTCACCCACCTTCTTCTCTAAGCTCGTCAATCCAACCTTGCGTAGGGCATTATTCTTCTCTTCTAGCAATAAAACTTGGTCCATCAACTCATCTAATGTGCCCGTGGCGTAAAGTTTCAATTCAGCTTGAATCTCTTCCTTCAAGTCATTGATGAAAATTCCTTTCAGCATAACTCTTTCCTCCTTCAATGGAGTAGATCCACGCTCAAATTTCTCTCTGTATTGCATTACGGAGCTAGTTTGCTTAATACTCAGTAATGGACCAAACGGGTTTTGTACCAACCCCGGTTGAAAACGTCGAATCAACACACCCGTAAATTCTCCCAATTGAGTTTGTGACTCTGATCTTCCCACTACTGATACCAACTCAGTGCCTTATCCTCCAATGTGATTACCACAGTGTCAAGCTTTTCTTCCTCGTGCACCATGTTCAGTTTGAAGTATCATTCAGCTCGAATGATCCATCCATAAGCATCATCACCACGGAATATGGGTATCTTGAGCTTACGTCCCACAAAATCTCCCGACGAATCACGACCAACTACTTCGCGTGGTAGAACGCAAGCTGTCTTCACTCTCAACTTCACCATCTACAACATCGTTCGCATTTCGTCACCTATGTGAACGTCGTTTGTGAGGTCTGTTGCTGCGAGACCTGTTGCGAATGATGATCAAGTTTCTTAATTCCACAAGCTGTTGTTCCAGGCCATCAATGCACTTCTTCATTGCACTTCGCGTAATTACCATGCACTCCCATAATCGAGAGCTCTAGATACCAATTGATAAGTAACAAAAAAAAATAAAACTGTTATGGAAAAATACTTGTATTATTCTTGAATCATGGAACAAAGAGGGTAATGACGATCCTCTTTCCCACTCCCAACCCTGGATTCCCCTTTTCTTTTTCTTATTTTTTTCTCCCGTAAAACTCCCTCTTATCCTCTATCTTCTCTCCCAATGTAAAAGATCCTTACATTCCTTCTAGAAGCCACGTAGGCAATTTTGTTAATCAACGGAATCAACATGCATGCGCCTGTGGTCCCCATGCGATGGGTTTCCACGTCTTTCTCTCATAAACATTTTGAATCTTACTAATATACCCTTCTAATTTTTTTCGCGTATCAAAAATCCTTTAGAGTTTTTATGGACTTTCTCTCCTTTATGATGCTGAAGATTCTATAATGTTTTCCTTTTATTGATTCAGATATATTTTCCTGTGTATCTTTATACAGGACTTGCAGTCAACAAGATTTGTCAATTATTAGCTGGCCTTTGCATTTTAGCCCTCTTAGACTAACTGTTTTTCAAGATTCAAATTTAGCATGTGTGATGGCACACTAAATGAAATGAAGTTTACTGTCTTACTGAGTATGAACAGTAAAATCAACTCCTAGTGTGTATACATAGAGAAGGAGTAACCATTTACGAGAGTAGTACTGATAGAATGAGAAAGGAGGCAGAGCAATGGAATCAGAAAAGTTAGTAGCAGAAGGGAAGAGGAACTTAGAGTTGCATCAGACTATCCATCTCCTCAACAATTTCCCTTTCACTCTCATATGCACCTACCCTTCGCACAGATTCTCTCCACTTAGAGTTGGTTATTTTCTGCATATTGCTTCTTCTCAACCCCTTGAATTTCAGATCCTTAGCTGCCTGGTTGCCTAGCTGTCCCATTTCACTATTTTCTGCTGAATCATCATTGCCATGGAATATTTTATTGCTTGGCTTCATTACAGCATGCTTGTCAGCCTTAATAACATTTTCAAACTGAAGACTTGCTGACACAAGTATGCATTGCCGTAATGCCTTTGTTATCTTTGCTGAACTATCTTTATTTTATGTTGCAGGATGAAATATGTAAATCCATTGCTGAGAAAGGTGGTATTGATGCAGTACTTAGATGTGTAGATGATAGTGGTGAACAAGGCAACAAAGCTGTGGCCAAAGTTTGTTGCTCATTACTTTCAAAGGTATAGGTTGAAAATGTTTCTCTGGACAGGTCACCTAATCATTTGTTTATTATTATTAATTTTTTCAATTTCTCTAAGAAAAATAATATGGTTTTCCACTCCCAGTGGTTTTTTGTAGGGTTTGCATTGTCTCTTTCTCTGTGGTTTTGATGGTTGTCCTGCCTTTTGTTCTTGAGCTGAAAGTTTTCCTTGCATATTATAGTGTTTTATAATTTTTATCACTTGGATTTGGATGTGCTTCGTTTGTGTCCTAGATATCCCTTGCAACTTTATTTTCTAAAAAAAAAATGTGAATGCTACCCATTTTTGGGGGAATAATATGTAGCTGATGAAATTTCCATAAAATCAGGAGCTGGAGTTCCTGTAAATAATTTCATAAATTTCCAATCCAAACACAATTTGTACTTATAAATTTTTATGACTTTGATATGAATCATGTAGTTGAGTAATGTGCATAAAACTGAAATGATCTTAAACATATTCATTATTCATTGCTTTTGCTTCTGACTAATAATGTTCAAACAAAGCAGAGCCTATCCACTAACTCACCTTTGATGATGTTGACTGCCTTACTATGATATCTCATTTCCTTCAGACTAAATTACATTGACATTCTTGATGTTCTCGTAAGATTGCACAAAACTCCCCGTTTTTTTTACCCATACGCTAACTCCTTTACTTTGAAAAATATTACACTGACCCTCTTTATACATTACACTAACTTTCCTTCATATTTTGGAAAACAAAACACTGTGTCCCTCTATAAGTGATTGTAATGTGGTCCAGTGAGGGAATGGACAGCACAGAAGTTTGTTACAAATCTGGGAATCCAGGGATCTAGAAGGAGCAGCAGGCTGAAAGGAACTAACTCCTAGTGGAAGGATTTTGTGTGGAGCTGAGGTGTATCAGAAAGGAAATAGGAACTAGGGTGAGGGGATGATGTGTTACTTTGTCTAATTCCTTCTCTAAGCTTAGTCTCTTTTCTATTTCAGCATTATTTCCTTTTAATTGTACTCCTTTTCTGTACTTCACAGTATACACACTGGTAATGAGTGTTTTTATGAAGTTCAGTGCAATACTAGCAGTTTTTTTTGGATTCATCTGAGAATGGTACTGTTACATTGGTGCTATTTTTGTTTGTGCTATCTTATGAAACCTCAGAGGTGTGTAGTTTATTATTTACTTTAATAGGATTTTTTTTTTTCGTTTCATTAAGTTAAATGACTCCTTTTGTGTTTAATGGATCAGTTAGCAGGAAGTGACATGAACAAGAGTGAAATTGTTGGGAAAGGAGGTGTGGATAAGCTAATCAAACTCTCAGCGAGATTTGCCGATGACCCTTCCGTATTGCTAGAGGTGAGAAACTGCAATATCTGTTTAGGCAGCACGTGTAAAATCACTGTAAGGCTAAAACAGCTCCAAGTACAATGATTTTCATTGCCAGATTGATTTAATGATTTTCCATCTACTGGATTGTTTTATTTCGACATAGCAATTTGGTTATAGTAATCTAAATGGGCACTATTCAATTTGTCAGTTTCCGTAGAAGTATGTAAATGATGTAATCAGGCTTTACAATGTTGTTACTGGGTTCGACTCCTAATAATCATCCTATTGCTGCCAACATTAATAATAAACGTTATATCAAACCATATCCTGGACACAATTTTCTCTATGAAATTCATGATTTACTTGTTTTTCTTTCAATTTGTATGTATTTGTGCATCTTGTACCTGTTCTGATTTTGTTGCTTTTATTTGTGGCGCAGATTATGTCTATTATTTCTGTGCTTTGTTTAAGATCACCTGAAAACGCAGCCCGAGCCGTTGAAGCTGGTGCTGGTGACCTAGCTGTTCAAGCCATGCAGAAATTTCCTGCAGCACACCAAATGCAAAGAAACTCCTGTCTTATGATCAGAAATCTAGTAGTGAGAAATCCAGAAAACAGGCAAGTTTATGATTCATGACATTTATTATGCAAGACGTTTAATTATTCATTGCTTGGCATTTTTTTTTCTCGTTTTATAATTTTGTAATCCTCGCCTTGTAGCATATACTATGAAGTTTTCAAAACCTAACATATAATTTATAGTTTAGTTTGATGCATTATTTAATTATTTTCATTATTTATTAATATCAGATTGACATTACTAGAGACATAAGAATGTGATTTGAATCCTATTGTAACCTGTTACCAACTTTGTATTGGACAGAACAATCCTGCTTAATAATGGAATTGAGAAATACATCCGGAAAGCCAAGGAAACACATAGCAACTGTAAGGATGCTGCCACCGATGCGTTGAGAGATTTGGGCCTTGATAATTACAACTTGTAACTTGTAGTTAACTTTTTATTTTATTTTTTTCACTTCTCCATATTCTTTGGTTTCCCAAGTAAAATAGGGAGTGTATGACTGTATATTTTAGTTGTCTCTATTCTCTGTGCGAATATTGAGTTTGCGGAATTCAATGTACAAACAGAACCTGAACCTGGTAACATTTTTTTTTTATCTACCACATAGATTCGTGGGAGATCCAATCCAAAGGTTATAAGCGATAAATATGGCAGTGTTATCAGGTTAGCATCATCTTCGATCTTTTTTCATGAGTATCATTCACACATCCACTCTTTGCTTCCTTGACCCACGTTTTCAAAATATATTGGTTTGGGATTTATTTAATATCATTCCCATCAACAACTATAATTCATGACAACACCAAACTTCAAAAGTCTAAAACTTTCTATTATTAAAGAATGAAACTTTATGTAACACGCTCTTGTCTCGACACGATTCTCTTTGAATTAGTAATCAAATGTACATGAAAAAAAATCTTTTATTGCGGTAAAAGGATTTACATACTCCAGATAAGTAATTTTTCAAAACATGATTAAATTAATTAATTCATGTACGGATACCATATATAATCTAATAATCTCAAACAAATAATACAAATGAAATATATCTTCATAAAAAATTTAGATAATTATAGATGCGCACAATATGTACATAGTAAACTCATTTTCAATCACTATCCCTTATAAGCCGAAACTCCGAGTTTGCAAAGAGAATAAAAACAAATGCTTTACAATCTGTCTCGAAAACAATTATCAGGATCTTTTTTTTTAACGGATATTAATAAAAAATTAAATAATTTATTATATAATAAAATTAAATTATGTACTGATGAAAATTGATTTAGTAAATAGGAGAACTCTTATAATTTGGTTATTTAATTAATTTTAGTTTATAATTTTTTTCATAAGTTGTTATGAACATTAAAACAGAGATAATCTTGATACAAAATAATTGATTGCTTTTAAGATATTTAAGAATGAAAAAAAATACAATTTTATTCATATTAATAAAAGAAAAAATAATCTTTATATTAAATATTTTATGAATTATTGTACTTTTTATAATAATTATTTCTAAAAAGTTACAATGTTAACCACTAACTCCCGTTTTTAACGCAATTTTCGAACCATTGCAAAAGACAAGGAGTTTTTGTCATTGGGGAAAAGCTAAACCATCTTCTTATTAATCAATGAAAACTGTTTAAGATATATACATCAACATCAAAGCCTTAGAAATTAAATTCACCTATCAATGAATGTTCCATCGCAAAGATTCTCAAAGCACGTTAAAGAATTTCACACAGATTTTGGGACAAGCTAAGATAAGATATCTACAAGTTAGGTATTGAATTTAATATGGTTGAAGGTGTATTTAGTATTGGTGGATGGTAGTTGGCTTTTCTTGCCAAACGCATCTGATCCTGTAGACTTTTTCCTGGCATTTCCTTGTTCATTTGCTCATAATAATATTTTATATTTTCTATGATTTTTAAATAAGATTTTAAATTCTAATTTTATGAAAAATAATATTTGAGATTTTTCTAGAAATGGTTAGTCAATTTTTATATATAAATTATTCATGATAAAATCGATAGTTTGAGCTAATGTTATCATTATTAAAAAGAAAAAAAAAAAAAACTGGTATGAATGGATAAGTATCAATTGGCTAGTATGAGAATCATTCAAGAAATGGCTTCTTCTAGGGTGGGACCAACCTTAATTGTATATACCTACACATTTATTTTTTTTATTGGCCATGTGATTTGGTTATTTGAATGTTATATAATAATAATACTATTTTCCGCACATTATACTCAACTATATGGTATAATAGGACATTTCTGAGGTTTTACAACTCTTCAACTAAAACTAATTTTTTATAAATTTAATTTAATTTATATACAAATTAATTTGTATAAGTTATTTTTAACTTTTTCAAAGTTTAATTTATTTTTATCTTATATACAACCTAATTTTATTTTATAAAAAAAAATCGATTCATTTTTTCTTCATATTTTTTTCTATTAAAAATCTTTATACAGTACAAGAATACTTATCACTGACATTCTATCCTTGTTCATTTTGCATTTCATCAATGTGTTTAAAAAGTTTGCATTACTTTAATTCATAAGGAATGCTTTACAAATAAAAATAATTAATTATACACTAACTAAGAAATATGTTTCATTAGAATTTCATATCATGAATAAAAACGTAGTTAAAAATAAAATCACAATTAAATGAAAGATATCTCTAAAATAGTACCATCAAACAAAGTAAAATGAACTAAGTTTATTTATAATAATATTATTTCAAAAATGTCATTCAATTAATCGAGATCTATGTTTTCTTTTAATGGTTTTAATAAACCTTAGAGTTAATCATGATAGAATATTATATGATAAAAGTTTGGAGCTATTAACATAGGAAGAGGATCAAACATGAGCTTGTGGGCTCCATGCCTCTGCAAGATTCTTCACTATTATTTTGTTTGAAAGGGACTGTTTTGTCATGCACCTTCCAACAAGATAAACATTGAAAGTTGAAACCAAGTGCCAACTTCTTAAGATATCAGAAAATGGTGGTTTTGTTCACCATCATGACTAGGCTTAGGTAGACGGATAACATCTGATTAAGAGAATGGAATATTCAACCCTTTCATACCATTCACAATGCATAACGTTCGATTCAGAATTCTTTGAATGAATTTTCCAAGAGTCTCTTCCACATTATTTCAGATTTAAGAGTTTTTATTGTTATTTTTTACGGTAAACATTAAATAAGAAGTTATAAATTAGTCAAACAATATTATTTATATAAATAATATCATGTCATCTGTTCTGATAATAAAATATGCAAAACAGTGGTTCTAATAATTAAAATTGTTATCATTAATCAAAACTTTAGTGAGTAGCTTCAAAGATTTGATTAAGTTGGTGCCTGGTCAGTGGATTTGGTTGATAGTTAGAGTTGATATTCATAGGGATGACTTGGTTGCTGTTTCTTTCCATCATCGTTGCTTGTAGCTTTTCTTATTATGGTGGTTTTCTCTACCCCCTAGATTTAAGCCTATTTTTCATGAATAAAAGTTTAAGCTAAGAGGAAGAAGCTATGTATATTTTTGAAGCTAGAATTTTTTTTTAGATTCTTATATTATTAACCAATTTGAGATTGCTTTAAATGAGATTCGAAATAATTATTATGGAAATCAATAACCAAATTCATTGGATTCCAATGTCTGGGGTCTACAGTGACGATGGAAATTGAAGAAAAAAAAAATGCACAAGATCATGAGAACACTGTTCTCTCATGTGCTCTTTTATTTCTTGTAATAACAACGTGTTTGATGAAAATTATACTCCTAATACAGATTGATAGATTTCTTCCCTTCTAAATAAATTCCTCTTCCCCTAACCTTCACAAGTATTTTAATTATAGCCTGAACTTGGAGACAGTGTCAACTTCAGTTATGGACATGCCATTAAAATAAGCATTAACAACAACCCTCACAATTGATGATGAAGAGACCATTTCCCTTCCTTTTACTTTCATGTACATCCAACATAGTCACCAAATATCCCTAGGTTGAAGGTCACATTTTGCTAACTCAATGAATGAAGCAGAAACACTTAACTCTGCATTGTTACCCAAATTGAGATATCCAATTTTTTTCCATTCAACATCACCAATAATTCCATACTTTTCAAAAGCTCTTTCACAAAACTGCAGAAAGATAGCAATTATTTCTTAAAAATAAGATGAACCAAAACACAATAAATGTCACTGGCTCACAACTATCCATATGTAGGACTATAACAATATTTGTTTTTTATCAAAATCGTATTGTAACAATTTTTCTAGATGTCTTGAGGACTTTGTATACAAAATGGTATCAAACATTTTTTATCTCACTCTCTAGCTATTATGGTAAACTTACATCTCTGACCCTGATGACAAATTTCATAACCTACCTTGCCTCCAACACTGATAGAGCATCAATCAAGCTTTTCTAAGTTAAAGATGCAGAATCCTTCACCACTATTTCAATACACAAGATAGGAAGCAAAACTGGGAGTTACATCATAAGCTTATTTTGACATTGGTACAATCACTACAAGTTTTCAAACAAGGATAATCTAAACTAATTAAGTCAACCATGAAATCATGAAACTCCAACATCCACCTACTACTGCAGAAATCCCAACAAAGACGTTGGACTATTTCTCCTTCAGCTCTACAGTGATTTCGCAGAAAAAAAAAATAAATGAATGATCATTTTGATACTGGAATATGAACTGCTCCTGCTTCTTAATGTGCAAAAACTTACTTTCTTCGGAGTATCATTTGAAAACTCATAGCATAGAAGGAAAACTGGTCCTTCAAAACGGTAAAAGCCTCTCTTCATAAATCCATCCTCTTTTATGTATCATGAGTTGTTCTTGAGTAGTTGTGAAACTCCTTTACTTTTATCTGCAAAATTCATGGTGAGCACACATCACCTTTTCCATGTTTTTGTTTTGAATGTGACATTTCCAGTTATTAACCCGATTTTACATCATCATCTATCATGTTGCCACCTTCTGTTCTGGATGTCGCTTCCCCAGATTGTGTAGCTAATTGGAGAGGGCCTTGAGGAGAACCAGAACTGCTACCCTTCAAGGATTCTTTGTGCATCCATAAGCCTCCTGCAGTTGTAGCAACTGGAACTCTCCTTGTATGAAGTCGGTATTTCTGCAATAATAAACAACCCTGTGTTAATCTCAAATCAAACATTAGAAGGCATTAGGAGAGATGGAACAACATGAACGCACTTGCAAATGACTCTTTACTTCATCGTTGGTCAGGCCATCAACCCTCATGAGTTCCCTAATTTGCTTTGGAGTAGCTGCTACAATTGAAATAACCAAGAGATTAGACAATTATGAACCATACAAGATGTAATATGATTATGACTAGCCAAATTCCATATCTGTTCGTAAAGAACTTTAGGGTGATCTGTTAATATATATGCAATGCAATATGTAAAATTTCCTATATCTCTCTTGGCTGATCCAAAATTAATTCTCAACTTCAACATGAATCAAACTGAAAAAGGAAGTACGCATTTTCATACCCACACAATTCAAGCATCAAAGCCCTCGACTAATTATCACACTAGTACACATTTTTTGGCTAATTCATCCATTTAATAATCCACCCACAGTTTCCATTAATCAAAATGCTATGAGTGCTATTCTAAGAAGCAAAATAGTTGTACTAGTTAGGTGCCTAGATAAGATTGATGTAATGTTTATTTTAACCACACACCTTGAGAGCCTCCAAGCTCCTCTAATGCTTTAACAAAGCGGTGATGCAACTCCGGCGACCAGCACCTCCTTTGTTTCCGGCCACTTTGAGGCTGCAGCAGGTGCGAAGAGATGGAGGAAACCACCCTGCAAGATGTGATTCTGGAACCACATCTTTCCCTTTTGCTTCTCACTGCAGTTTCAGGTGTCTGAAGAGAAAGTTCATTGACATCACATTCTTCCTTTGTTAGAAGGTAAGTGGACAAAGGCATAACAAATCCCCTTTCTACATTTCTATTTCCAGCATATTGGAAATAGTCCTTGGCCACAGATTGTCTTTCTTCTTCATTACTCTGCCATAATCAAATAACAGGGAAAAAAAAAACAGAACTAAATTCAGTATCTTTTCAACACCCACCCCACATATAATAATCTCTGTAACACTACCTTGTTTTGTTGTTGGTCCAATCTATATGCATTGTCCCTTTTATAAGCTTCGTCAGTGTTCCAAAGCTGAAAAGAACTCGTCCAATTATTGTTGTCCCTGCATTCCTTTTCCTTCTCACTAACCTTCTTCTCTTGATACTCTTTCTTCAGAGGAATGAACTCCTCCAAAACAGGCTCAGACTTGTAAGTTCTGCATTTTTCTAACTCCGCCTTCAAAGCTGAAATTGCTGCCACCACAAAAACAAGAACAGTGCTCGTATTAGTGCATTCATTGAAACTTGAAGAGAAAAATAAACTCAAACCATCTGCCAAAACCATCAAAACATAATCTTAATCATCTTCATCTATGTTAAAGAAAAGTTTTAGTGAGTAAGTCATGTTCCGAAGACTCATCAGCATCATCACAAGTACAAGAGTTCATTCAAATAACACTTGAAAAAAATATTCATTAATTTCTCACTAACAAACCCCCGATGTCGAAAACAGAACTGAACTCACATTCATGTGAGATATGAGTCTTATCTTAATCAACTAATCCAAACCAACAGTTTTGACGTCCAAAAAGTGTTTTCCAGTTCAAGGAAAAAACGAACCATCATTTAAGAGGAACATGCAGAGAGGAAGTTCGCGTTGGAACGCTTGGATCTTGTCCAATTCGAGTTCCAATCTGTTGAGAAAGTCTTCGAGCAAGCAACTCTTGTGGGAAGCATTTGGGGTGGAGGAAAGGTGGCTGAGAAGATCAGTGATAGTTTTGGTAACAAAAAAAGGTCTCAAATCTAAGCTCGGTAAGTCTTCAGGAACCAAACTCATGATGATGCTGTTACTTTGCAACGAGTTATGATGATGATGGTGGTGGTCTTCTTCTTTTTCTCTCTCTTTTGTCTTGTGAGTTGCAGTGGCAAGGAGATTATATTATTCTGGGTTTTACTCTTTCATTGAAGTAAAAAACTGGGAAAGGAATGAAAGAAAAATTGTAAGCAGAGGAGAAGAAGAGAGAGAGAGAGAGAGGAAGTGAAATAGTGAAGAGAATGAAAGAGAAATAAAAGAAAGAAATTTATAGGTGAAAAGGATTTGGTAAGTTTGGACTTTGGCTTGGAACATGGAAGTGGTTGGATTCTGATACTTAAATAAATAATAAAAATAAATAAAATATCCTTCACTAAACTTGGGCGTAATTCGTTATTAGTGGCTACAAATATCATCATTAAAACAAATCTTCTCAAATTTCAATTTTAAAGATACAAAAATTGATTTACTTCGTTTCGAGTAATACATTTGATTTTGAGAAACTGTTAAATTCTCGTGTTATTAATAGAAATAATATAATTACAACGAAAAAAATATACTAAACATAAACAACTAGAATCTTATTTAAATATTAATTATTAAAAAAAAACAAATGAGTACTCTACCTTATTAATAATATTATTTTAGAAAATAAGGAAGAAAAAACTTACATTTCATTTGTAAATAATAAGATATTTTAGATAGAGATATAAAGGAACATAATTAATTTAATCTAATTTCATTAATTTTTTATATCAATAAGCCTAAACAACTTTTTTTAATTTTTTTTTCAATTTCATTCCACCATTCTATATGGTTAATTTGAATTTTAATTATTTTAAAAATGAGTTAACATTATTTATTCTATAAAAAAAATAACCCATATATATATATATATATATATATATATATATATAATAATAATAAAAAAAGAGAAATACATTGATCTACTTTAAAAAATAATATCAAAATATACAAGATAGATTAAAATTAAAATAATAAATATTGAAACGAAATAAAGAAAACTTTTTTTATCTTACTCTAATTCACCATTTTAAGCATTTTGAAAAATAATTATGTATACCCATTGATACAAAGATTCAAAAACAAATAATGCTGTGTAAATGCAATTTATTATTTTTCTATAATTAATAAATATCTTATTCTAATATTCAATTTAATAATTAATAAAATATGAAAGGATCTTTATTCATTTTTTTTAATTTATATAAATCAACAACGTGCGTACTTCTATCATATTTTGTTAATCTATTACTATATAAGGAAACAAAGAACATATGGGTATATTTTTCATTCCCTATTTCATTTTTTATCTAAAATATAATAAACAATATTCTAAACAAAATTCATAATCTGTTTAAACACAATGTAAGTGGACCTAACAATACTTTTTATATTTAGTTATATATTAACTGCAAGAGAAAAAAAATCTAAAAACAATAATTTTATTAATAATTATTATAAATACTAATTAATTATATTATTATTATTATTGATAATTATTGTAATAATAAAATGAAGCTATCTAAAAAATAGATGTTCTCCCATAAAAAATTAAACCTCTTTTTAACTCTTCTAATTGGCCATTAATTTTGTGTGAAAGATCCTAAACCTAAATCCTAAATCTTATTACATGGGACCCTCCAATCCTCTCTTTTCCTTCCCTCTCTCAAATCTGTCCAAAACAGTTGAACTGGGAGCTAGTCGGAGCACGGAAGGTATGTTATCATCGATTTCTATTGAAAGTTCAAGAGATGAATTCATCTGAAATTGTAAACAAATTCCAAGATGTGGAGTTTGTGAATACAAATACGGAGAGCGTATCCGTAGGCTGGATTAAAATGCAACTGATGGCTGTCTTTTCAGTCGGGTTCTTCTGCAACATCTATTTGCCTCTTTTGAAGAAGAATCTTGATTTCTTCCGTTTGCAACAGCAATAATGATGTTGAGGAAATACAGATTTGTTTACCAAGCGGTTGGTGCAATTTTGAGTTTAAGATAATACATGATTTCATCACAATGTATAATACTCTTTAAACTATGTTAATGTAATTTATTAGAAGGACATTTGAGTACTTCCTGTGTTTGTTTTGCCCTTCAATCTTGTTGAAAGTTAATCATAGGAATGGTGAATTGTGCTCTATTTATTCTGGATAGGTACATTTTTAGGGTCAAATTTTGATGACAGAGGTATTATCAAATTACATATTTGTAATTGGTGATGACTTTTTTCTATATTTAGGTTGAATCTCTCCTCTCAATCAACCTTCTTTTGTTACACATAAATAAGTTTTAATATCACTAAAAACTAAAATATATATATATATATATATTGTCCAATAGATCGTTTTCAGTTTGCTTCGCGATGAAGGTTGTATTGTTTGAATTTTTATATTATTAATGACTGAAATCATTTTGTCAACAATTTTATTATAATCTTTCTAGTGTGATGTATAGAGAATAAAAGATAAATGAATTTAGATGAAAATTATAATAATAAAATTGATAAACTTTATCTAATTTTTATTTGTATAACTACTTTTTCTCTAAATGTGTGCAATTTTGAAACAAATCATTTTAACTATTAAAAATAACTCTAAACATAAAAATATATATATATATATAATATTTATTTTTTAATTTAAATCGTATGAATGAAATTAATTTATTTTTTAATATAGGTATATATATTTATTTTAAATAAATTAATATTATTTTCAAATTTTGTTCAGGTCTATAAGTCTATTAAACATGTTATCTAAATAATTTTATTTTATAATTTTTTAATTCTATCTGTTTTATATATTATTCAATTCTATCAACTTAAACTCATTTTCTTGAAAATATTATAGATTATTTTTTATAAATATTATAATAATTTTTTAAGTGCATATTCTAATAATTTTTTTTTATTTCCAAAATTAATGATTATTTTATTAAATAAATTAGTATATAAATTTATGGTTTAAACAACAAAAATAATTAATAATGGTATGGAAATCAATGACTTGGGATGAATTGAAAGCCAATAAAGTATGATATCATTAGTGATTTGTAACACTGTATAATTATTAGTAAGTATGTAATAATATTTTGTCAATTGAGAATATATAAATATATTATTTATTTTCAAAATAAATTGTTTAATAAAAAGCAATTTAAGCAAAATGTGATGTGCAATATACAAAATATAGTCACTTTTGTGTATTTTTATTATTATGTTTTATTTTTAATAATAATAATAATATATTTAAACATACTGGTTTAATGGACTCTTTCCATAATCTAAGCCAAACATTTTAACTAAATAGATTAAAAAAACTTAATTTAATATTTATAATAAACATTTGAAATAAAACTAGACTTTAAACATGTGTGTCTATAGATTCAACCCATTACTTAATTTACTTTTACACTAAAGACATTTTTAATGACAACAATTCATATGAATTATTGCTATCTCAATCTCATAGATGTAGTAGAATATGAAGTTTTTTTTTTATGCTACATCATTTTTAAATGATTTATAATTAATTTTATTTTAATAAAAATTATTCTTTTTTTTTATATAAATTACTTAAAAAATAATTATAAAAAAATTTAAATAATTAAACGTACTAAATAAAATTTCTCAAATAATTAATATTTTATTTAAACATAAGAAACTCCCATGCTCTAAGCATTATAAACACATCTTTTATTTCAGCACACAATCCAATTCCATTAAATACATCTGATCTCTGAGAAGAGATAAAATACTAAATAAATTAATTTGTGCGTTACTTAAATTATGTCATTCATTGTTCTTTTCTACAATAAAAAAAAAGTGCAACTTAGTTTAACTAAAAAATACCGAAATATGCAACTTAATTTCTCAGTTTGTGGTTGACACAGTTATATATATATATATATATATATATATATATATATATATCATATCATATCAACCTTGCAATTGCTGAAAGCATAAAAGAAAATTTAAGAAATTAAAAATCTGCTACCTCAAGCATATCGGATTCTCTCATGTTTGGATAAAATAAAAAGGATAAATTTTGGTGTAAGAAAGGCACGCAGACAGGAAAAAAGAGGAAGAGAAAAAGAAAAGCAGAGAGGTTTCACGTTCAGGTTCAGTTTCACTTTCACGAGCCTATCACCGACCCTCTGCACCTGCAACTTCCAACTTCAACTACTGCAAACTCTGAATGAAAGAATAAAATATCCCCATTTGGTTTGGTTGGTGAAAGTTGAATCCTTTTCACGGGCTGAAGTAGCAGCTTTATCCCCTTTTTTTTTCAGTAACGACCCTCGTTTCGTTTTTCAAAGATCTGATATAGGTGGTGGATATTTCAATGTGAGAGTTTAGATTTTTGCCGGGGTGTGTTGTTTTTGGTGCATAGTGATTGTAAAAACAAAGGTGGGTTTTTTAAACGAGTGGAGATGGATCGTTCTGCGATGACTGTTGGGCCAGGAATGGATATGCCAATAATGCATGACAGTGATAGATATGAATTGGTCCGTGATATTGGGTCGGGGAATTTTGGAGTGGCTAGGCTCATGAAGGACAAGCACACTGAGGAGCTTGTTGCTGTGAAATATATTGAGAGAGGCGATAAGGTTTGTTTTCCACTTTAGCTTAATTTCTGTAACTCTTTTTTTTGTGTGCTTGTAAAGTTTTGGTTTGTCGGGGGATTTTAGCAACTGACGTTTCTTGTATATAATTTGATTGGTTGGGTTCTTTTTTGTTGTCTTTGGTAGAAATGGAGCTATTGGTGCTGGGTGCTTTGATTTTCAGTTGGATGGTGCTAAAAGAGGTGTTGGTAATTAATGGGGGTGTACATATGTCTTTCAGTCTTTTAAGAATTGAGATGTGTATTTGTTGCCTAATCTAATTGTATGTACTGGTTTTTGTTGTTCTTGTGTTTGGATGGAATCTGAGGCCTTTACGAATATGAACCTAGATTTTGCTCTTGTCTTCTACCTATAAATTGAGCTTAGTATCCTCATGTGCCTCTTCTGCGAATTAGTTGATAGTGGGAAACCCTAGAACTCTTTTTGGTTTTCAAACGCATGACGATAAGTGTTGTTTTTGGTTCTAAATGTTGGCTGCGGTGTTTAAATTGAGCAAAAATGCTACCGTTTGCTTGATGGCAGACCTTGTTAGTAGTTAACGAGAGTTTATAACTAATGTTATAGCTCCTTTAACCCTCAACACTTTTTGGTTCAATAAGCTGCATGTACACCACCATTCCCTTTATGAGGAAGCTTATCTAGAATTCATGTGAATCATCAGTGGATTTTACATGTTAAGCTATGCAGTAGAGTTAATTAAAGTTTTAAAGGAATTGTGTTGGATGCATGTGGTTTTTCCCTGCATGATACGAAGCTCAACCATGTTTTCTTCTTTACAGATAGATGCAAATGTACGAAGGGAAATTATAAATCACAGATCATTGAGGCATCCCAATATTGTCAGGTTCAAGGAGGTTTGTTCTCTGAACTCTTTACACTTCCAAAGTCTTGGCCTATTTCTTCCTCCTGTACCTGAGGTATATTTTAATCAATTCTCATTCTCTGCAACATAGGTCATACTAACCCCTACACATTTGGCTATTGTTATGGAATATGCTTCTGGAGGAGAGCTATTTGAGCGGATTTGCAAAGCAGGACGTTTTGGTGAAGATGAGGTTCTTATCTGTTCCATTCATGCATTTTTGTTTCAATGCCGTTTCAATTACCGCTTACCCTTAATGCCTATTATGTTTTTCTGCAGGCACGCTTCTTCTTCCAACAACTTATATCAGGGGTTAGCTACTGTCATGCAATGGTATATAAGTTTGTCAATTTTAGCCTTTACTTTCTCATTGGTGCATTTACTGCCTGCCTGAAAGATGTAGTGAATTATCTGACTCGAATGTCACTATTCATCTTCTATACTAAAGGAAGTATGCCATCGTGATTTAAAATTGGAGAACACATTGTTGGATGGTAGTCCAGCTCCTCGTTTGAAGATTTGTGATTTCGGGTATTCAAAGGTACGTTTCTTTCTTCATAGTGTTTTATCTGTTGATACCTTCGAATTTACAGTACCTGCATTCCGGATTGTTGAAATCGCATTTGTGGGCACTGTTTAGAAAATTCATTGCAATTTTATTTTAGCCCAAGATCAAGTTCAATTTTCCTTTGCCTTTGATGGATCAATTTGTATTATCTGTGACACAAATCTTGACTGTCTTTCGCAGTCCTCTGTACTACATTCACAACCAAAATCTACAGTCGGTACCCCTGCATACATTGCTCCTGAAGTTTTGCTTAAGAAAGAATATGATGGCAAGGTATTATGTAACTTCTATCCCACAAAGAAAATTCATAGAATAAAACTTTGTATTAGCTTATTTGTCGTTTTCTTCCTAACTCCTAACTTATACTTTGCAATTTTACATTGGTGACCACAACCCACTGGTAATTGGTTCCATGCCCTGTAGAATCTACCATCCTAATGTACGTAACGCCACTATCGATTGTAACTTCTAGGTGTTGCATAGAAAAATATACAATGATATGTTCTGTAATGACTAGGGGTTTAATTGGATTGTCACTGTTTTGGCATCATCCCACTTGTTAAATCTAATTAGGTGAGTAGTAGTAGACTTTGGTTGATGACTTGAGTTGATATGTTTGGGTATCCACAGGGGGCAAGACCTACAAGGATGACGATGTAATACTTTTCACCTTAACTAGAATATTGAGCTCTTTTTCCCGAAGAAAAGAAGATAACCAAGAGTGATAATGGAAAATATTTCTTCTATTTAATGGTTCCCCAGTGTGAACTATTTGCATTTTTTCTTTCTCTATGTGTGTGTTTCTGCTCAGTGGCCATGGACCTTGAGGAAGTGAAATTTGATAAATTGGAGAGTAATAGATAATCATGCTTGAAATATGTACGCTTTTCATTTATGGTTAGGAAAAGATAGTGAGTAATGTTATGCTTTCTTCTAAACATGAAACTAAATTTAGATTATAATATGAAAGCACTGCTTTGAGGACATCTAAGCCTTTCTTAACAATTACTCACTAATACTTTGTACTGACGCTGTGATTCAACTATGACCCAGATTGCAGATGTGTGGTCCTGTGGGGTGACCTTATATGTCATGTTGGTGGGTGCATATCCTTTTGAGGATCCAGAGGAACCTACAAATTTCCGCAAGACAATTCATGTAACTTACTGCACCTGTTTTAGTTCAATGCAGTATTAAAACCGAATTACTTTTCTGAAAACTGTTGGATTTTGTTTGCAGAGGATTTTAAAGGTCCAGTACTCAATTCCTGACTATGTTCACATATCTCCTGAGTGTCGTCTTCTAATCTCAAGAATCTTTGTGGCAGATCCTGCACAGGTAAGCTTATATTTTAATTAATTTTTCAAACTGAAAATTGTGTGCTTCATTGATACTAATGAATCTTAGAACAGTGTTTAGCAACACACTTCCAATTACCCTTCTAACTCCTAAAAGAGCGCTAGCTAGAGACTCTCTAATAAATACTCTTTTTAACTTTCTGAAATGCTATCAACCATTAGAGACTTTCTAATACTCTTTTTAACTCTCTAACATGCTCTCAACTATTAGTTAAAATTTATTGAGAACTATAAAACAATTAGCGAGGTATATTAAATAAGAAGTAGTATCTACAAAATTTTGTGATTTCCAATCAATTTTGACCAATAATAATGTGTTCTAAAGAGTTTGATAGTGTTGCTATCATATCTAGGGTCCATTATACATAAATCCATACATTTTCCTTGAAAAGAGTTGAAGTGAAATGAATCTTCGATTGTTTCGCTAATATTCAATTCCAAGGCAAGCTGCACTTGTTTGTTTTTTTCTGTACTGAAATATGTAGAGTAATATCGTTTTAACAGAGAATAACTATTTCTGAGATTCAAAGTCACGAGTGGTTTTTGACAAACCTTCCGGCGGATCTCATGTTGAACAACACAATTAGCAACCAGTTTGAGGAGCCTCATCAACCAATGCAGAGCATTGAAGAAATCACGCAGATAATCAATGAGGCTACAATTTCTGGAGCCAAAACTCAATCTCTCAACGAGTATCTCACTGGTAGCATGGACATGGATGACGACGACATGGACGAGGACGAAGAGACAGATCCCGACCTTGATATCGATAGCAGTGGAGAGATAGTTTATGCAATGTAAGTTGCTGGCAGACGGTGTCAAATGGAGTGTTTAGTGGGTTTGTTAGAAGAAGAAAAAATATTTCACATATGAAGGAGAAGGATTCTGTGATAAAAATCTTTTAATGAGGATTAACTCTTCTTCTATTTTATGGTCTTTCATTTCTGGCATCTATTGGGTTTTGGTTCCACTCTTTTAGTTCTATTTAACTATTGTTAATATAATATTTTTACTCAACCATCTAATACAAATTTACTTTTATCATCACTATATTCTTCGTGCATACAAATTTACTATTGTAAAAGTAGAAGGGACTAAAGAAAGGCTAGATGTATTATATTTTCAAAGATCAGCCTCTACACCAAAAGTCTTGCGAAGCAGGGTAATTACACGAACAAATACCAAATCTTGTTGACCATCAAAACAAATGAAAAAGGGGATCCTTTCATAAATTGTAAAGGCCAATTCAACCCTGACTTAGTAAATGCATTGATCAAGACAAAATCAAAGACTCAATATAAGAAAAGATTTGGGATTATTCTGTGTGAACAGTTTGGTTTATCAGGATGTTCTAAACAAAAATATAGAAGACAAGCCAAAAATAGATGAGGAACCACAGTTCAACCCTACCAACAACCGGTTCTTCAATTTTCTATGTCATCCTTTCATTTTTTTTCTTTTGTTTTTCGTGTAATTTGTAGGGTTTAGAATTTATGATTCAGATTTAGTGTTCAGGGTTCATCAACTTTTACATCTCAACAAAAAATTATTTATTTTTATTTTTTTAATGAATATGAAGTGTCATTATCAATTTCTCATTTTTACTTTTTTGTTTTTTTAAGGTTGGTAAGGAAAGTACATGATTCATGTTATAAGCTTTTCTTATTTATAAAACCTAGTTGTAGTGGGGTTATAAAATCTATATCTAAATTCTGTTTTTTTTTTCTTTTTAAGTTGTATTCTTTTAGGAAAATCGAAAATTTTCTGTGTAAGAAGGTTTTTGAAATTTAAAATACACATTTAGTTGTGTTTTTTTAACCTTGTAATAATTTTTTAGTTGACATCAATCAAATTGAAATAATATAGAACCTAATTAATATATTTATATAAATATGATATAATATGACATAATAAATAGAATATAATTCAAATAAATAATTTTTTGTTACATCTGATATTAAAAAAAGGAGAATTTTTTTTTATCTTAAAATTAAATTGTTATAAAAAATAATAAAGAGAAAAAAATTAAAAAATAACAATAAAAATTAATGAAAATACTAAAATGACAAAAGGACTAGATCCAAAGTATTCAATATGTCAATTTATCATGTTGTATTTGTGTGTTTTGATTAGTTTATCAAATTTCATAAGGGAGATGAGGTTGATTGATTCATTTATTTTAATTTATATATTAAAATAAAAATAAAAATAAAAATAATTATAATTAATAAATAAAATTTTAAAATATATTTTTTAAAAATATGTATACATATATATAAAGTTTTATATAAAAGTATATTAACATATTGAAATCTAGTGGATTTAGGGTCAGCCTCTCCCTTTTGTTTTGGAAATGAAAGATTTCCATAAGGTGAAAATAAGAGAAGATGATGTTTGAGTAAAAATAGAATAAAATTGTGAAAGAGAGAGATAAAATATAATTAAAAGACTATTTATTAAAAATATTTACAGTGGATTTTTACGGTTAAAAATTAAAAATTAAAATCTCTTCAAAAGCTTTTACTTCTGCAAATAGCTGGCCATGAATTGCAGCTTGAAGGTTCACTACCTTTGCCGTCAAAGACAGTGGTGATTGTTCCTTGATCTCCTAGCTTTCAGAGGTTCGTTCTTTTACTGTTTTCGTCTTTTAATAGTGAATACCCACCCTCTCTTTATTCAGTTTTATTTTATTTAGGATAATGCCTATGTTTTCTCTTCTTTTGAATTCGGGGGAAGAGTGATTAAAATGCGAGTTATTATTTCTAGATCAACTATTATAGTAATGATTTGGGGTAAAGCTGCTGTGATGTGAGCAGAATCATTATTTGGTTTAGAGGGAAATGGTAAAGGAGGTAACCTAAGGTTAATAGGTTTATTGACTATGTGAGGTTTTTATAAAAATGTCACTCTGCAGATTTGCAGGTATAATAATCTGCTTATTTTTTTGCCTTCATTTCAGTTGATTTTCTCCGCTTGAGATTTACCTTCATTTAGATTGCTCTGTTAAGTTTTCTGGGTGTTTCACATGTTTTGTATGTCAAGTGCCACTTTACCACTGATTTGATGCCTCTTTTGTCTGGCAGTTCTTCTCCAGCATCTAAAATTTGATGCGCATAAAACATATTGTTAGGTTTTGAACGCTAGCTTCTTCATCCCCAAATCACTGATGGCTTTTTTATTCCAGAAATTTCAAGAGGTATCTCCTCGTCTTTTATATGAAATATTACTACTTTTTGGTTGCATATGCCAAATGGTGTAAATTATTGTCGTTGTTGCTTTACATTAATATGTAGAAATGACAAACACTTAAATTATGTGTTAGTCTCACTGCCCTTATGAAAGAACTCTGTGGTCTTGTGAAGAATGACCAAAAAACATTTCGAGCAGAATTTTGTATATCATGGAAGTGTGATGTCTTATTTTGTGAAGGACATGGTGTTAGTTATTACATATATTAGTGTTTATTAACACTCCATGGTCTTATGTTATGGTTAACTATTATATCTTATTTTACCTGTTGAGCATTCTATGAAACCTATTACAACAGTTTTGGTCTTAATTTGTTTTCAGGCTGTGAAAACTCTCTCAAAAAATCCTGTATTTGCTAGGGATCCTAGACAAGTACAATTTGAAGGGGACATTAATCGCTTGTTTCTTTATACAAGGTTTGTCATTTTCCATTGTGTAAGTTTATTGATTAGTAGTAAGGTGCATTAATTTGAATCGTGAAGATTCATCCATTTGTTATCAATAGACATTTTTCTCTCTATGCATTGTATCATGTGCGAGTCAATATTTTTATGAACTCAAACTTAGATTTCCTACTCTCTTTATTGTTCCACTGTAGTTTGCTTAAAGATTACCTACTATTACTGTTGATATTCTGGAGATTGGATGAAAATTCGAAAGGAGGAATAGAAAGAGCTCACAGTATATTTCTAATTACTCAGAAGTAATGGTTTGACAAAAAAGACCGAGTTTATGTCCCAAATTTTATTAATAATTAAAGGTGGCTGCAGCCACAAAAAGATCTCTCAAAATTCAGGTCGGTTTGCAGCTTGGATTAAAAATAGTTCTGATGAAGTTGGAAGTGAATGAAAATATCTTTTGTGACTATCTATCCAAATACTAGAAGTGAGAACCACGTTTTACATCTGCTTGTGAACAAAATTAGCAATACTGAAGTCATTGATGCTCATGAAGAGACGTATAATATTTAATGTTATTAAAAATATAAGGAAACTACAAGAAGAAGAGGAAGGGTAAGGTTTCCTCCAAAGCTTATTAAAAAACAATAAAGAAAGACAAAGAAACATAGGAGAAAATGCAGAAGGATGAAGTTAATATTTACATTAAGATGTTAGATCTCCAATTGTAAGATCTCATAGACTAGGTATCCTCTTTTTGTACTATTATGGATTCAAAGAATTTTACTGCCAGTTATTTTGATTTTGTTTGTATACTATGTGATGCTTTTCCTTTTTAACATTTTCACATATTTGCTCATGCAAAGACATAAATATTCAGCTACAATCTGTTGGGGAAGAATGCTGATGAAGCAGATGCGGAAGAGATTATTGAAATGGCCAGTAAAGCCTCTTTTGCCGATCAACAAATACAAGTCCAAGAAAATGTTCACTCTCAAATCAAAGCATTTTGCACATGCATGAATGAAATTCTTCTTTCAAATGAAAAGATGATGAATGGCCACTTAGAATTATCTCAACAAGCAAACAATTCACCTCCCCATGGTGGGCTTAGTTCTGCTAAAGGTATTTGTGACCCACCTAATAACATTCCCGGTGATTTTATATTTGTTTTAAATTTTAATCTTCCCCTTATTTTACTTGTCATTCTGGAATACATTGCTCATTGCTCAGTCATTTTCCTCTTCCTTTTGATCCATGAAGACACAGAAAAATAACCTATTCTATTAACTGAGTTTTTTATGTTGTTATGAAATTCTCTAACTGTTGCCTGTTTATCATTTGTTAATGATGTGCTTTGTCGCGCAGCTGCCTCTAAACAAAGACCATTAAGTCAATCTGAAGTCTCTAAGAAGTTAAAGGATCAATTTGGTTACACACTTAATGTTAAACCTTCTCAAATATCTCACAAGGATTCTGGCAAAGGTCTATTTTTAGATGGTGCAGTTGATGTTGGGACTGTACTAGCCTTTTATCCTGGTGTGGTCTATTCCCCAGCTTACTATCATCATATTCCGGGATATCTTGATGAGCAGAACCCATATTCGATTGCAAGATATGACGGGACTGTCATTGACGCCCAACCTTGGGGTTGTGGCGGTGACGGACCAGAACTATTCGATGTTAGAAAAATGTTAGAAAACAAGCTTGAAAATGAAGGCGCTGAGAAGAGTTCAGATAGAGTGCGTAAACCTTTGGAAGGCTCCCAGGTAGATGATTATTTAGTTGAGCATAGAAATCCATTAGCCTTAGCTCATTTAGCTAATCACCCTGCAAAAGGAATGTTTTCAAATGTCATGATCTGCCCTTATGACTTTCCATTGACTGAAAACAACATGAGGGTTTACATACCAAACATCTTATTTGGCAATGCAGAAGTAAACATCAAGAGATTTGGAAGCTCTTGGTTCAAATCTGTAGTTTCAAGAAACAGTGAATCAAATGTTCCTATCCTGAAAACTGTTGTTCTGGTAGCAACTAGGGCTCTTCAAGACGAAGAACTCCTTTTGAACTACAGGTTGAGCAACTCCAAGCAGTGGCCTGAATGGTATGCTCCAGTGGATGAAGAAGAGGACATGAATCTGAAAGATGAAAGTATCAAATGTTAAGATCACATTTTTTTCAGAAATTCAGAACACCTTTTGATATTAAACTCTAAGAAGTCAGAATGATGTCGTAGTATCTTTTTGTGACGGATGAAACTTAGGATTTACAGGTTGATTTAGGCTCTTTATCCACATGTTTAGACTATTTAATAATGTATTTTTTTCTATAATTTTATTTCAAAATTTATATTAGATTAAACACACATTCCACACACTGTTAAAGATGACAAAAAGAAACTTTGATTCATATATATCTCCATATAAGCTTTGCTACAAAATAAAAATAAATAACCGATGTGTTTTAGTTTCTTCAAAATAAATAAATTTTAATTTTAATTCCAATATAAATTTTATTTTATTTTTCATTGATTTGATTTTGAAAATAATTATTTTTATATATAGAATTATATGACACTAGGTGTTAAAATAGATTTAGTTTGATGAATTGAAAATAAAAAAATTATAATCTAAATTTAATTATTTTTTTATTTTGATTTATTTAGGTAATGTTTATATGAGAAAAAATAAATTAGTTTGTATATTTATGGATTTATTTGTTTATTAGAATAATAATTATTTTTTAAATAAAAATTATATTACTTTATTAAAAAAATATATTATAAATTAATTTGATAAACAAAATTATTTTAAAAATAAAATATTAGAATAAATTTTTAATATTTATTTATTTTAATATTTAATAATTAAAATTAATTATTATTTAAAATTAATAAATTACTACAAAATAAATAATAATAATAAAAGGAGTAAGTTTTGAATTTTTTTTATCTTAAATTGAATGAATGCCTTTTCTATTATTTATATATTAAATTATTTATATTTTAAATAAAAATTAATTTTATTAATAAAATTTAAATTTTAAAAATATATTTTTATTTTTATTTAAATATATTTTTTAATCAATAAATTTGATATATATATATATATATATATATATATATAAATTTCAAAGCTAAATTTATTTTGTTAACTCATTAGCTTTATTACTAAAAAAATTTCCTCATTAGGATTAAATCTTCTATTTTCACATCTTTAATACAAAGAAATTATTTCATCAAAGAATATAAGGAAATATGTGATTATAATAAATATTTTTTTATCTGTATTAAAATCACTTATTTTATAAAGATAAAAATTAATAATTTTATATTTTAAAGGAAAGAAAAAGAATAAAAAATATCAATTATTAATTGTTGCTTAAAATAATTTTTTTAAGTGGGATCTACAGTGTCATATCATATTTAATTAACTTTCTTCCATTTTTTACAAATTCATTCTAACGGTGGATTCTTATTATCTATCACTTTTAATTTTTATATCAAGTGAGTAATAATTATAATATATAATTAATTATTAAAATAAAATAAACAATATATTTAAATTAAAAATAAAATTGATATTAAAAATATGATTAACATTAATTAAAATACAAAATATTAAACAATAATGATAATAAAAATATTAAAATAGTGGGAACAGAATGAAAGAACTGAAAAAAAAAAATAATTTTTAAAAACATTATTTCTATAAAATATCATGCTTAACTTTTATCACGTAAAATGGTTCCAACAATAATTTCTTACAATTACCGTTACTTTAGGCATAAACAACGTTGGAGTTGCTCTAAAGATTTTGAAAGACTTTTTGTTCCTGAAGGACAAGCCCATTTTATTTTTAAGTACCTCAAATTGTATAATAAGCACGTTATTTTATTATAGTATATTTTAATTATTTTTAAAATATAATTGAAATATTTATTTTTAATATATATCTGAAAAACGTATTCTTTCACTACTACCTGTGATCAACCCTAAACCCTAAAAATCACGGCTCCACAGTCTCTCCATTCCTGAAGTCCCTCCATTCTTCATTTATTTTTTTCGTCTACCACTTCGCTTTAAGGTTTGTTCTTCGCAACTCTAAACTATCTTCTCCATTGTTGCTTGCTTTTCTGTGTTCATCTACATTGCCTCGACCTCTACACTTCTCCATCCTTTTTTCATAGTTGATGTTTTCCTATTCTACCTTATAAACAGGTGAAGAATGGAGATAGATTTGGGGAAACTTGCATTTGACGTTGATTTTCATCCGTCTGATAATCTTGTTGCCACGGGTCTAATTAACGGTGACCTTCACCTGTATGTTGATTTGGATTGGAGCTGCAGCTTTCGTAGCTGCTGACACATATTTATTTATTTATTATTATAATTCATACCTTTTTGCATTTATGGTAATGGTTATATTGAATATGTGTGCTGCAGATACCGTTATAGTCCTGAAAGTGTCCCTGTGAGGTATAAATTCTTAACCTTTTTATTGTGTACTTGTTACTGAATGGTGGTTGTTCAGTGATAGTTGCTGCTTATATGTGATCCTAAGTTGAAATTATTAATATTATTTTATTATCTATTGTTTCAGGCTATTGGAAGTTCATGCACACACTGAATCTTGCAGGGCTGCTCGATTCATCAATGGTGGACGTGGTAATGCATTTTATTTTTTTTATTCTGTATGAATTCTGTTGATTTCACTTGCATGGGTTTGAGTTTAAATGCTTATGTTTATGTTCGTCGTTTAGTGCTCTTGACGGGTTCTCCAGATTGCTCTATACTGGCTACGGATGTGGAGACCGGATCTACAATTACTCGTATTGATAATGCTCATGAGTGAGTATATTTGCAACAAATACACTTTGCTGTGATTTGGGTTACGAGAATCACGAGTATCCTCATTGCTTTAGAATTTTTATGTGGTTTTTGTTGTGATACAGGGCTGCAGTCAATAGATTGATAAACTTGACCGAGTCCACTGTTGCCTCAGGAGATGATGAAGGTTGTATAAAGGTATTTGTTTTTGTTGCAAATTCTTAAAATTTGTATTTGTTTTGAATTCCAGAAGTATTTCTTGTCTGCATTGATAATATTTTACATATATATCAAGTCATTTTCTGATAGTGGATGGTTACAATAGATTGATCACTTTGTTTTAAAATTTGTCAATATTTGCATAAATTTTAAATTTATAAAGCTTAATTAGCCATTCTGGACTATTTTGAAAGTATTCTGTTCCTAGCAATCACAGAAAATTCCAGGTCAATGTCAATGATCATTCCTAGCAATGCATTTGTCTACAATCACTTTCTTTCAGCAACCTCCAACACCATTCCTTATGTGAATATTGTATCATTGATTCTTTTCCTTTATATATATATATATATATATATATATAAGTTATTCCTAGTTGCTGAAGATTGTTGCAATATTGATCTTTTAGAGTTGTGGGAAGGTCAGACTATCTGTGTTCTCAATGTCTATCATTTAGCTCTTCCTTGTTGTAGGTGTGGGATACTAGAGAACGTTCTAGTTGCAATTATTTTAATGCCCATGAAGATTACATTTCAGACATGACTTTCGCATCTGATGCAATGAAACTGTTGACAACAAGGTATGAAAATCGTGTACTTCACCTGTCCCAAAATATCAATGGATATAGATTAAATTCTTTTTTTCCTTAAACTTCCTTTTGTTGTTAGTGGCGATGGGACTCTGTCTGTTTGTAATCTTAGAAGAAATACAGTAAGTTGAATGTCTGTTTTTTCTGGTTCCTTTTAAAGTATAAATGCTCTTTATTTATTTCATGAATTTTAACAACCCTTTCATGATTTATTGAAAGGTGCAAACTCGATCGGAATTCTCCGAAGATGAGTTGCTGTCTGTTGTTTTAATGAAGGTATCAAAGTCAATCCCTATGACTTTGCAGTGAATTCTTATACTTTTTTAGGGATTTTTTAAATGTTTATGTAAAAAGTTCTATTCAAAAAAGTATTTTATGGAATACATTTTATTCTTTTATTCCTTCATACTTAGAGATGAACTAATTTTGTCTGGCTTTTAACTGCATATTTTTTTTATTATTATCAGTCACTTAAAATACTTTATACTTTGGCTAATTACTCGAAGAAATAAATTGTTATTTTTAGTGAAAATACTTCTACTTATAATTTTACAGCATGTCCAACAGGCTATTATTCAATGTCTTTCTATTTACCCAAAGGTGTACTTTGTTTGACACTCATCCTCTAAAATGATCACATGACTGATGTTTACATTATTTTGGCTCTGCATGACCAGAATGGTAGGAAAGTTGTGTGCGGATCACAAACTGGAATCATTCTATTGTATTCATGGGGATGCTTCAAGGATTGTAGGTATATGATGTGGAACTCGTCAGAATTAAATGATTAAAATGTGGTGTTTCATGGGGAGAGGCTGAGAGATATTAATTAGATGTTTTTCTTTGCTTGTATTTCTTATCCTACTTCATCTGATGTTCTAACTAATTGGTTTCAATTCCAGTGATCGATTTACTGATCTCTCCTCGAACTCTATTGATGCAATGTTGAAGGTGAATGAACAACATAATACGATTATTTTATCTCAGTAGTTTTTTTATCATTCTTAGGTCTTAATAACTTTCTTTAATCTTTTTCTTAGCTTGATGAGGATAGAATTATTACTGGATCTGAGAATGGGATCATCAAGTAAGCCTTTTGCTGTTGGAGAGCATTCTGGCTCTTCTATGAATTGTAATTCAATCTTTTATTTCTTGTGTTCTCTGTTTCATTTATATTAATGTTTTTTTTTCCAGCTTGGTTGGGATATTACCTAACAGAGTCATCCAGCCAATAGCAGAACACTCGGAGTATCCCATTGAGTCTCTTGGTAACATACGCTCTCTTCCTCTTAGCATTTAATGTGACTGGCTCAGTTTGCATGTGGAAAAGATTGTTTTTGTGAGGCAATTTTACGACTTCATCCTTGATTTTTGTATTTTCAGCCTCATTATTACGTGCTTGAATATTAGCATGTATTTTTTTTTTTAGTTTTCATATCCTTTTCTTAGTCCTAGCTTCTAGTAAGCTTCACCTATGGTTTCTGGTGTCTTGTAGCATTCTCTCATGATAGGAAGTTCCTTGGAAGCATTGCACATGATCAAATGTTAAAGGTACTTCTCTTTTCTAATTCCTTAAAATTTACTGGATTTTTTTCTATTCTTTTGGGCACATTTATACTAGACACTCGTTATTGTGATTGTGTCATAAACCCGTTCCTTATCATTTTATTAGGGGTTCATAACCTTTTTATAAAGAACAGTTGCCTTAAATATAAAGGGGCTTCTCAAGTGTTTAGGATTTTTGAGTAAACTATTTCCACCAGAGTGCTTATGTCGAATGGTAGATTTATCAAGTTTGATTGATGTTTAGTAGAGTGAATTAATTGGGATGGACGTTAGCAACTGAAAAGGGGATAATTGATGGTATTCGTTAAGAGAGTTGACCTAGTTGTGGGGCTCAGAATTATGTGCTTATTTTAATAATGGTTGTATACCATCTGCCTCATTATTTGTATTATTATAATCGGCCTGTGCAAGTTAATAGTTTACATTATTTAAATATAGAAGTTAAATCAGTTAATTCATCAGATATTCGGTTGAGCATTATAAAGAATAAAGAACATATATTTAGCCTGCCAATCTGAGGTATCTTTAATAATAGAGGGTGGGTCACTGTTTAAAATGTGAACAATTTGGTTGCATGTGTGTCTGTAATTTATAGTTTAAACTGAGAAATTAGTCGTCTGAGCATCCAAGATTGTCCGTTTGTGCAGCTATGGGATTTGGATAGTATACTACAAGATACAAGAAACACACAACCAAATGAAACTGGAGTGATTGATAGTGACGATGATGAAATGGAACTAGATAAAGATCCTTCAAAGTTGACTAAAGGTAAGAGATGATTTACGATGGATGCGAATGTTATAGATGTTCATCATTAAAGAGTAAAGACATGGTATGATTTTTGGAAGGCTATGTATATGTTGTGCTTCAATTTGTGTGGACAACTTTGTTGCAGGGAACAAGAGAAATAATCCAAATAATGGACAAGCCCAAGGTGGTTCGAATAATTTCTTTGCAGATTTATAGGAAAGATTGGATGAGACTTTCTTCAAAATGTGATTTTGAAGACCAACTAATTATCTGAAGGCTCGCAAAAACAGGCGATTACTTCCTATCAGTGGCTTGGGTTTGTTTTGTTTTCAAGGAATTTTAAAGAATTGAAAGGAAATTATAAATTTCAACTCAGGAAATGATTACTTCCTGGGTTGGTTTTTTGAGTTAATTAATTCTATCGCCTTGTAAAAAAATCAAAGATTAAAGCAAATAAATGTTAATGAACCTAATAATTAATAAATTTCCTCAACTGTAACATTGTTGAATCAAATGTAATAGCTTGAAATGATAATAAGAATCGAAGAAAAGAGTGAATAAACATAGAAAGAATTTGACGAAAATCATTCTTGCGTATTGTTATCAATAACGAAGGTATTATAGTGGGGGATTTTAGATTTTGTAGAGCATTGAGTGGGAGAAAAATTCCAATCTTAATAACTCCATTGTTTTTTTATTAAAACTATACACGAAGCAAATAAAGATATTTGAATAGGAATGTAGTAATATTTTTTACAGTTTTGGTAAGATTTTTAAGAAACTATGGTAAAGCATGCTGAATATGATTCCGTGTTGTGTAAATGGCCTTTTAATATATTTGTTCATAAACATGAAAGTATTTAGCACAACACAAGAAATCTCAAACTTCGATTACCTTATTCGAACTAAAATAAAAAAAAGGGCCAATACTTTGTTTTGTGATACAGAAGTGGCCGTATAAGTTTAATGATATACACAGGTATATATATTATTGTGTTAATCACACTAACATCTAAAGTACAGTGTTATTTTGATATTAAGAACGCGTTGGTAATGCTCCTTGTATATTGTCTTTGGTTACTGCTTCAAATACAAACTTACACACATACAATGATAAGATGGAAACTTAATAAATATTTTAAGCATAAAATGATTTTCTAAGAGACGCAAGTTAAAAATTACAGAGAATTTATTTTCCATTTTCACGAATGTAACGGAAAATCATAACAATCAAATGAACGGTAGAAGAGATGCACCTGAGGACAATGCACACATGATGGAAAAATACCAAGTTGGAAAGCAACTAACCAATCTCGCCTATTGTGTTTTCATAGAGGCTCACAAGCATCTCCTTCAGATGATCTTCAAATACATATACTTCATCATGCTGATTTTTACCATCCAGCAAATTTGTAGTCTTCCTAATGGCAGAACTAATCTTCTTCCTTGCCTGTGAGCTAAGTTTAGAATAATGCTATCGTTTTCCAAAGCTTTCCTCATCTTGTAAACGTAATGATCCAAACAATTCATTGCCTTGGCCTTCCTCTGGAACTTCTTGTCTTCAGCCTGAAAATTCTCAGCTTCGTGAATCATTCTCATCATTGCTTCAGGTGACAGTCTTTCTTTGTCATTGGTTATGATAATCTCATTCTTATTTCCAGTGGTTTTTTCCTCAGCAGAAACAGACAACGTATACCATTTGAATCAATAGCAAAACATACATCCAAAGGATGGCGACGAGGAACAGGAGGAAAACCAGAAAGAACAAAAGAACCTAACAAATTGTTATCAGTGGCTTTTGCTCTCACCCCCTCGTACACTTCAATAGGAACTTGATATTGGGTATCATTTACTCTAAAGAATACTTCTGTCTTCCTCACAGGAATGGTATTGTTCCTGGGGATGACCACACTCATGACATCGTCTTTTGTCTTTACACCAAGGGATAGAGGTGTAATATCCAGTAGCTCCAAGTTTGAAACATTCTTCATGCCTTCATTCAACAAAGCAGCCTGAACAGCTGCACCATAAGCAATAGCCTCGTCAGGGTTGATGCTCTTGCACAGATCCTTTCCATTAAAGAAGTCCTGCAATAGTTCCTGCACTTTTGGAATCCTAGAGGAACCACCAACAAGGACAATATCATCTACACTGTTCTTGTCCATTTTAGCATAAGTAAGACATCTATCAACTGTCTGTATACACTCTTCAAAGAGCTCCATATTAATTTGCTCAAACTTTGCACCAGTGATTAAGAAGAAGTCAATGCCCGTAAATAAGGCATCTAACTCAATGGTGGTAGTGACTACAAATGAAAGAATTCTTTTTGCGCGCTCACATGCAGTTCTCAACCTCTTTAGGGTTTTTGGCTTCCCGCTAATATCCACTTTGTTTTTACTTTTGAACTCCTTCACAAAGTAGTTCACCATTCTATTGTCAAAATCCTCTCCCCCTAGATGAGTGTTTCCAGCAGTAGCCCTAACTTGGAAGACCTTGTCCTTAATTGTGAGGAAAGATACGTCAAAAGTAACCACCACCAAGGTAAAAAATGAAAATATTACGCTCCCCAGCACAGTTAGTCCTCTTGTCAAGGCCATATGCAATAGCTGCAGCAGTAGCCTCATTGATTATCTCATAACATTGAGGCCAGCAATGACACCAGCATCTTTGGTAGCTTTAGGCTGAGAGTCGTTGAAATAAGCAGGCACTGTGACAACAACATTTTTCACAGGTGTTTCCAAATATGTCTCTGCAATCTCCCGCATTTGCATGAGAAGCATAGAAGATATTTCTTCTGCACAAAGGCGCTTTACCTTGTATTTAACCACGATCATGGGCTTGTCATTAACACCTGCAACAACCTTGAATAGCCATAACATTTTCTCTTTATGAATAATGGGATCACTGTATTTCCTACCAATTAACCTCCTAGCACCTGCAAAAGTTGTAAGAAATATCATCTTTAAAAGTCTAAAGAGAAGTCATAAAAAGAAACGCAATTGTTAAGAGCAACTCTAACCAGGTTGATTATTTCGACAAAGAATGTTAACGACACTCTAAACAACTTTTTAAACACATTATTTCTCATTGTTTTATATTTACAGAATCTCTCTCCTGATTTTTTAGTTTTCAATAAATTTCAATCAATAAAAAGGAGTCTTACAAAAAGTGTGTTAGAGTGTTTCTAACATTCCTCTGATATCAACTTCTTAGAATTAGGAAACTGTTTCCTTAGAACATCAGAGTTAGCATTGTTGACTTTGGCAAGTGTCTGATTTCATTTAAGTTGTTTATAATTTCTTAACAACTCTATCATGTTAGAAGAGAAAAAAATGTAAAAACTCTAGTCTATAATTAGATGCATAGGACATTCCAAAATCTCACTTAAAAAATAAGACACACAATGCTGTAGAGAGTAAAAACATACCAAAAACAGTGTTTTCGGGATTGGTGACAGCCTGATTCTTAGCAGCTTCACCAATCAATCACTGTTTATCTGTGAAGGCAACAACAGAAGGTGTAGTTCTATTGCCATGCTGGTTGTGGATTATCTTTACTATTTCATGTTGCTCCAGCCACACTGCTACGCACGAATACGTTGTACCAAGGTCGATTCCTATGGCAAATCTCTGGTCTTCTTTGGCCATTCTCTTGAGCTAAATGAAGAGTGTAATTCACAAAAACTGAATTCGAACACTTGGATGAAAGAAAGTGTTTAATTTTTAGTGTGAAAAATATAAAAATTACAGTAGCTGAAATACTTAAAACTATATGCATGCATGCATCTTGCTTTCCTAATCTGCTTAGCCACTTAATTATTCCCTTTAACAGGGTCTCTTCATGAACAATGCATTTGTATGGAAATTGGAAAGCCAAAAGACTGAAAGCTTTCAAGTGACACTGTGATAACTGAAAAGTTTGTTTCGTACAGTTTTGTAACTTCATTTGGGTTTTGAATTAAACATTTAAACTCCAACCCAAATTAATAGCTAGAGAAAGAACAAAAGAGTGAAAATATGTTTCGTCTTGTCTTATGTTCAACTCACAGATATTTTCATTTTTAATTTTAAAATATACACTAGAAATGAATGAGTTATACTTTCTTTTTTAATATAAAAATGAACCTTTTTATGGTGGTAAATGGTTATTAATGTTGTGTCCATATTTTCCACCACTGTAATGCTAACAATAAATAATTTAAATATATTATTATTATTAGTATTTGAAAAGTTTAAATGAAATTTTAAATCTCTATTATCATCCTTTAAATTTATTATAAAAATGGTAACGTATATCCAAAACTAATTGTCAATCATGCACGTTATCGATAATAGTAAGAAAGATAATCTTCAAAAAAGTTATTCAATATAAAATAGATTCCATTATAATATTTATATTTTAAATAGGTAATTATAATTTAAATGTTTGGTAAGAAAAGAAAATGTTATTTACTTAAGTAACAAATGCTTGAGAAAGGAAGGAAACATAAAAATTGGATAATCACTGGTGAATAAAACTGGTATAAATACAATAAAAATTGTAATCAAGCAATGATTAAAGGTCATAGCTAATGTCAAAAAGTTGCAAATAAAATGAGAAGTGCTAAAAGCACATTCTTTAATACATTATTTCTAATACTTCGATTTTTTATTGATTAAAAATTTTAAAATAATAAAAGTCATTGAATAAGTTATGAAACCATCAAATATATAATTTTTTAATAAATTTCAACCAAAGAGATGTGTTTAAAAGAGTGTAGTCCTGACATTTTTTTTTGAATAAGACTTCTTGTAGACAAAATGACAGTTACAATTGACTGGGCAGCTTGTAGTGGAAAATTTGTGTTTTGTTGTGTATGAAAACCTGTATCCGTGACAGTTAAAATGACATACATCCTAAGAAATGTATGAAATTTTTTAAGGAAAAAAACTAGGTAAAATATCAATGTAAAACAGTTTATTCTCTAGTTTATCCATGAATTCAGTTCAAAATGGCATAGATGCTCCAATTTGAGCATATCACAATGAGCTTTAATCAGAAAAGAAGAGAGCAAATCAAACCAGCCACTTCACCGTACGTTTTCGCTATAATCTGAACTAACATTTATGTCAACTCCAAAAAAACAAGTAGACCATGTCACCTACAAGAAATCCCTATCAAATACAAACCATCTGTCATTCCACTCAACCAATCCTTTCATATTTCTCTAGTGCAGGTTGGAGAAGAATGATATAAGATTTTTTTTTTCTTATACAAAAAATGAAGTCACCATTCACATCTATTTCTCGATATGTATCTACTACAACTATTCATATGGACTAACCACAGAACTTACATTATTTCTCAACAAAGTGAAATCTAAATTCAGTAAAAATCTCAATGCATTGCATAACTCCACTCAGGTCTTCACTAGCAAAAAATCGGTATCCTGTACTGGAGTAAAAAAAAGTCAATGACTGATTCATTAATAAGAACATTTTAATACAAAATATTGTTGAATTAATAACTGAAGTCAGCTTGAACATGATATTAACAACTATCAAGTACACCTATATTACATTGCAGGACTAATATAAGCAAAGTTCAATATATTGGTTAATTGTTACATATACTATCATAATACAATACATTTTAACTGGGCCTGATTTACTAAACAATCTATTTACAGTAGCATGCTCTGGGAAATAAGTTCTACTCTTGAAAGATGATGCCACCAATGTTGAATGGTTAGCTCCTAAGTTAAGGATATGAAATGAAACAACTGCAAACTAAAATCTGACTGGGAACTATATATATATATATATATATATATATATATATATATATATATATAAATGAATTCTGGAATACACTAATTTGGTTCTCGATATATTAGCAGCATGAGATTGGTCCTTAAATAATGGTTTTTAGCCATTGCCTCACATGTACTGGTACACAGCAGCTTTTGGACTATCTTTGCTATTTGGTGAATCTTTTGGACTACTATTTTAATGTAAAAGAGGTACCAAGATGTTTATAAAATTATAGCACATCTCATAACATAGCTTAACATTTAAAAATTGTTAAGAAAAGAAATGGTTAACTAACTCAGATAATCCCAATAGTTCCATTAAAATTAAAACTAACTCTATATTTGGGCTCCTATGTTTTTAATTTTTTCAAACAAGTCCTTAGTAAAAGCTGTTAATTTTTGCTGAACTACAGGGACACATCTGAAAACTCAAAAACTATATTTGACAATACAAATTGTACCTATAGTTTATCTAATGGCTTTTAAATAGATCATTGTAGTTTAGCAAAAGTTAGTGACTATTGGTGAGGTGAAGACTATAGGGACCCAATTACAAAATTTTAAATTATAAGAACCTATTTGAAAAATCAGTGAAACTATAGGGACTCGCAAAATGATTTAACGGAGCAAAACAGTGATAAAACTTAAAATAGTTATTAGAATGGACTCAAGCATTTCCACTTTGTTAAATTCTCACAATATATAGCATTTACTCATAAAGCATTACAGCCTTAATCAAATTCCCAAGAATCACATTTCACGTATATATTGGATTTTGGATAATAAGTTGTAGAATGAGTTAACCATACTTACAAAAACTGAATCACTTTGCAGGCTAGTCACCGTAAGTTAGGGATAACTAACTAGAACCTGGCATCTTCAACGCTTTATGTCTTCTAAACCACAATATTGCATACCATAGAGTCCTCAAGAGAGCCCCATTTGCAAAATGAGGAATAATTATACGTCCCCAGTAAGGGTAATATGGCCCTGGCAATTTGACCAATGTGAAAAAAATTGCAATGGCAATTAAATGCCATGGAACTTCTGCATCCTGAAAACAAGACCACTCATAAGCTGCGTTAAAAGGGTGAAATCAAACAAGACATAAGCTAAACTACAGTAAATAGGCAGGGGAGGGGGGGCACCAAATTAAGTTCCTCGTATCTTGCTCGATTATAACCAATAAAAATGATCTAAAAATATAAATACCACAATAAGTCCCTAACAGGTAACCCCGTGGAAATCAAGGCAAAGGTCTAGTTTTGAAATATATCATCAAGAAGCTCATCCTGAATTCCTAATACAAGCTGGATTGCTAAATTGTAAATTGCAAATAAATGATCAGCAAAGGTAGTCTTTATATTGTTCATACACTGTCGTATATCCACAAAGAAAACTCATCAAGATGAGTGAGATAAACTAATTCAAAAGGAACATGCCCTGTTGTTAGCAACTCAAAATATGGAGGCAATGTAGCAGTTGAAATGTTTTACAAAGTGAGCGAAAGGAAACAGAACCTACGGTGTTCAAGCATCACAACTGTTCATTCTGAATGTGGGAAAGTAATTATTGAAAAAACATCAGTAACATCCAAGAAATCTCCCTGATATCTAGATTACAAAACGGTCAATAATCAATTATCATACCTTTAGTCGTGGAGATAACTCGAGGGCAGTCTCTTTAAGGAACCCAGCAACAGCAACTCCAAAGAGAACCGGAAGAGGAACAAGAAATAGCTTCCTTTCATGTGCACAGTAGGACATTTCACTCAGTGAGGTAACCGCAAATACAGGTACAGCTAGGAATTTGACAACAACCAAAATAAGATCAAGAATAAATTGAATAAAGTTGTCCAAAGCTTTGTTCCACGGGAAAATCTTCACCGGCTCAGGAGAACTGTCCCAAAGCTTCCATGCTTTGTCTATTAATTGGTCAAGCTTTATTTTCCCATGATCATCTGATTGTTGTGCAGACGTATTCATACAACAGGAGATCTTGGTCACTCTCTTCTGAGATGCACCAAATGGTTTAACACTTAAGCAGCAACTCTGCTTCTCAATAAAACATGGTGTACGCTGTGCAACAGCAAACATGGGAATTTTTAACTTATGAAGCCAGTAACCAGACGTTAGAAAACCCTTTCCTAACCAAATGTAGAGGTAGTCAAGATTCAAAAGTGTTTAATAGACATGCACTGTCAACATTAAAGTTTTTATACTACCAAACAATAAAAATAAAAATAAAATATTCTTTGAGTAACAGAATCACTTTTAAGGTACTTAATATTTTAAAAGCCAATGAATTTATATATAATGATCTGTGATTGGATGACAGAGTAAAAGACGTTTACACTATTAATATATGTATTATTTAAGGTCCATTTGAAAGAGCTTTTTACAACTTATTCGAACTTTATCTTATGGCAAATAAACTAGTGCAAACATTTGGAAGATTTTATGAAAACTTCTTATGATATTTTCAGCTTATGCCAATAATTTTTCAGGATAACTTACGAAAACAGCTTCCAATTTGTATGAAAAAGTTCCGTCTAATTTCTTAAATTGTAGAAACAACTGACACAAACATGCTTATATAAGCACTTCTTCGATAACACCTTAATTGAGCTATTTACCCAAATAGACACTCATTCGATTCAAAAACTCCAAAACAAATGTTAACAGGCGATTTACAGATTGAGTAATGCATTATCCACAAGTTGTAAAATCTCAAATTTCCTGACCCTGAGAAACTAATAATTTAATAAATGAATAATACGTCTTGCATTTCACATAGGTTTGTTACACTGCACAAATTTGAGAATGTAGATTAAGGGCTGTGTCTTATTATTTTACTATTATTATTTTGTTATTTTAGAATACCCTTGTCTATTATTTTGCTTTCAGATAAAAGCAGAATAAGAACAATTGCCAGCCATGAGAAAGCAAGAATATATTGTAAGAGAAAATGTTGAAAAGGGTACCTTGAATCCCAGAAAGGGAGGTTCGATTGAGACGGTGTTGTTGAGGGTCAAGGTTTGGAAACGAGAAGGAGCAGTGGCAGATAGAAGGTGAGAGGGATAGGGGAGAGACATGTTAGCGAAGTTGGAAGATGAAACCAAATTCGAATACCCTTTTGAGAGGGGATCGCAATACAGATGGATTTTGCAGAGGTGACAACTACGATAATGCAGAGTCCAGTAACCATATACAGGGGACACCCCTAGGTCTCTTCTATTGAAAAATTATAGATAATATTTATCTTGCTATATTTGAGAGGAATAGTTTTTAAGAAATGTTAGAAAATGATTACATATATGTAAAATAATGTTGACTTTTTTTTATTAATGTAAATCTTAAAGTTTTTACACTATAAAATATTCATAGTATGTTATGTATATTTTTATTCGTGTTTAATTTCATTATTGATAAAATACGGTTTTAAAATAGATTTAGGCTAATAAACTAATATGAAACACTTAAATAATAAGTCACACTTAAAAAATAGGTAAGATATAAATTAAATAATATTTATTTAGGTTATAACTGAGGTTAAATTAGTCCATAAATTTATAAAATTGACTGTTTTATAAAATAATAATTATTTTTTAAATAAAAAATAATATTATTTTATTAAAATAAATATATATAGTATAAATTAATTTGATAAAAAAATATTTATTTTAAAATTAAATATCATAATAAAATTTTAATGATCATTTATTTTAAGATTTAATTATTAAAATTAATTACTAATTTAAATTAATTAATTATTAAAAAAATAAATAATACTAATAAAGAATAAAATTTTAATTCTTTTTTTAAGATTAAATAAATATATTTCCTTATAATTATATATTATATATTAAATTATTATATTTTAAACAAAAATTAATTTTATTAATTAAATTTAAATTTTTGAAATATATTTTTATTTTTCATTTAAATATTTTTTAATTAATTGATTTTATATATTAATATTTTTATTTTAAATTAGTTACATCAAAAGTGACCTTGACTTATCATAAGCTTACGTTAAATTAAAAATTTTAGCTCATTTTAAAATATAACTAGGTTTTCAAAAAAATTTATCTTACCCATAAAATCAGATCAAGTTAAATTAATCAGTCTATTTTGACAGTTTAACTAACAAGATAAAAGAAATTATATTAAAGAAACTTATTTCAACACTTCCATTATGTTTGTAGTATAATCTAAATAAAAAAAATATTTTACAAACTTTAAAAAGAAAAAAAGAATAGGAATAGTCCCAAACTAATAAAAATTAAAATATTTTACAAACTTAAACAAAAAAAAGAAGAAGCTCAAACTGTACGTTTATGATTTTTAGATGTAAAGAATAAGATGAAAAATTTATTTAACCTATTTTTATATCAATTTCATTCAATGAAAATTTAATTTAAAAAAATATAATTAAAATCCAAGACAATATTTACAAAAAAACACATAATTCAATTGTATAAAAAAATATACATCTCTATCATTACTCTCACTTATTTCTTATTTTTAATTTTTATATCTATTGTAAATAAAAATAATAAAATAGACTAAATTCGATAAATCAACGCACACCTAAAAAATAACTAGACAAATTAATAGTTTATCAACTTATTTTATACGTCTCACCTAGTCCACCAATTTGACGAACTCATTTTAATCTATCTCATCTAATTTGAGGCACCAAAACCAATCACACTTTAAAAAATATTTATACTTTAATATTAATATAAAAAATTATACAAAAAATTATTTATTTTTTATTATGATATTGAAATATGCAATTGGCATTAAAAAAAAAGGTCAAAATCCATTGTAAAAAACATGTCAACGGTCCACCTTCAAATTCAATGACTTGCTCTAACGTTAGATAGGAACAACGAAAAGGTAAAAAATGAGGTAAAACTGTGACCGAGTGTTGGAGCTCTATAGCTGGACAAAACAACTACTCTAAGGAAAAAGTGGCAGATAATGAAGTCCCAAATTTTCTGGAAATCCCATTATCAAGTTAAGGTTTTGTAAAGCTTGACCTGAAGCTCCCTTCACTAAATTATCAATCTGCAACAACACATCAACATAGTCATGTCAACAATAATATCAAATATCATTAATGCATAAAACTTTAGCTAAAAAAGTAAGGATATATAGGAGGGGAAAAAACTTTAAACATACAACAGATATAATGATTGCTCTTCCTGGAATTCGATCCGGAAAAACATTGATTAAACAGTAATTAGTCCCTTTCACACTGTGAGTTCGAGGAATGACTCCATTTTCCAACACCACAACAAATTCTTCATCCTGAAATCACCAGAGAGAAGAAAGAGAAGTTGAGAAAGGGACAAACCAAGAAATTCAAACATGAACCGAAGTATACTAATAAAGCAATGAATCATGAATCAAGAATCAAGATAGCACATTCAACAGCCCCATGAAACAAGGCAGGATAAAGCCTTGAAGGCTAAAGAGACTCTTCTATGATGAGGAGACCTCAATGATGGAAACATTTTCCACAACAACGAAGACTAACCACTAAGTATCATTTTCAGACCTGCATTCTTCGTATTTGTTGGCATGTATGCAATACATACAGTACATTTTTGTAAACTAGTGGTAATGAAATCTATAGTTATGAGGTGATTAGAATTGACATAAAAAGATTGACCTCATATGAGAGCTTCAGTTGTTGGTACAGGTCCTCAATTCTCACTCCGGGAGGCATTTCCACATAAATAGTTGACTGCATACCACGACTCTAATAAATGGCAAAGAAACATCTGTTAATTTTCTTTGACAAACAAGAAAATAGAACATCAGAACTCTAGGTGCTACTCTTACCATTGGAATTAGGTGTGGTGTAAAACTCACAGTTACTTTTGAACCTGCAGCATCAGCAAGTCCCTGTTCTATTTCAGGAACTGCAAACAACGAAATTGGAGTATTAGATCTATTCAAATTTAGATGCCATTTGTCCCCGATAGCTAAAATCACTAGCTAGAAGCTATATATAACAAATGGTGTAAAAGCTTAGAAATTAAAGGCTCAGCCCAATGGTGTTCACTTGGGAAAGATATTATCAATGTTAGTCGATGAAGAGAAGCACAACACAATCAAGTTACGGTTAATTTTCGTTATGAAGCTCCAGTGTCTAATTAGCAGAAATCACTCTTGGCTCTTCTTGACACTGATGTACTAACAAGAGGGGGCACCTATGGCTCTATCATAAAACAGGGTAGTGTAACATGTATTATTGATTCTGCCTTTACTGGTTACTGTATTATTGCATACCTCTTACAATAAAACTACTCCCTCAACACTTCATCAACACAGACAAATGTGTAACAATAGGATAACATGGTTTTTATTAGTTAGGCTGAGTTGTAAGATTAACAATACACACATCCAATTATAAGAAGCAAATTAAACTTACCATGGCGATGACGGGTAACACCATAAGAATTGAGACCTTCAGTTACTTCAGTGAACAATAAATTTTCTTTGGCACTACGCCCTGCAACAAGAAACAAGTAATAGAACCAGATAGAAATGAGAAGCTACGGCTGAGAATATTTTGTGGAATAATTGTAATAAAATACAAAAGAGATGCAACAAAATTCTAACCTGCTCCACTAACACCAGATTTAGCATCAATGATAATATTTTTAACCTCAACTAGACTAGCCTGAAAAACAAAGAAAACTCAGAAAGACTAAACTTAAAACTAAAGGGGATATGAACACTTCCAGCATGATAAAAATCAATAGATACAGAAAAATCAGTTTTTAGAATAGCAAGCATAAAGCTGAGCCTACTAAAATGCTTCCATCCCTCAATACAACTCTTGATTTGGCATCTTGAGTACTCCAGTCAAGGTAGACAAACTTGATAAACGACTTTTCAACAAGTGCACATCCAAAAGCAGAATTCATATATATTGTCAAGAATTCTGGATATTTTCTACCATCTCACTACGTAGCTTTAAAAAGCATAGCAGCAATATCTCCCATTTTTACTGTGAATGGTCTATTGTTCATATTATTGAATAAATGCCAATATGAACATTTCTTAAATTGATAAAAGAGATTTGTTCAGAGAAAGGGATAGAAGTACAAAAGGTCGGAGGATAAGAGATCATCAAGAAGGAAAAACAAAATGGGGGGCGGGAGACAAAAAGTGGGAGCTCCTAAAAACTAGTCATTATAGGAGAGCTATCCAGTTCTTCCAAATATCTGAAAATTTGCTTAAAAAGGCCATGAAATTAAAACCATAGAAATATGCTTAACGTGAAGGGTACATATCAAGCTTAACATCCTACACCATAAATTTCAAGCCACAAGGAAACGAAAAGACTAGTGGATGCAAGTCACAACAAAAATCATTACAACACAAATTTATACTATATTTTGCATTTATATCAGACAGCATTTTCTTAGAAGGAAAATTCAATTTTTCTGCATCTACATTGTATAATGTAAAGTAAGCATCCTTACCTTTATCAGTGGGACAAGGGGAAGTTGAACAGAAGTTGGATAACAGCCAGGATTGGCAACTAGACGTGCATTCTTTATTTCATCCCTTAAAACCTCTGTCAATCCATATACAGCTTCTTTCTGGATAGAGATAACTTGATTAACTCAGCATTAATATCAAACTATAAAACAAGAGGTTTCAACCTACGACTCAATATTCCCACATACATGAACACTTGAAAAGAAATAAATGTTGACAAGTCAAATTCATAAATAGTGAAAGTATTGTTACTGTTAGATATTGTTTAGATATTGTTAAGACATTGTTAGATATTGTTAACCATAATATCAAATAATATCTTCTGTTTATTCTGTTTACTTTTGGTTACTCTTTTAGTTGTACCTCTCTCTATTATAAATAGATTACTTTATGTGTAGTTTATACACAAGGGAGATTAATCTCAAACCATATTTCTTCTATATTCAACATGATATCTAGAGCTTAAGGTTATTTTGAAATTTTTTCACCTTTGTCCACTGCTAGAGCCGCCACTGCCGCTGCTGCCAGTTAAACTGATCTTTTATATAAAAAGAGTTATTTTTGTTACTTGATATTATTTAGTATTGTGAAAGTGCATGTCTAGGAAGGTTCTGACAAGGAAAGACTTAGTATTTAAGTGTGTCCATTAGTGACCTACCTCTCTTTCCTACCTGGTATACTGGTTCACGCCGTTATCGCCGTCGTCGCCGAAGTTTCATTTTTGACCAGCAACATACAATTTTGCTCGTCTTGGTTAGGCAACCATCGTATCATTATTATCGGAGTTGGTCGTCCGTTGTTTTGTGCGCCGTTTACTCTTGACATAATTGTTTTGGTCTTCTCGTTTTGGATTTGTGTTTCGTGGGTTGATTAGATTACTTTGGATTTTTTTAGGGTTTGTTCTCCCACCCTTCATGACTTCTTCCACTCCTTCTACTACTTCCAATTCTGTTAATGATTTTTCTGCGTTGGCATTTCACCGTAATGACCGGACTCGCCCTCGCAAACAGGGAAAATGGTGTCCTAAGTGTGAACATTGTGACAAGCTACATCACAAGATTAACAAGTGTTATGCATTACATGATTGTCCTCCTCGATAGGCTGCAGTTGTTCAGACCGATATTTCCCCACCTTTGTCTGCAGGGGATCCTCCTTCTTCTATTGCATCTAACATACCTACTATGTTAAAACAAATTTCTCAAATGGTATAAGGATCAATAGTTTTCTAGTTCCACTACATCTGTCGCACACACAGATACATATTTTGCTGGTCTGACCCAATCCTCTTCTCCTGGCCCTTGGATTTTTTATTCAGGAGTCACTTATCATATTACTGGTAACAAATCTTTGTTCTCATCTTTATCCTTTCCTAATCCTTTATCTTCTGTTACACTGGCTGATGACTCTCGAGTATCATCTCATGGTGTTGAAACTATTAAATTTTTCCCTTCTTTAACCATTGATAATGTTCTTTAAGTCCCTGGGTCTCCTTTTAACCTGTTGTCCATCAGTCCTCTAACTCGTTCTCTTGATTGTGTTGTTTCTTTTACCAACAATTCTTTAAATAGAACCGGAGTTCGAAACAGGTGATTGGCACAAGATGTGAGTCTCATGGTCTTTATCATCTCTGTCCCTCTACACATATTGGTGCAGTTATGGAGTCTCCCTCTCTTATTCATGCTCAGTTAGGTCATCAAAGTCTTGTCAAGTTATAGAAGTTTGTCCCTGCCTTGTCCAACTTGTCTAGTTTGGCGTGTGAGTTATGTCAATTAGGCAAGCATAGTAGTACTTCCTTTCCTCGTAGTGTCACACATGGTGTTTTGTCCCCTTTTGCTGTGGTTCACTTTGACATTTGGAGACCTAGTCGCGTTAAGTCTATTTTAGGTTTTCAATACTTTGTTACTTTCATTGATGATTATTCCAAACGCACTTGATTTTTTTTTTTTGAAAAATCGTTCTAAATTATTTCATATCTTTCAAACTTTTTTTAATGAAATTTAAACTCAGTTCGGTGTTTCTATTAGAGTTTTGCGTAGTGATAATGACCGTGAATATCTTTCTCATTCTTTTAAACAATTCATGGCTTCTCACGGTATTTTACATCAAACTTCTTCTGCTTATACACCTCAACAAAATGGTGTAGCTGAACATAAAAATAGACATCTTATTGAAACAACTCGCACTCTTTTAATTCATAGAGAGGTTCCTCAACATTTTTGGGGTGATGTTCTTCTTACTGCATGTTATCTCGTTAATCGCATGTCTTCTTCGATTTTAGATAATAAAATACCTCATTCCATTTTCTTCCCTCATGAACCACTTCATCCCTTATCTCTATAAGAGTTTTCGAGTCTACATGTTTTGTTCATAATTTCAGTTCTGGTTTTGACAAGCTTTCTCCTAGATCACATAAATGTGTTTTCTTAAAGTTTACAAGATCACAAAAAGGATATAAATGTTTTTCTCCTTCTCTTAACCGTTATTTTGTGTCTGCAGATGTCACCTTTGATGAGTTCTTTCTTTATTTTAAAAGTCAATCTTCACCTTTGTCTCCATCCAATCCTGTCAACACTCCTAGTACATTTAATGTTCCTGTTGTTTATGACCCTCTAATTATGTCTTCTTTACCATTAATTCCTGCTTCGCAGTCAGCTTCTTCTCCACCGCCTCTTCAGGTTTATAGTTACCGAAACCAATCACAACCATTACCATGTGACTTCATTCAAGTGTCAACTACTCTGTCTCCTCCGGATCTGACACCTGAGTCTGACCTTCTCATTGCCCTTCGAAAAGGTATCCGTTTTACACGTAATCCCTCTCCCCATTATATTGCTTTGAGTTATCATCAACTGTCATTACTTTTTTATACATGTCTTACATCTATTTCTTCTGTGACCATTCCAAAAATTGTCCGTGAAGTTTTAGCCCATCCTGGTTGGCGTAAGGCCATGTTAGATGAACTAAGTGTTCTTCATAATAGTGGAACTTGGGAATTGGTCCCGTTACCGTCTGAGAAATCTGTTGTTGGTTGCAGGTGGGTGTTTGCTATCAAAGTTGGATCTGATGGTACTATTAATCACCTCAAAGCTCGTCTTGTAGCCAAAGATTATACTCAAATTTTTAGGTTAGATTATGGAGATACCTTTTCCCCCATAGCAAAGATAACTTATGTTCGTTTATTTATTGTCATGGCCAATCTTTAACAATAGCCTCTTTATCAACTGGATGCTAAAAATGTTTTCTTCAATGGTGATTTGCAAGAAGAAATCTATATGGAGCAACCTCCTGGGTTTGTTGCTCAGGGGGAGTCTTCTGGGATGGTATGTCGTCTTCGCAAATCCCTATATGGCCTAAAACAGTCTCCTAGGGTCTAGTTTGAAAAATTTAGTAAGATTGTTCAACAATTTGGTATGACTCGGTGTGAAGCAGATCATTCTGTCTTTTATCGACACTCGAATGCTGGATGTATTTACTTGATAATATATGTTGATGACATCGTTCTTACAGGTAGTGACAATCATGACATCTTTCAGTTGAAACAACATATCTGTCACCATTTTCAGACCAAAGATCTTGACAAACTTAGATATTTCTTGGGTATTGAGGTGACACAGTCCAATGATGGTATTGTTATATCTCAGAGGAAGTATGTCATGGATATTTTGGAGGAAACTGGGTTGATGAGTTCAAAGTCTGTTGATACACTCATGGATCCCAATACTAAACTTCTACCAAATGATGAGAGCCTATATCTGATCCTGAGCAATATAAAAGATTGGTTGAAAAATTAAATTATCTTACAGCTACTCGTCCTGAAATTTCCTTTCCAGTCAGTGTGGTAAACCAATTTCTTAATTCACCATGTGAGATCATTGGAATGCAGTCATTCGTATCTTGAAGTATATTAAAGAATCTCCTGGAAAATGATTATTATATGGTTCTAAAAACCATACAAAAGTTGTTTGCTACTCAAATGTTGATTGGGCAGGATCTCCTTCGAATAGAAGATCTACATCTGGATATTGTTTCTCCATTGGTGGTAACTTGATCTCATGGAAAAGTAAGAAACAAAATGTTGTGGCAAGGTCCAGTGCAGAAGCAGAATATAGAGCTATGGTCTTAGCTGCTTGTGAACTTGTTTACCTCAAGCAATTAGAGTTACAATTTGGAGATGTCACTCAAATGAAACTTGTGTGACAATCAGGTTGCTCATCATATTAGTTTTAATCCTGTCTTTCATGAGAGGACCAAACACGTTAAGATTGACTGTCATTTCATTCGAGAAAAGATTATGTCTGGAGACATCAAAACTAAGTTTGTTAACTCAAGTGATCAATTAACAAATATTTTCACTAATTCTTTACGGGGGCCTAGAATTGATTATATTTGTAACAAGTTTGGCACATACGATTTGTATGCTCCAGCTTGAGGGGGAGTGTTAGATATTGTTTAAATATTATTTGATATTGTTAAGATATTGTTAACCACAATATCAAACAATATCTTTTGTTTATTTTGTTTACTTTCGGTTACTCTTTTAGTTGTACCTCTCTCTATTATAAATCGATTATCCTATGTGTGGTTTATACACAAGGGAGATTAATCTCAAACCCTATTTCCTCTATATTCAACCATTACTTCATAAAATATATACCTTTTGAAATTATAACATATAAGAGGTTCAACCGTTTGCTAAGCAAAGTTCAATGAAATGAAAGACAGCTAGTATAAGTTGATAATGTGCTATACTTAGAAAACAGAAGGTAGACCTAGATAAATTAGACCCTTTTGTAATTGAAGAGGACAAGAGTTTGCACCTGTAAATCTGGTGCTCTATGCGGCTGACCATACCACTCTTCATACTCAGAAAGATCTTTCAGACGAAAATCCTACAAAATCCCTCTCGTTTACAATTCTTATATGAATCAAAGCTTCATTCATAATGATTAGTTTGAGGGAAAAGTTATTTAAAACATACTGCAGAAAGATCAACAATCTTCAAGTGATTTGGTAGGCCTTTAATTATTTCCTGGAAACAAGAAGAAAATATAAGGAATAATTTTACACACTGATATAGTTTATCCAGTGCTCTCTTGGCCAACTAAGGGAATTACAAACGTAAAAAGACATGAGCAAGAACCTGAGTAGTCCCATGAGGCAAACAACAGAATACAGCATCCACATCAGAAAAGTTCGCATCCTTTATTGCAATCAAATCTGGCAAGTCCTGTAAACATGGGTTAAGTTCAAATTATGTAATAATACGTCAACATGTTTTAAATCACACCCTGAGGATTGTTCAAGAAAATTATGATTAATTTCACTTAGAAGAAGCAAAACAGATAGCACAACATACGCTCCATAAAAAATAACCAAAAATTAACAAAAATATCTCTTAAAAGTCACATCATCATTTCTAAAACCAGACATACCCGAGTGCTCAAATGTGGGAATACAGAAGAGATTGGCTGCCCGGCTTTCCTATCAGCAGTCATCAGTGCAATCCCAAATTGTGGATGATTCGCCAAGTGTCGCAAAACCTAACCAAAAAATCTTCACAATCTCACAAAACAGCAAAACCAGATCAAAACTGACAGTGACATCAACTTGCTTGGTTGAGCACATGGAAATTGGTAATGCAAACAATTCGAAACGAAAGCCACTTCACAGTTTACATTTAAGTTGCTCAAAAGGCACAAGCAGAAGAAACAGAATAAATTAATTATAAAATTGTGATCATAGTTTCGTCAAGATCCTTCATATTGCGGGAAATTGCCAACACACTGCAACCGATGTAGTAGCAATTTTGGTGGCAGAGGCCCAAGACACCTTGACATTGTGGCAAATTATTTTTTTAGAAACCTCGATTATAACTCATTTTCACTCTAAGCCATAATTTCGGTTGAACATCGCTGTTACTTGTTCTATTTTTAATTTTCCATGTTTTAACCTCTCCACACTAAACCAAACACACTTAGAACCATGGAGCTCACCTCAGAACCAGTGTAGCCACTAGCTCCAAGAACACCAACACGAACCGCATTTTGTGAAGATGGGCTCCCACTCTTGCTGGAACACCTCACAAGTAGCTTCCCATCTTGTTGCTTTCTCCCCCTTCCAAACTCCTGAACAACACCAACAAAATAAACTCTGAGAATCAAACACATTTACCCACAAAAGAAAAAGTGACAGAATTAAAACAAAATTGTGCTCCGCAGGGGAATAATTACTGACAAAACATTGTATTGTAACAAAGACAACATATTTCAAAAAAAAAAAAAAAAAAAAGGTACCTTGGGGTGGTTCCAAGAGTGGTCACTGTGCCAAAAAAGGGAACTGAAAGAGACGGCGCTCATTTTTCCTATTTAAGAAGCTAACAAGGGTGGGATCAGAGAAATAGGTGTCAATAAATTGTGAAAGTAGGAAGCATTGCACGAATAAAAAGGAAAAGGGGTGTCATTTATGGATTTAGATGGAGAACTTGGTGAAGATTGCAACTTGGACACCGGAACTGCTTACAGCACTAACGCCGTCATACAGAAGCGATCCCAAATTCTTGTATTCGGGTCGGGCTGAAACTCATCCAAAAATAAATTTAACTTTAAGTGTTTTTTTTACATGAATCTTTACGAAAAAGTTTATTTAGACATGTGCAAGTCCCTTAAAATATCCTACGAATAAGTGGTGTTTTATTAAAACACTTATTCCACAGTCAACATGTCATATATTTTAAAATTTGTAAATGTTTATTTAGAACATATTAAAAAAATTACAGAAAGGTTATTCAAACAAAAATGTATTATGAACATTTCAATAAAAAAAAACATATTTTGTATTTTAGATATAACACAAAAATATATTCATCTCGATAGATTTATGAATATGTAATTTTAGTGTGTATAAAAATTAATTACAATTTTTTTTAGTTGTTTAAAATTAAGAAAATTTAAATTACTGCTAATTTGATATTTAATTTTCTAATAAAGATATTCACATGTCTTTTAAAGTAAAAATAATGTTAATTAATTATTTGCATATTTAGTTTTTTTTTATAATTAAAGATACGTTATTGTTAATATTATTACCTTAGCAATAATATGATATATTATGTTGGAATTTTTTTATAGAGATCGAAACTGTATATTGATAAAATTATAAGGATCAAAAGTATATTTAATAAATAAAAAATAAAAATCAAAGTTAGGAAATGATAGATTAATTTGAATCTAAATTATTTTTCTCATTTTATTCAAAATAAATTAAACTCATCTTTCTGTTTTTATTTTTCATAATGAAATAAAGACAAACAAATAAATAAAAGACGCACAAAATAGTTTTTCCACGTGTCTTTATCCAATCTCATTTTAAGAATTTATTATGTAAAACTAATATTTTAGTTTGTGTTATGAATAGAACATAAATGTATATTTTTTATAATTTAAATTTATGATAATAAATATTCTAGAATGTATAGATTATATTTTAGATTTACTATAAATAAATTATTTTTCATGATATAATATTATTTTAAATTTATTTTAGAAAATAATAAAATTCAAGTTAAACCTGAATATATTGGAAATCAATCATAGACTAAAGGAGATAAGATGTTCAACAAAAATTCCTACAAGCATAATCGTATAATTATTATATTTTTTGTATTAATAGAGAGATAAGATTATTATTCTAAAGTTTAGCGGAGATTTCATGTTAGTTAAAATTATCAATATTTTAATTTTTTATAATATTCTAACTATATTTACAATTATTTTATTATAAATTTTATTTATATAAAGTAAATACCTATTATAAATGGCAGTTAAAATAAAATTTAGATCATTGCGGAACTTAAATAATATGTGTAAGCCATATAGTAGTTAAAAAAAAATGAACATTGGCTTCTGAAACTGAAATTATTTTTATGGCAAAGGGTTTTCATTTAAAATAATACATAATCGTCCTACATCTGGATAAAGTTCCTGTAGGATCTTGATTACAACATTAATGAAAAATGTTGTATCTAATTAATCTTGAAATCATATATTTGAATATTTTCTACGTTTCCTTGTGACAAATTGTAGGGCCTATATTTGGCAGGGTTTTGGTCATTTAGCAGCTCTTCCAAAGGCAGCACCATGGTGTAATGTGCAGGAGTCAGAAAGAATGGATATGAAAGCCTTTCCTTCTCAGAGTTCAACATAACTCTCTGCTCAACACTCTTTATAAGTTTCATTTCTCCAAACCTGAAAAATGCTAGTTAATTTTCTGTTTATACATTAAAAGTGCAAAACTCTTTTTTGAGAAAATGCAGAATGGAAACATGGTACCTGAATTACATCTCCAACATTGATAATATATGCATTAGGTGCTGGTTTGACTCTAACCCATTCACCATCAGATTTTTTCTTGATGTCGAGCCCATTAACATGATCTTGAGCAAGCACAGTCAAAGCACCACTATCCCTGTGGCAACCACGCCCCAAAACAAGGTGAGGTGAAGGGCAAGGTGGATAAAAATTGAGCCTGATCCAGCTAGTTTGATCTTTGAAGAAACCATGGAACCGTTTTGGTGGCAAACCTAAGCTCAATGCAATAAGCTCCATTAACTTCAGTGCTAGCTCTTCCATGTGCTCCCCATACTCTTTCAATGCCACTCTGCACACTAATAAGATGTTACCATTTTTATAACACTGGATTTACCATTTTAATTTTGAAATTATATACATTTTAAAATTTACCATAAACTATGTTGTTAAAATGATTAGGAACTAGGAAGATTGAAGTACCTGAGCTCTGGTGGGTGTTGGGGCCACTTGTTATACCAATGAGTGAGTTGTTGATCATGAGGGTCGACTGAAGCTGGCACCAAGGTAGGTTCCTCCACAGTGTAATCAACCACCTCCTTCCAGTTCCTAACATTCTTGGTAAGCTCAGAGTCAAAGTACCCTATAACATGCACACTATCCCTTCTCACCTCACTCTTCTCCTCCTTGCTCTGGTGAAAGAACTTCCTTGCTTCTGCTTCCATCTTATGCCTGCTCTCAACGGGGGCTCCATGGTTGATCACTTGGAAGAACCCCCAATCTCTGCATGCACTGCCTATTTTCCTCACAAGGTCTTCAAAAGAAGGGTCTGTGATAGAAGAAGAGTTACATGATAAAGGGGAGAGGTCTATTACAGGGATGCCCTCTGCTTCAGTGATAGAAAGCTTTGGCCTGTGCTCTGGTGTTTGTATGAAGGCTGGATCTATCTCTCCCATCCTTTTTGACTTTTCTGCTAATAATCAAATTTGGTTTTGCAATTGAATGGCGTGGAAGTGTTGGAAACATAGGATGTATCATGATGGTGTTGGTGTCCTATGAATCTGGACACGTATTATCTGTTGGTATTTGGTGATTGAAATTTGAATATGATAAGATTTACTACCACTACCATAAGGGCAATTTGGAAATTAAGAGTATTTATGGAAATAAAATTGTTAAAGAAATAAAAGAAAAAACAGAGAGAGGAGTGTAAATAGTAAACATCATATATGGGCTTGAGTCGAACCCATTCCCCATCATTTACATACTTACATTCATGAAATCCTTTTGGTGACAAAAAATATTAAGTTTTGTACAAGGAGTGAATTTGAAAAAATGAAAAGAAAAAAAAAAAAGTAGAAAGTGAGAAAATTTAGATTGAGAGAAAAAGAATAGAAAATAAAGAGAAATGAGTAAAAATTGAGATGACAAATCAGATCCGATAAATTTGAAAAAATGACAGAATGAGCTTTTAGTTTTAGTTTATAAATTGAATAACGTTTAAAAATATATTAATATATTAAAATAAAAAGAAAAAAATTATAATAAAAAATATTTTTCTGTTTTTATATTATTAAATATATTATAATATTATAATTTGAATTATAAATTTTAACTAATTAAATTTAAATTATTGATTATAATTAGTTATTAAAAATATTTTAGTATAATTTTAATACAAATAAATACAAATTAAAATTAAGATAGATATAATTTAATATGATATAATTATTTAATAAAATAGATAAGAATAAATAAAAATAAAGTTAATTTATACAAAATTTATAAATAAATATTAATATAATAAATAAGTTAATTATTCTTACATTATTAGCTTTTTAAATAAATATAATTTATTTTGTAAAATTATTTTTATATATTATTATATATACTTACTTAATATTTTATTAAAAATTAATTTTAAAAGAAAATATTCTAATTAAAAAGTTTAATTTCAAATTTCAAATTTATTTAAAATTATATAAATTATATGTTTTAAACAATATATAAATATATTAAAATTACATTATTTTAAAAATTTATATTAATTAACATATTTTTTAATTAGATAAACAATTAAAAAACTATATTATATTTTTATATAATTTTTATAATGAATTAAAAATAATAATTTAATTAAAAAATGTTATTAATGAATCATGTTAAAATAAAATGTGAATTATTAAACATATCAAGTTTTTTAATAATATTTATTAAATCATGTTATTGATAAAAAAAGTTTAAATAATAAAATTGATTAAAGGTTTACACTGTGTACAAATTTTATTTATATTTATTAAATTGTATATAATAGATTTAATTTTATAATAAATAAAACTTTATATAAGATAATTTGTATAATTGTTTTAAAATAAACTAATTTTAACTAAAAAAATCAAAATAATCTTAACCTAAAATCATTGTAAATACTTATGGTTTGATAATAAGAAAAAAAATTATGTATAATTTATTAAAATATTGATATAAAAATTATATTCATAATTGATTACGTGATGATATGATTATACTGTCTCATGCAGTTTATTACATGGATCAAATAATCAATTATATAAAAATATATAATTAATTACGTGAGATGTGAAGATAAAAATGACTTTTTTCTGAGTTATATATAAGACTTTCTAACTTTTCCTGATGTAAATCCCAATACTATTTTATACAAATTAACTTAAAATTACAAAATCAAATAAAAAAATTAATACAAATCAAGACTCGCTTCTCTACAATATTAATGACAAACACAAAATACATGTTTTCCTTTTATTACTCAAATAAAAAATTATAATTATTTTGAACGACAAATATATATACAAAATAAAGTTTTCACTAGATGCAAAAATGAATTTTAAAAAATAAAATATTTTTTTGATCGTTGATTAAAAATTCAATAACTGTAATTATAATTAATTTAAAATTTTGTTTGTGCACTTTATATTTAATTTTATCGTAATTTTAAAATTTTGATGTATTTTTTCGTGTAAAATGTTTTATCCTCACTTTATAATAGTGAAATTCTTAAATAAATCAAATTATTTTATTATACTAGACAGAACTATGTTTTAAATTTAATTTTAAAAACCCTATATAAAATAGGTCAAGGCACTTAAGTTAAAAAAAAAAAAAAAAAACTAATATGCAATGCAAATAGTTCAGTAAAACAGTACCCAATATGTAAATTCAGCATTTAAGGTTAGAATATGTAAATTAGCTAAAAATCTAAACTTAATAAAAACAATATCATGATGTATTAATTAATTTTACTGCTTTCATCCATTTGCTAATTAATTTTTAACCTTTCTTTTAAGGAATTTAAGTTTTTACTCTATTTCAAACATGTAGATATTACATTGGTAAAAAAAAATTATATAACTTTTTTTTTAAGTTCTGCACCTTATTCTATAATAAATGTTTATCTTTGACTTACACAAAAATTAATTCATTCTAATGTTTTAGTGAACCAAATTTACCTTAATTTTGTAATTCTTTCATTTATTCCGCGTATTAATTCTCCAAACATTTTTTTTTCTGATTCAAAGCATAATGAATGATGTTTATAAGAATAATTGAACTTTTTATATTAAATGACATCTAAATAATACCTAATGAATTCTTTTTATATAAATATACGACATAATAGAAAATGTGTATTATAAATATTTAAAAATTAAAAATAACGACATTTCATTATACAAACTTAAAAAGTTACATGAGGTGTTTCCCTTTTAGATTGAGTTGGATGAGATGAGAAGAAATTATGTGCATTGGATGATGAGAATAAAGATAGATACCACTTATGGTATGGCTCTTAATTTAAGGTACATTAGGTGGGTCCACTTGTGCATGTACACTAATTCGGGAAACTACTACAATAACTAGGGATGGCAAAACGGGCTAGCCCGCCCCGTTTTGGCCCGTCCCGCCTTTGGCCCGCCAAAATCGGAGCGGGGCGGACTGATCTGATATAGTCATGACGGTCGTAGACTTGGTCCGCCCCGCCAAGGGGCGGGTTGGCGGGTCAGCTCGTCATAATTTAGAAAAAATATTTTTTTAAATAATTTTTTTAATAAATTTAATAATAAGATTATTATTTGTTTGTCAATAATTCAATATATATATATATATATATATATATATATTATTTCAATTTAATAATATAAATCAATACATTATTTTAAGAAATTATAATTTAGAACAATAATAAAATTTACATAATAATAAATAATAACAAATATATATATATATATATATATATATATATATATATAAATAACGTTAAACTTATAAAATTTATATTTTTTATATTGTAAAATTCAAATACCTATATCTTTTTTATTTGATAAAACTTCATATTATTCTTGGTTGAGTAATTCTTATATCTTTAATTCAAGTAATAAGGAAAAATATAATCAGTGCTTAGGATAAATAAGGAGAACGGGAGAGAAGGTTATATTTCGGGAAGGAGAATATTTTCTCGTGAGAATGAAACTTTTTTAATTCTCTTTTTAAAATTTTTAACTTTATATATTATCTTTATAATTAATTTTATTACAATAAAAAATTATTTTTTTATTAATTAGGTGGGTCGCGGGTCGGCCCGCCCAGTCCCGCGAGTTGGCCCGACGGGTTGGCGGGCTTGGCGGGGCGGGCCAAAGCGGGCTGGTGGGCTGAAAATACCAACCCGCCCCGCCATATTATGGCGGGTTGGCGGGCCAGCCCGCCGGGCCTAACCCGTTTTGCCATCCCTAACAATAACACAAACATGTCTTAATCATTTCCCACTAAGATACACAACAATTACTTTTATTTTATTTTTAATGAAGTGGTTGTCTTGTCTTTTCATCATCCTTGGATGACCTTAGTTCCGGTGGGAAAGTAACGAGGGGAGGGGGAGGGGAGATTGATGGAAATGTTCATGTATTTCTAAGAGATGATTTTGATGATGATTTAAGTCAATTAATTCAAGTCAACACCATTAATATGAATTTAAGGACAAGCTGAATTTATGACGTAGGTGATAAAGATGATGATTCAAGCAAGCCCAAGATGATTACTGAAGACTAGATAGAGTCTTAGAATACTGGATATGGAGGTACAAGTTGATGAAGTAATATTATGCATAAGCCTTCAAAGTACAAGTGTGATAAAATTCATAACATGATATTTTTCACTATCATAATTAATTATGATGCACCAGAAATGGAAAAATGATTTTCTCTATCATAATTAATTATACTGGTAATAGAATTAATTATGGCAATTCAAATTTGAAAAATATATCGGTTTTAAAGAATAAATGTTTTTGAATACATCTTGATTTTCTCTATGATATTATTAATGTCCAACGACCATTTTCTGATGCTAATTTTCTATTTAATTAAGTTTTGATGAAAAATAAAAAACATACAATTACAGAATTCGAAAATACAATTTACATTCAATCAGTTTTGAGAAAAGAATTCTGAGCAAAACAACAAAGATATTTTACACCTTTTGAGAAAACCCTCTTCTCTACTGCCTTCTGTGCTTTCATTGTTAATCACACTTGTTCTTGGAGATTGACATTCTACAGGCTTCTACAATTTGTTGTCTCCATTACCCAGGTGTGTCTGTTCTTAATTTTATTACCTTCATCCTTTTTGCATTGGTGGAAAAGGAGGTTCTTTTCATTCCTAGTGTGATTCTAGGGAGATGTTCATCCTTAGTGAGATTCTAAGGAGGTGTTTTCATCCTTTGATTTGTTCAAAGGAGGTTTTCATTCCTAGTGTGATTCTACGAAGGGGTTCATCCTTAGTGGGATTCTAAGGAGATGTTTTTTCATCCTTTGAGTTGTTCAGAGGAGGTGTTCATCCCTAGTAGGATTCTAGGGAGGTGTTCACCCTTAGTGGGTTTCTAAGGAGGTGATTGTCTTTTTAATTAGTTTACTTTTTACTGGTTC